CGTCTATACCGAATTGTCTATACTCTATCTTTGTCTTCTTTATCTACGGCTATATACCAAAGTTGTATAGGACATTAGTGTTTATACTAGCTGGATTTTCGTCGACGAGAAGAAGTATCTAGTTTTCGATAGTTCCGAGTTTTTCTACCGTATATACATCGTACTCTTTTCTAGGTACCTCGATTCTTTGTATTAGAGATAACAAGGTCAAAACTATATTTACGAGTCCACTTTTTAACGAACTCCTTTAGCAATTTGATAGAATCAAAGGTTTGCTTAGGTAGAGGAGGTATCTTAAATTCCTCGTTAGAACCGAGATCCTCCTCCTCCTCCTCCTCCTCCTCCTCCTCCTCCTCCTCCTACTCTTCCTTCTCTCCGTTAGAGTTCTCGGGCTTACCGAGAAACTCCTCCTCCTCCTCCTATACTCCCTTCTCTCCGTTAGAGTTCTCGGGCTTACTAAGAAACTTATCCTCCTCTTGCAAGTTCTCGGGCTTAACGAGGAACTCGTCCTCCTTCTCTCTGTCCTCCTTCTCGGACTTAACGAGGAATATATCCTCCTTCTCTCCGTCCTCCTTCTCGGACTTAACGAGGAATATATCCTCCTTCTCTCTATTAAAGTTTTCGGCTCTAACGAGATACTAGAGAGGCAGAGGGAGAGTAGGAATACTTAGAAGAGAGGAAGCGCGTATCCGAGGAAATTTACTACCGGCGCGATCGCGAGCGTAAGTACGCGGAAGAGAAGATGTATATAGTAGGGCAGACATTGTATCTCGGTAATAATGTATCTTGGTAATAATAGTAAAAATGTAATAATAATAATAATATATCTCGGTAATATCGAAAGGTTAGTATACGCGACAGTACGACGACGCGACAGTACAACAAGATAATAGTGCGAGTTAACGCGCTGTATTGAATATACGAAGGTTTACGTTAATAACGAGCGGCGGAGATATGTTACTGTACAGGTTGGGTGAGTTATGTCTAGGGCTGCGATTAGACGAATCCAAGGGCTGCCTATAGCCCCGCCGGCATGAATGATTTTTTTTTTCTTTTTTTTTCCTTCTATCAAATGAGGAGTTGTTGGTTGCCTGTCAGCTGAATGGTCGGCGTTCAAGAAGTACAGTATACATGTGCCCCCTTGCCGTTGGTATCGGGGATAGCAGCATCTGCGTTTTAAAAGATAGGCGAGCCGTTATTGGGTAATCAGGTTACTCACATCTCACATGCAGGCAGAGTGGCAGACTTAGTGCGCAGACTCGGCGCTTGGAGGGATTCGCATATTCTGTACATCATACATGCTTGTTGCCAGTTGGTGGTAGTGCTTGGAAGGTCAGGGGTCGTTCACCGTCGTTGCTTCGAGTTGAGAGATGATAAATTATAATCTTTTTTGGATAGTTCATTGTAACATCAACCGATAAAGTGTCTTTAAAGTGATGAGTTTAATAAGCACACTCGTTCCGACTTCACTTGGCACCATTCCTGGAGCCTGGAGAGATGACTATATGTCCTAAGGTATGTACAATGCACGGATTTGATACCTCCTAACGTAACTACACAACACTGGACTCTCCTTGCGATGAGCTATTTATTGCCTCTATTGTCGGCACCGAACAGTTGATCAGATCAAGCAGACATGTCACATCAGTCAGGCAGTGTCATTGGTGTCATGCATCGGATCTATGAAGGGTCAGCATTACTGCGGGGGTGACTCAATGCGTTATCCGATGCCATTCTCCCTTTAGGGCTTGTTCGTGTCATTGCATACTGTAGCCTGTAGGTATGTACCTACAGTAGTGCTTTCTACGGTGAACCACTGAACATACTTCCAGACTTGCAGTCCAGATCATCGATGTCAACACCCCTCAATGTCACCCGCCAGCAAACGACTACGACGCTAGTGTCTATGGAGCTACGGCAGTGACCTCCACGCTCTCACGCTCACGGTGGATGAACTGCCAAATCATCGATCAACACCCCGAAACCTTACCGGAAAGCAGCCCGGACCAACCTACGCCAGTGTCCATGACAGTACTACTTGGTATACCGCAGTGGCTTTCTAGAATAAAAATGTACCGCCTGATCACCCAGACCCTCAATCCATAATGTAACCCCCCGAACTGTTACCGCCAAGCAGGAACATCCGACGCCAGCTCCATGGTAGCTGGTAGGCCTACTTCGCATACTGACCGTAGCCGGTACATAGTGCTTCCCACGCTGGACGTACTGCCGAATCATCGATCAAAATTCCCCGAGATCTTACCAGAAAGCAGGATCGTTGCTAGCATGCCTACCATCTTGCGATCTCGACTGCGACGGCCGGACACAGGGCCGCCGAAGGGTCGTGGGTCGTGGCTCACATCCCAGCCTGGGCCTAGAATGCTCTCCGCCTTTCCCATGTGAAGGCATGAGTTTAGGTATATCAGAAACCCCAAGGCAGCATTCAGAGCGGCAGCCTTCAATGCACTCGTCGCCCCTTCTTCCCTGACAACAATACCGCACCCTACCCTGACAGTAAACCGAATACTGTATTTGCATCAACACAAACACGCTAGACCAAGACACACACACACACCCTCTCTCTCTTTCTCACTCACTCACTCACTCACTCACTCACTCACTCACTCACTCACTCACTCACTCACTCACTCACTCACTCACTCACTCACTCACACACCCTCTCTCACACTCACACAACACACACACACACAGACCTACACTCGAAATGTGCGTGGTCAACATGATCACATGGCACAAGTGTATGCACTTCTGTGTTCGTCACGAAATGTGTTCCACCGCACTGGCCAAGAACCCGCCTTCATTCTGCTCAGCTGCGCACGCACCCGTGGTGACGGACATTGCTGCAGAGGATGGCGTTTGTCCCGATGAGACCAAACACCCGCCCATGCCTGGGGAGCGGAGGATGAACGTCTGGAGGGAGAGATTGGGAGTGACGAGGACAAGTGGCCCCGGTAATGCCTGGTACAGAGACCAACGGCAAGGCCAAACCTGAGACTGTACAGGAGGTGGCCCATCATAGCCCACAGAGCTGCATGAAGAGACGCTTTGGCAGTGGGAACTCCGATGGTCCTGTCTGTCAAGATTTTCCATTGATTCCTGTGCGCTCCGCGATCCTGAACTGCCCGGCTTTGTATTCGTACTCGCGAGTCTGTAAATATTCTTTCGTCTCCTCTCACACGGAAAGCGTCTTCGCTTGGGTTATCGCTCTTCCTGGTTTATGACAGACGTTGGCAGGCCCACCACCACCACTTTCTGCCTATACGAGACCAGTCTCGGAGGGGGGTTGCCAGACTCAACTTCATTCTATTTCACACCTCTCGATGGCTGGAACCTTTAGCGCTCAGCTTCGCATGTCGGTAGCAGTTCTCCTCTGGTATCAATCGACTCTCCAACGCCGCTTCTGGAGGGTTCTACCACATCTGCTCTTTGGTCATTGCAAACGGTGGACCTTTTGATACTCTGCGCATGTTCTCAAAGTCGGGCGAGGCGATGGGATACGACGGCGAGTTGTGGACCGCGTGGCTGTGGTAGATTTCGACTGCATGTTTCTTGAAGCTGTGTTGGGGGGCTCGAAGGCATTAACACCAAAATCTCACAAGACTTTTTTGTGTGAATTCATGGGACAGATTCTCTGGGCCTTCCAGATGAACGATTCGGAATATTGTAATGAGCTGATCATGAGCATTCGAGTCTGAGAACAGGAGAAGTCTTACCTTCTCGTATTGCAGGGAACACCGCTGCCGCCGGCGCGCCAAAAATCCGGTTAATCACCCCTTCACTGTCTACCTCGTTAGTACTTATACAACCTACTTCTCTCTGTGCTACTGTTCCTATGCTTTAAGTTCTACTGTCTCCCTGCATCTCACTCGCTGCTACCGTTCAGACGGGAAGACATGAGCATCACAGGAAAGGATCTTTTACCGAAATGGTAAATCCAAGAGGAAGAAAGTCGGGCAATATCTGTGATGGTCTGAGACAATCCGAGTCGATACATACATACATTCAATTCCCCTAAGCCAAATCATACATATCCAACGACCTGCCCTCCTTCCTCTTCTGATGCGACAAATCCAAAGCCTTGACCAACGCATACAACATCTCCATCCTCGGCACCTCCACCCCCAACTTCCTCGCGACCCTCACCGGATTTCCCAAAATCACTTCATGTTCCATCCTCCGCGTCCACAGCACATCCACGAGCATACTCGGTTCAATCCCCGCAATTCCCTCGCGAGACATAATCGTCGCCAGCCCTTGCTCTGCTGCTTCTGCTGTCACACTGTGATATCCCAGAGCGCGCGAAATGGCAATTACCTCGTCGAGAACGCCGCGGATGACGGCTAAGGAGGTGCATGGTTCGGCGGCGAGAAAGGCGAGATCTCGAGAGAGGGTTAGAGCGCAGATGGGATTCCAGGGGGCGTTGAGGAGGAGTTTGAACCAGCGTCTTTCTTGCATTGAGGTCGAGGGGTGGTAGTGGATGGGATTCCCGCCTCCGGATTTGAGGAGGGAGAGGAATTTTGAGGTGGAGGGGTGGATTTCTGTTGTTGTTGTTGTTGTTGTTGTTGTTGTTGAGTTCTTGTTGTTGTTTTCGACTGATGAAGCAGAAGAAGAAGAAGAAGAAGAAGAAAATTCGCCAATTTCCAACCTCTCGACATCTCCCATAGTAATATATCCCGGCGAAGTCTGTGTGACAGGACAATACACCACACCACTCAACAGCAAATTCTCAGGAAACTTCTTCGAGTATTCTTCTTCAATTCCAATTCCATTCTGCAGTAATACAATCGTCGTTCGTCCCCGTGTCACCGCTGGAGCGATCGTTTCTGAAATTTGGGCTTCGGGGATGGCTTTGCATGCTACCAAAAGGTAGTCATATACTCCTTCTCCTTCTCCTTCTTCATTGCTACTGCTACTATTCTCGACAGCTTCCAGAGGACTTCGAACGACTTTCGGCTGAAGATGTAATCCTTCTCCGTAAATGACAGAGTCCAGATGAAAACCATTTTGCTTGATGACGGCTTCGTAGTTGGATCGACAAGTTACTGTGACGTCGCAGCCGGCTTGCATGAGTTGGTAGGCATATATGGTTCCAATCGCACCTGTACCATGAAGCAGGATTCGTGGCATGATTTTTTTTTTATTTTTTTTTGCTTTTTTTTTCTCGGGAACAATGTTGTTGGGTGCTTCACGTTTGGAGCTGGTGTGCGTTGTTTGTTGTTTTGTTGTTTGTTGTGTGAGCTTGGCACGATACCTCCCCCTCAAGGTGGTTTGTTGGCCGTGCCGTGCGGGCAAGGCATACCGCCGTCTCAGACCCCCCACATTGACACCTCAGGTATGTACTTTACATTGGAACTACATGTATTATATAATATTGTTGTTATTTTGTCCTTTTTTCTGTCTTTTCCATCACTGAAGGATAATTTCAGCTGTCTGATGTAGCTCAGTCGCTAAGAATAGGTAGACATGCTATTATACGGTAGCTATAGTACGATTTACGAGCGGATCTCGCTGCATGAAGGTGTAAGAGTGGGTAGGTGATATGTATATTGTATATCGAGAGAGAGACGGGATATCTTTCCCTTTCACTGCTTTCCCATTCCTATCTAATGCCACTGGTAGCAGCCTAGCTGCTGTCCCAACAGTGACACGACAGAGGGAGAGAGATTCTGGTGATGGTCGGTTGTTGACGCGATCATGGATTCAGTCGGGGTTGGAAGAGGGTGGGCTACGCTAGGGGAATAAGAAAATACCTAACAAAGAACTTCTACTGCTACTACTACTATATCTTCTGTCTGCACGGGAACTGCAGATGCTGCTACTACGACACCAGAAACGCCTCTGCCCCTGCCGACAAGCCGCCTCGCCCAAAACCCCGACCCGCTCCGTACTCCACGCCCTACCGGCTCGGATGAGTGGGCGCAGCAGCTCCAGGGATCAATGATTACATCGCCATTCCAACATAATGCTTGTGAGTCTTCTCAAGGATGCGATTCTCGTAAGGCATTGGGCCTTTCCCAATGGACCTGATATCCGCCTGTTTGGCCAACCATGGATCCGCAACGATAGCATCCAAAATCCACTTCTCCAGCTGCTCGAGCGTGGGACGATGCACGGGGTCGTATGCGAGACAGCGATCGACTGTGCTACAGAGTTCTTTCGAATACGTCTTTCGGGCGGTTTCGTCGCATTCGTAAAACCATGTGCCGCCTGGTAGGTAAGTTGGTTGCTCGGTGCTCAAGATTTTTTTGTTTCGGAGCAGACAGAGGATGATGGCTCCTATGCCCCATACATTACACGGCGAAAGCAGTTTGAAATCGTCTATGGCTTCTCCTGTCTCAGGGTGGGAAAATGCGCACTGTTCCGGGGGAAGATAGCCTGGCGTTCCTGTTTGTCGATTGTACAATGAAGGATTGGCAGGGTCGTCGGGAGCCGTTACGATGGCGATGCCAAAGTCTGCTAGTTTGACTTGAGGGTAGGCGGGAAAGGAGGTGATGGAATTCTCTCCCAGAAATACATTGTCCAGCTTCAAATCGCGATGGACAATCTGCTCCCAGGACTTGTCTAGGACTCGGCCTGCTTTGCCGCGCTGCATGATCAAGCAGGTTTCGATCAACGCCCGGAATACATAGAGGATGAATGCTTCGGGAAGGAGTTCACCGGCTTCCAAGTGTCGTCCCAGGAGCTCGTTAAGATCGCCTTGACTCGCATATTCCAGGAACATGCGAAAGGTTGCAATTGCGTCGTCCACTTGGACTTCGTCGGACGCCAATCCTAGAAAATGAGGACACTTTGTATCTGCCAGCTTCTTGTGGACCCAGAACTCGATTGGTACTTTTTCTGTCCCCTATTTCCATCATGGTCAGTAAATGCCTTTCCACATGTAACATCTTCTATCCCTCGTCCATATGGACCACTTTCAGACGGACGAGCAAAAAGAGAAAAATAAACAAGACATACCTTTCCATACCAATTCTCCTCCTCATCAAATCCAATCGAAGTCGTATCCTTCACCACCACCCGATCCACAATCCTCCCTCTCCCATCCTCCTTCCCATAGACCGTAATTTTCCCCATTCCACCCCCCATAACATCCAACGCATGCCACATATCCGGCAAAGCAGAAAACTTGCCACGAATCGGCTTTATTCCCGCCTTTTTGGCACGATTTCTCCTCGCAATTTCCGCTCGCTGGACACGTCCCACATCGACTTTCCAGACGCGTTGGGAATTTTGCTCTTTGGCCATGGCGAAGAGTAATTCGTCAAACATGTCTGATCCGCCGGCGGCGTTGGTGGGGTTGCGTTGTTTGGCGACATTTGCGGTCTGTTGGACGGATTCGATGTGTCTTATGCGATTGTTGAGGACTTGGGCGAAGACGGAGGGGGAAGTGGGGGAGGAGGAGGTGTATCTGTTTTGGAGAGCGGTGAGGACCGTGAGGATGGATGTGCAACTTCGGGCAACGTCTCGCCAGATGGGACGCGGATCTTTGAAGTTCTTGAGAGCTTCGTCGATGCTTTTTTGTTGCGAGACGAGGATCTCGGTTCGGGAGTTGATTTTGAGGATCTGAGTGACTATCTCTTTTTGTTGTGCTAATTCGAATTTTCTAAAATCGATCTTGAGAGCGTGAAATTGCGTCTCTTGCTGTTCTGTGATGATTTTTTCTCGTCAGTTTTCTTTTTTCTTTTTTTCTGGTCGATAATGCTACTTTTCTGCTTACCTTCGCTGTCGAAGGACTCCTGGTCGGTGCCAAAAGCAATAAAATGGGTTTCGAGGACCCTCGGGTCATCAGTCGCTGCTGCTGTGGCGACACCGGCACCGGAAGTTGCTCTGGGCACTTTGGGCGTTGCGGGGTCGACGATGGTAAATGAGCCAAAGAGTTCTTCAAATGATGAACCAGACATGGCGGGCAAGTCTGTTCGATTTTATTGCAGATTTGAGTGTCGTGGTGTATGTACATCGTTGCGGGTGTGTTGTGTATATAAAGTCGAATAAAGAGGTTATGCTCCATTGTCCGGAAAAGACTTCTTTTGCCGGAAACGGGAGACATGTTTCTTTGTTGGTAACATCGTTCATACACCTCAATCTGTTGCAAGGCTAGGCACTGATAGCAACGAATCTCGTGATTCTCTTCGACCGTAATGTCGAAGGATAGCGGGGAGACAAAGCATCTGACTCTTGATGTCGAATCTAGAAAATCAATCAAATCCGCCTTTTTGGAGTTTACGAATCAGCTTCATTAGGTACATACAATAGGAGGTATTGCAGATCAGAGAGGCTATATCAGAAGGAGTCTCAAAATGTCCACTCCTCGTGACTAGTCCAGGAAGGGAAGCTCTCTGAGTAAATCTGCCGTGTCGGACGAGCGGACGTGAGCTGCACATCTGATGTCAGCGCAACTGGTCCTCCGTTTGGAGAGACACTGAACCTGAACATCGACTACATGTACAATCCACATCGTTGATGACAGTAACGCTACAGCTACAAATCAGCAATACTCACCTGAGAACACTCAAACCCCTCAACGCGTAACAATGTCAACATCTCAGCAAATCCTAGCTATCCTAAGCCAAGTAATGGAAGAATTTGGCGACCGATTGAAGATACATGGCGGCTCTAGGCTTCTGGTCAGCGACGGCACAATCGCCAAAGCTCTATACGAAGCTACCGAACAAGTCCGGACTCCATATGGTCCGACGTTAGCAGTGGCATCCCAAGAACAGCCCGATCAAGCACAAGTCGAAGGTATCCCGAACGCAGAAGTTCTGGCCGCCGATAAGCTGGCCATGGATCACTACACTCATGCCGTCTTTGGAGTGAGTGGCGAGGATCCCAAATACATTTTCGGCGGGATCAAGCATACGATATATGCGTTGCAGCCGAAAGGATATGCGATTGTTATTGCGTTGAAGCAGGAGACGAAGCAATCGGCCGATGGGGAGTTTCAGGTGAGCTTGGACGATAAGATGAAGTATCAATCAAAAGGCAGAATCAACAATCTCGAGGATTGTTTGTATTATGCGGGATTTGAGCGTGGGCGGGTCAAGAGCTTTGAGAAGAAGGCCGAGGTGGATGGAAAGGAGGTGGAGGCGCAGGTGTATTTGGCCATGAAGTGGGACCAATTGACGGGGTGAGGAGAATGGACTTTCTAGATATTAGGTAGATGGTTGGCGCATATTGATTAGAAGTGAATGAATACCTGACCGATAGTAGGAAACTGGAAACTGGGAGGCATGAAACGCCAAGGCCCGAGTCTCGATGTCATCACCTTGTCAACCTTGTTGTAGCGCGCCGTTCCAACAACACTCGCTGACACTTGCACCTGATCCATCGTCATACCTCACCTCCTCCATACACCTCCTCCATACACCACTCTCCCTCCCCCTACCTTTCCATCAACACTCCCGTCATACAGTACAGCAGAGTCCCAAAGAAGTCGTCATGGCCAGCGTCAAGGCCGTCGTCGCTGCGGCTCTCCTTACAAGTGCTGCCGCATGGGACCAACAGCCTCTACTTGCCACGAACGGCAAGAAACTCGTCGACAGTGAGGAGCTCCAGTCTGCCATCACTGCCGAGAAGCTGCACGCTCGTGCTGAAGACCTCTTCAAGCTGGCTGAGCTGTCTTGGCACGAGTATAACCGGCCTACCAGAGTCATCGGAAGTGCAGGCCACGAGGCTACTCTCGATTACATCTGGGCTACCATTGCTCAGCTCGGGGACTACTACAACCTGACAGAGCAGCAGTTCCCAGCCTACTCCGGTTCTGTCGCGGAGTCGCGTCTGGTACTGGGAGATGAAGTCATTGCCAATGCCTCTGCCATGAGCCTCACGCCGCCCACCAAGGATAAAGAGCCTGTGCATGGCGATCTTGTCCTGGTGGCCAATAATGGCTGCTCCGCCTCGGATTACCCAGCAGCGGCCAAGAACAACATTGCTTTCATCAAACGTGGCACATGTTCCTTTGGCGACAAGTCGTTGCAGGCAGGTTTGGCTGGCGCTGCCGCAGCTGTCATCTACAACAGCGAGAATGGTACTCTTCATGGCACCATGGGCACACCCAACCCCAACCACATCGCCACTTTTGGCATCTCGCTCGAGGAGGCAACACCAACCCTCGATAAGCTCAACTCTGGCAAGACAGTCGATGCCATTGCCTACATTGATGCCGTGGTCAGCACCATCCACACCCTCAACATCGTCGCGCAGACCACCGCAGGCGACCCTGAGAACTGCGTGATGCTTGGCGCCCACTCCGACTCTGTACCCGAAGGACCCGGCATCAATGACGATGGTTCAGGCACCCTCTCTCTCCTCGAAGTTGCCACTGCGCTGACCAACTTCACCGTGAACAACTGTGTTCGCTTCGCGTGGTGGGCGGCCGAGGAAGAAGGCCTCATTGGCTCCGACTTCTACGCTGCCAGCCTTCCCAAAGAAGAGAACCAGAAAGTGCGACTTTTCATGGACTATGATATGATGGGATCTCCCAACTTCGCTTACCAGATCTACAATGCCACGAATCTCGACAGCCCTGTGGGCAGCGAAGAGCTGCGCGACTTGTACGTTGATTGGTATGAGAAGCATGACTTGAACTACACTTTCATTCCCTTCGACGGTCGATCCGACTATGACGGTTTCATTCGCGCTGGTATCCCAGCCGGAGGAATTGCTACTGGCGCCGAAGGCATCAAAAGTAAGGAGGAAGCGAAGGTGTTTGGCGGAAAAGCAGGAGACTGGTACGATCCTTGCTATCACCAGCTGTGTGACAATGTGGGAAATGTGAATATGACTGCGTGGGAAGTCAACACCAAGCTGATCGCTCACTCGGTTGCTACTTACGCTATCAGCTTCAAAGGGTTCCCGGAGCGGACTGCTGTGGATGCGCTGGCCGAGAGTGTCTATGCGAAGAACACCAAGTATCACGGAAGTAAGCTGTTCATCTAAGCAGCTCAATAGAGGCATGGTATGTGTACATTGGGAGATGAATATACTGTCTCGATAGTCCGGAATCACAATATACAGTTATTTGTCCCGGCGGGGCGTGCGTGGACAGTGATTTTCTGCTCTACGGCACCCCGGCAGCCTGTGGGCTTGTTCGGCACAACCGGCATCTCGACCGAGTTTGCCCTATCGCAATACTCTCTCTCCATTTCCATCTTCATCAACCACAATGTTGTGTTATCATCGTCGACGGGGCAGTGGACACGACTGCGATATTGCTGGTGGGGCAAAATCTATCCAGCCGCTGCCTCGAAAGCACAGAGGCGACTAAAAAGCTCCGAGACACGATAGAGGACAGACAGACATTATCTCATCATCTCGAGACTACGAACGAATCTTCTCTCTTGGCAACCAGACGAAGAGTCAAGGCCTGCTATGGTATGTCGACATTACACGTGTACTGACTTTGCATCACAGATCTACCAGCAACCCCAGAAGAGCATGCTCCCTAAAAGCGGCATCGAATAGACGGATGCAGGTCACCATAATCCCTGCCGGAAGATAAGCACTCCAGGCGTGTTTTTGTAATGCTTGTAGACCCAGGAGGACCATCTGACTGGTCCTGCACCTTCAACAACTGCTGCATTAGGGAACTCAGCCACCCACCTACCCACCGTATCTATAGTCAGCGTTGGCGAGTCTGTGGCAGCAGGCGACAAGCCCGTTTTCGGTGCGATGAGTGCATATGCCCACTCGCGCTAGCATGGACTCCAGAGCTACCTGCGACCCAGTAGGGAACTCAACAACATACCGGCACATGTGGTCTGGTCTCGTCGCACTCTGGGCTCATGGGAAGCAACCCCGTCATCTGCTTCGCTTGACAGCAAGGTCGTTTACACTTCCTTTCTCCTGCGTCGGAGGGCATGCGAGGCAGGGTAGGTAGGTAGTATCGGAAAGCCAATGTATGAGGCTAGGTCGTCCGAAGCACTCACTCATGATACCTCATAAAGACGTGAAATGCCCTTCTCTCGATCGTAATTGCGTACTTACCAAGTCCTCTTCCTTACCTGGAAAATCTCAAAATGTGTGCGTTGCTCCCTGGGTCCTGCTTGTATCTGGCATCGCGATATACTGATCCTCGGCGCAGCTCCTCTGGCCGGCGGCCAGATAGTCAACGACATCATCGCCACCAGAGTCCCAGATGCTGTTGTTCCTCCACATGGCAAGAACAAGAATAGCTTTGCTCTCGAAGACGGTGTCACCACTCGAGAATCTTACCATGGCAGCAAGGAGGCCAGATTGGACATCGAGTCAGTCGGCGAGCACTCTGCATCCACGATGGATAAGGAGGAAGACTACTACGTTCTACCGACCGAAGACGAATCGAAGAATCTTCGAAAAGTCGCCGACTCCATTCCAGGCACGGCTTGGCTTCTCTGCATTGTGGAGCTCGCGGAGCGTGCCAGTTACTATGGCGTGCAAACAGTCTTTTCGAATTTTATGCAATTTCCACTGCCCAAGGGAGGAAACGGAGCTGGTGCTGTTGGAAGTCCAAACCAGACTGCTGGTGCTCTTGGAAAGGGATTGGTTTTCAGTAACGCTTTTGTCTTGCTATTCTCATTTCTGGCGTAAGTCTTCTCCGTTTCCGTGGGCTTCACCTATACTGCCCCCTTTTTTTTTGGCTGACGGGGAAACACTAGGTACCTCGTTCCCATCTACGGAGGCTATCTGGCAGACACGAAGCTTGGCCGGTTCAAGACTATCCTTATTGGTATGTGCTCGTCATCACATGCCTCGATGATGCTATAACATACATTATCCCTGACAATAATCTATCTAGGCGTCCTCATCTGCGGTGTTTCGCACGTGATCATGATCATCGGTGCCATACCCAAAGTGCTACAAGGAGGCAATGGTATCGCACCATTCTTGATCTCTCTATTCCTACTCGCCATTGGAGCTGGTCTCTTCAAACCCAACGTCGCACCGACCATACTCGATCAATATCGCCATCAAAAGCCATACATCAGAACGCTCCCCTCTGGCGAAAGAGTCGTCGTCGATCCCGAGGTGACCGTGCAGCGGGTGATGCTCGTCTTCTACGGCTTTATCAACATTGGAGCATTTTTCGCTATTGCCACCAGCTATTCGGAGAAGTACGTCGGTTTCTGGCTCGCGTTCCTGGCGCCAGGTGTCATCTACTTTGCTCTTCCGGCTTTACTCTGGTACCTTTATCCTCGTCTTACAGTGTACCCTCCCGACGGAAGCGCTCTCACCAAAGTCTGGCGAATCCTCAGTATATCGATGAAGCAGACCAAGGGCCAATTCTGGAAACACGAAGCCTTTTGGCAGGCTGCTAGACCTAGTGTGCTTGCGGGAAAAGGCATCACATCTTTTGGCGGCAAAGCAATCTCGTGGACGGATAAAGATGTGGATGATGTCCGACGCACGATGGTCGCATGTGCAATTTTTCTCTATTTTCCTATTTACAATCTCAATGACGGCGGTATTGGCTCCGTCGCTACTTCTATGGGTTCTACTCTCACTACCAATGGAGCACCAAATGATTTACTGGTGAGTTTCATCTATCCAACCACCAGCTTTAACCCTTCACTCTTCCCCTCAGACTCCATCGTATACTAGATGAAAAATAAAAGAATAAAAAAGAATACTAACCTCCTCCAAGAACAACTTCAACCCTCTTACCATAATCATTGCCGTCCCCCTCCTCTCCTACATCATCTACCCCCTCCTCCGACACTTCCACATCCCCTTTGGCCGCATCTCCCGCATCACCTTCGGCTTCATCCTCGCCACCCTCTCCAGCCTCATCGGCGCTCTAATCCAATGGCGCATCTACTCCACCTCCCCCTGCGGCTCCCACGCCACCTCGTGCACCAGCGGCGTCAGTCCCATTTCCATCTGGGTGCAAACTCCCATCTACGCCCTCGGAGCTCTATCCGAATGTTTTTGTAATGTCACAGCGTACGAATTAGCGTATGCGAGAGCTCCCGAGGGGATGAAGGCATTGGTGATGAGTGTGTTTTTGGCTACGAGTGCGCTTTCGAGTGCGTTGGCGGAGATTATTAGTCCTGTTGTTAGGGATCCGAATTTGGTGGGCGTTTGGGCTGCGCCCGCTGTGGCTTTGGCTGTGCAGACGGGCGTGTTTTGGTGGAGGTATAGAGGGGTTGATGGGGATGAGTTTATGATTTATGACGAGGATGGGGAGTGATGGGGATGGGTACCTAGGTGGAGGGGCAAGGAGGAGCGGTAAAGAGGAGGGGAAGGGAATAATAGGGGAAGGGAGTACAGCATATTTGACGCATCACGAGCCCTAGAAATTGCAGAGGTAAGCCATACTACTATCGAGAGAGATATCGGGAAAGGGAATATAGAGTCGCCGAAGGACGGTAGTAGCATCAGATGTTTACCATGCTCCCGAGTATAATTATGTAGCGGCTTTAGGTCTTCCCCGACCAGCCAGTGGTAGAGCAAATATCTCGCTCATAGTAAGCGTCATCGAAGTACGGTGTGATGAATGCCTCATTGTCCAGACAAGCGACATGGTATTTCCCAACTCGCCGAGCACTTGTGATCTTGTCAGGCCTCATTGTGCAAACTCGAACGTGAAAAGCGGCCTGAGTATTCATTCCATTGCAGGAAAATCAAGAGTACCGGGAGAAAATCTTGATCGTATCCGATGTTGTTTCTCTCTTTGGATGTCGCGCTCAAGTTGTCGAAGTTTGGTTCTGTCCGTGTGAAGTGAAGAGAGTTTGTCAATTGTCCCTGAATCATATATTGAATTAGCCTAAATCAGGTCGTCATCAAATTTCAATTACTTAAGGGGTATTCTTGGCGCTCTTTCTGTCTCCCGCCGTCGACACAACCTCACCTCCCTACATCATCAAGTGCATCCACACCGCATCATGTTTCGACTCCTCGCGGGAAATGGCACTGACTTCACATCAACTCCCGGTGACGTTTTCGTTCGAAAGCCAGGCACATTTCTGAATCGGCGACGACAAAGACAAGAGTATGGAGTGATCGAGCACGATGCTGACCTTTACTGGGGCACATGGTATTTCAAAAGAAACCTCGATATATCTCACTTCTTGGTAATTAGAAAGTAACACCGGCTAGAAGACGCACGTAATCCTCCTCCCCAAGGCCGCAACCGATCAAGTCCAGCCTCGACATGAACCAGCACTGTCAAGCACTATGACTCTCACCGTCTGCGTCCCTTGCACTAGTTCGCATCCTCCTCAGCAGTACACTTATATTGATCAGAAGATGCCAAACCTCTTCTTCTTCTTCCCCCCCTTCGGCTTCTCCACTGGAGTGCTAGCAATCTCCCGATTTTTGGCCTGCTTTCTGTTCTTCTCCCGCCTCGATGCACAGCACGTAAAGAAGACGATACACATTCCCAGGAACAGCAGGATGAAGCTCGCAACAAGCAGCCAGATGGCATCTCCAAAGTGTGCCGTCGATGCGCTCCTATCATCGTTGACATGATTCTTCAGAATCCCAAACACTGTAAAGTCTGTAGCCATGACGATCAATGTCAGGAGTAAAGCGACTGCAGCGGCGATTGCGCCTGCTAGCGAGCCGACGATGCCACCACCTATACTCAGCAGAAACGCGATGAATGCGACTCCGCATGCAATCGGGTGTAGAACCATGACCCGTGTCAGACCATCGGCCGTACCGCTACTGATATCTTCATATGGAGTGCCCTGGACAATGGAAAGGTATCGGGAGGGCTCGTATCCGATGTGGCGACCAGTACATCGATCAGCACCACTGACGCCGCAGTTGAGACAGCAGAAGCCGAAAGTCCCAAAGGAATACGAGTAGGATTGTTTCTTATTGCCCATGTGACCGAGATCGATTTTGAGGAGTCCTAGCTGGTTGATGACAGGTGCGGAGATGGTGACGAAAAGGAGGAGGAGAGAGGCGACGAAGAGGAGGAAGACGCCGAAGCTAGTCCATCATCAATATGGACTCCAGAGTAGGAGTGATAGAGTCGCCACTTACTAGTGAAGTCCTGAGCCACGCTTCATGGTCACTCACAACCAACCCAAGCGGCTTGAAGGTAGGTAATAGTCGGGTTATCGGCTTGATCGTGGGAAAAAAAAGGGGGGCTAACGAGTTTCCTCAGGGCACTTTCGTTGCTGAATAGATGCAAGTCGAAGGAAGAGAATAATTCTCACATTCCAACTGCGAAAGCACGACTCTTTGATAGGCATCAGACATTCTACATGGTACAAGTATACAGCAAGTTAAGTTTGCAAGTGACACATGACGTGGTCGTGAGCTCTCGCTGGCAAGCAATGCTCTCGCCGTGCAGTCGCAACAATCAAGCTTCAGACCATGCCTACCCTCGTACTGTCAGACACATGGCAGCTCCCATTTGCCAGGGGTGATGAGAAGCACAAGATGCTACCACATGTTGCTTGTGGACTGCTCCATCACCTGTCTGAAACGCAAACCCCCCCTGATTTGGGGTGTTCGTGAGCATGTTAGCTTCGTGGTACAGGCTTCTTCGACCTTATTCAAGCCTTTGGATGGATGGGATATCCTTGGACTTTGCCACTTGGCTTCACTAGCTGACTTTCATTGATAAACCAACTACACGTGGCTGAGGAAGTGTGAAGAATCGTTTCAACATGTATCTGGTAGCCAAGAGCTGTAAAGACGGGGTGAGCAGGACATCTCTACGAAATCTACTACCGCCTTGAGCTGTTTCCCTGGCTTTGCTTGCTTACAGTGGTTTTTCATACAACATGTTACTTTCTAACCAACTCATCGATGATAGACGAGCAATAGCCAGTCGAAAACTTATACGGAATCGTAAGGGGCGGGGAGATCCGAATTTCCCAAAATTTCCATAGATAGCTTGATTATGCCGAAAACATTCCGTGCATGAAGTACACAGTAATAGAGACGAAGCTACTGTACTACCTACGTAAGGCAAGGTAGGTAGCGACTGATATGCTCGAGACCGACTAACCAATCGCGTTATTGCGGAAGTGAAGCCGCGTGACATAAGCAGTAAGTCAGCAAACATATATATCTCTGTTAGTTCCCCTGCTACACAGATGGAGACGAGGGGGGTTTTTTTATTCTCTTTTCATGCTTCGAACTTTGGCGAGATCTATCAAACCATCGAAAGTATTGTTCCCAGACTATAAAAACTACCTATCTGAAGTTGTCAAGCTGACCGACCATTGAAGAAGATGATGAAAGCAATTGTAATCCATGAGCCCGGCGGGCCTGAAGTGCTCAAGATAGAAGAGGTAGGTACCTATTATATTCAAGCAGAAAAAAGAAAAAGAAGAAGAAAAAAGAAAAAAGAAAAATCCCCAACACCATCCACCTCCTCCCCTCAAAAGAAAAAAAAAGAGAAATCCCCCAAACTAACCCACCCAAAAAAGCGCCCCATCCCCACCCCCCAACCTGGCCAAATCCTCATCCGCATCAAAGCCTTCGGCCTCAACCGCTCCGAACTCTTCACCCGCCAAGGCCACAGTCCCGTGCAATTCCCCCGAATTCTCGGAATCGAAGCCACAGGCATCGTAGCCTCTGCACCACCAGCCAACGAAGAAGAAAAAGAAGAAAAAGAACCCCCCCAATTTCAACAAGGAGACATAGTCGCCACAGCCATGGGAGGCATGGGTCGAGTGTTTGATGGAGGCTATGCAGAGTATACATGTGTGCCTGCTAGGCAGGTACAGAAATTGTATAGTAGCCATAGTGACATCGAACAACAACAACAACAAAAAAATATATTACCATGGGAAATCCTCGGAGGCTATCCCGAAATGTTACAAACCGCGTGGGGAAGTTTATTCCTTGCGTTGCGAATCCAGGCGGGCGAGAAATTATTAATTCGAGGAGGAACGACATCCGTGGGATTAGCTGCAGCGGCGATTGCGAGGAAATTTGGTGGGATTGAGGAGGTGGTGAGTACGACGAGGAATGGGGCGAGAAGGGGGTTGTTGGAGGAACATGGGGTGACGACGGTGATTGTGGATGAGGGGGAGATTGCGAAAGAGGTGTGGGAGAGGGTGGGAGGGGTGGATAAGGTGTTGGAATTGGTGGGGACGACGACGGCGGAGGATTCGTTGAGGTGTGTGAAGCCGAATGGGGTTGTTTGTGAGTTTTTTTCTTTTTCTTTTTCTTTTTCATTCCCCCCCCCCCCTCCCCCTTTTCTACTATCTCCCTGCTCTGATTATCTTGAATTCCCAACTAACATACAACCTCCCTCGCTCCCTCCTCCTCCAGGCATCGCAGGAATGGTCGGCAACAGTAAGTCCTATAATCTCCCCCCTGACTTCCTCCCTTCTCACATCACACACAGAATGGACCTTCTCCAACTTCGAACCCATGGCCAGCATCCCCACCTCAGTTCATCTCACCACCTACAGCGGAGGCACGGAAGAATTCATGCAGACACCCTTGCAAGAAATGATGGAGCAGATTTCCACAGGCGAACTTCGGATTCCTATGGGCAAGGTTTTTCGATTCGAGGAGATTGTGGAAGCGCATCGGATGATGGAGGAGGGGACAGCGGGCGGTAAGATTGTGGTGCTTGTTTAATTGATCGATTGCTTCATCACTGTACAAGTAGCTCATCATACACCTACATGTACCTTGAGTCGCTACGCAAATGATACACATATCAACGCTAATGTCAATGTCCGATACCTCCCGCAACCCAATTGTTCCAGTTCGGATCGTCAGGTGGCGGAAATAAGCCTCCATCATCGTCATCGTCCTCCTCCTCCTCATGCTGCTGCTGCTGCTGATCTTGCTGCGGTGGCGGTGGTTGCTGTGCTTGATCCCTCTGCTGCTGCTGCTGATGTTGCAGCAAATTCATCCTTCTGCGTTCAACCTCTCTCGCACGCTGCTGACGATACCAGAACAGCCCGGCCAACGCGGCGAGAAGACCACCAATCAGGAGGGTCTCCAGGACCTCTTCGTCAATCTCACCATCGCCATCCCAGTCGCCTCCCGGCATCGGCTCGGTGCCGTCCCAGTCATCAGCTTCATATCCGTCTTGATCTTGATAGTACTGTGCATCCGCTTCCAAAAAGTCTCGAACCCACTCCGCAAGATCTCTCCGCTTCTTCGTAGGCGCTTCATCTTCAATACCATGTACGCCTCCACGAGTGACTGCATTCCACCATGATCGCCATCGCAACTTGAACAAGCTGAGTTTGACGGGTAAATAAGCTTCGTTATTAGTGCCCAGAGCTTGATCGTAAAAGCGCTTGGCCAGGTGGAAGTCTTGCTCGATGCCAATCCCATTTTCATGCATCCATCCCAGGTTCCACATGGCTTGTGCAGATTGCAATGTTTCTGCAGCGGATTGGTAGCATTGCGCGGCATGTTCGGCTGAAGCAGCAGTACCCAGTCCGGCGAGGTAATAGTCGCCCATCTTGACGAGAGCATCAATGTTCTGCTGCTTGGCGGACCTCGTCCAGTGTACCAGCGCCAGCGCGGCATCTCCGAGAGAGCTCTTCGTGCTACTCGCAGTCGATGATAGCCAGTTGAACGGGCTCCACGTCGGCTTCGACTGAAACTGGTCCAGCAGCCATGCAACATTCGCCTGGGCATTCTCAGAGCCTTGCTCTGCCGCCATCAGGTAGGGAATGAAAGCCTTGCTCGGCTCCCCATCGTCATACGCTTCGACAGCCTCACTCAAGCCACTCCAGATTGCTTCTGCCTTTTCAACTACTATCTTGTAATAGGCTGCAGCAGTCCCGCAGGACTTGTCCCGGCCAATGCCTTTCTGACTCATCTCAGCAAGGTAGTAAAAGGCCTCAATGTGACTGTTTCTCGCGGCCAACTCAAAGTACTTTGCCGCGGTGACCGTGTCGCCCTGATCGAGAAAGAGGGTGCCAAGATGCGTTTGTGCAACAGCCAAGTCCTGGTCAGCTGCAGCGGCGAAGAGCTCCGCGGCTCTGACGACATTGCGGTCCACACCATAGCCATGGAGGTACATTAATCCCAAGCTGTACTGGCAGAGCGCATCGCCGTTGGCAATGCCGCGATTAAACCAGATCTTGGCTTTGGCAAAGTCCTGCTTGGTGCCCTCGCCACGGAGGAACATGCGGCCCAGGTAGCCAGCGGATTTGCTTGCCAGCCGCTCCGTGCTATGGGGTGCATCCTTCTTCACTTTGTTGTTGGATGACCAGTACTCTCGTGCCACTTCCATAAAGTAGTGCTTGGCCACCTTCGTGTCGCGCTTGAGACCTCGCGTGCCGTCATAATGAATTCTAGCAAGTCCGAATGTCGCCTTGAGGTCACCTTTGGAGGACTGCAGATGCAGGTATTCGAGCACGTCTTCCACATCGGCATAAGCATCACTCGTCGGACCACCCTGTCGGGCGTTCGGTCCGGCCGACGCGACGCTGGCACCTTCTCCATACACGCCGCCTTCCTCGTCCGCAATTCTCCAAGCATCCCTCACCAAAGAGTGGCCACCGGGAGGTCCGGACCGGTAATAGGAGATGGCCGTGTCTGCCACCTGCTTGTACCAGTGCACCGCCTCTTCACAGTTCTTAGGCGTCGCAATGCCAGACATGTGTCGATACCCCAAGGTCATCTGTGACCGCGTGTTCCCCTGCTCTGCAGCGAACGTGTGGTACAGCATGCTTTTTGCTTGGTCTACTGGTACCGAAGGCGCCAGGCCAGTTGCGTAAATGAAGGCGACCATGTACTGGGCGGTGCTGTTCCCGTTGAGATCTGCCAGCTGTTGATACCTCTTCATGGCAACATCATAGTTGATCGGGTGGGAGTGATTGCCGTGGAAGTGGAGGTCGGCGAGCAGGTAGATCGCATCGGCATCGTTCTCGTTGGCAGCTTCTTCGAGGAGCTTGACGGCGCGTGAAAGTGGCGGAGCGAGCTTGACCGGCTGGTCCTCTGTGGCTGTTGCAACGAGATTGGTCTGCTTGGGCGCGTTCATGAAGAGGAGAACGAAGGCCTCTTTGGCATAGTAGACAGCGTTGCCGAAGATGCCCTTGGGCTTGCTCACGAACCGCTGCAGCTTCGAGCCCGTTGGAGGCTTGACCTTTCGAAGGAGTGAAATGGCCTCGACTACCTCGCTGCGTACCTCATAGCCGGGCTGCTGTTGCTCTTTCGGTTGCTCTGTTGCTCCTCCTGTTCCCATTGACGTGGGTTCGGCATAGTCGCTCAGTGGTTGGGCTCGTTCGAAGGCCGGGGGCTTCTCGTCGACATCGGTCGTCTCGGCAATGTCTTGCGCGAAGGTGCAAGCTAAGAAGACGCATAGCACTACTCAATCACCAGCATTATCGTCAGCAGCAGCAGCAGCAGTGTGTATCAGGCGGAGCTGGTCTTACGGAGCAAGAGTGGAAGTGGAAGACGGGGACGCTTCATCTTCGCTGCCGGGTTTCCGTGTGATCAAGTGATAGCAATATACTGCCCGAGCTGTCTATCGATCGCCTATGGGAGGCGCTGGATGTGGCTATCTCATCGCGTGAGAATAAAACGCTGGAGTTCGTCGAACGCCCGTCGATGTCGCCAAAGGTGTCGATGTCAATGTAGATGTTGCCAGCTGTGACGCTCGCTTGTACATGCTCGCGTGGCGCTGGCGGCGGGCGGGCGGCTGGTGCCGAAGGGCCCCTTCCTTACTCACAAACGGCCAGGGTACCTTTTGACTTGGCGCTCTAGATACATGGGATCATAGGTGTGGAAGGATTACCTATTCATACCGTAACTACATGTAAACTACCTAGGAGGCCAAGGCGTCAATCTAGTCCTTTGGTTTCCAGGTCCTTTTTCTTCCTTCTCACATGCGAGGCGGCTCGATCAAACTCTTGCGCTCCCCGTCACCACACCTGTGCCACGGGGGACTGGGGAACCAAAGTCCGGGAAGCAAAAGGCGTGTGTGATCTATATCACGCCCCAAGAGTGACGCAGGGTGGAGTGGAGGCCAATGGGAACATTCATCTCAAACTCCCATGCTAATGCTGTCTGTCGATTCGGCGGTCTACAGGTCCGCCCTGTCCGCATTTTTAACGCCTAATATGCACCTCTGTGCCGCATTCTACCCCTTCTAAACACGAAATGCTACATCTGAGCAGCTCGTCGAGTGGATACGAATGACGACCTCCCGACATGAACCATATCATTATCCCATGACCATTTGTGAACAATGTTTGAACACTTCATCAGATTCTCACTGCACCACCTCGGCATGCCTCAAGCTGCTCGGCTCCGGCTTCTTGCGGCGGCCGAGAAGAGTGGCGTTATCAAGGCTCAGCTCGAACGCGCCCGCCTTGTTCCGTACTTGACGCTTTGCAGCAGCGGCAACTTCGGGCGAGTGTTGGCCATAGCCGCGAGCCTGGCTTGCCTTGGGGGCTGCTGCTTGACGAGCCTGCGCAGCAGCTGACAAGTTGGTGTTTCGCATTTGCTTCTCCACACCACCCACATCAGGAGCACCCGACTTGGGCACCTTTGCAGGGGGAGCCTGTGCGTTTGTATATGGCTCGGATGTGCCTTCGTACTCCTCGTCGTCGGCATACTCTTCATCCAGCGCATTGAGGGAGTTGCCGCCTCGGAAGCCTTGCTTGAAGTTCTTTCTCCGCTTGCTCTCTTCTTCCTGCCTGTGCACGGAGTATCCGACATCAAACACTTCACGCAAGTTCACGGCACCAGGCGATCGGAAGTCTTGTCGGCGGCCACCAGGGGTCTCGTCGAGGTATGCAAAGTCGGGCTTCATCGGTGAGCCGGTGGACATCTGACCAGCACGCGTATGTAGCGGCGTTGCAAGCGGGGGAGCATCGGCCGCTGCATATGTGGGCTCGTTGGTGGCACCTCGAATCCAAGGGTGGTTCAGGAACTGGTTGATATCGTATCGCTTTTCCGGGTCCACAGTCAGTAGATGCGAGACCAGATCCTGAGCAGACTTGGAAATGTCGTCCCACCACGGTGACAAGAAGGTATATTGTCCTCGTGCAACCTTCTCCGTGAGTACCTGGATGCTCTCGTCATAAAATGGTGGAAAGCCGCAGAGGAGCGTATACAACACGCAGCCCAATGCCCACATGTCGACACTCTTCGAGTAGCGTTCGTCCTTGACAATCTCTGGAGCCGTGTAGCCGACCGTGCCGCAGGGCGTCATGGTCTGACTGTCCCAGATGACCTTGGACAGGCCGAAATCTGCAATCTTGATCACGCCAATGCCGCCTGCTCCCACTCCAGGCACGAACTCGCCCTCGTCTGCCTTGTCTTCATCTTCGGGACCTTTCGGCTTGGGGTTTTTAGTGGGTACAAATGGGGTAGGGTAGAATAGGAGGTTCTCAGGTTTGATATCACTGTCCACACCGTCAGCACTGTGTCCCATCCGGAAGTCTACAGGAATACATACCGGTGCACCACACCGGCTTCCTCATGCAAGTATTGCAACGCCGTGGCCACCTGGTAGATGACGTGTCGCGACAGATCCTCGCTAAAGTAGGTCAGACGAACAATCTGATGAAACAGCTCGCCGCCCGGACACAGTTCCAGGACGATGTAATAGTATTGCCGTGACTCGGAGAAGTCGATGAGCTTGATGATATTGGGGTGGTCGAGCTGACGCATGATCTGCACTTCTTTGAGGATGTTTGCTCTCTATTGGATCGTGACGTCAGCGATGGGCACTTTCATACATGATGTATTTGCGAGCAGTGCAACACGAAATCCAATGTGTGAGGTCGCGAAGACGAGTACGAGAAAGTAGTGCAAGGCAAGCAGCAAGTAACAGTAGTAATAGTAGTGACAAAGGAAACTGTGCGCACCTCCACGCCCTTGGGAGCTTTCTTTTCATAATCCGGATGGAGGACGCCCTAAGAGGCACATGTGTTGGTCACATGCATGTGCATAGATGGATGCAGAAGATGGCAAGCAAGGAGAAGCCGCAGCCGGCCTGGGTTAGCATACCTGTGTGGAGTTCATCTCGAACTTTCGCACGACTTTGATGGCGACCTGATCATAGACGTTCTGCGTATCCCTCGCGCGGTAGACGTTGCTGAAGGCGCCGTCACCCATCTTCTCTTGGAGCGCCCATCGATCCAGTCCCGGGTACTTGGGTAGCTTGCCTTTGCTCTCGCGCTCTTCGGCCACGATGCGCTCGAGCACTTGCGGGTCGTAGTCCTTTTGCTTTTGCTCTCGTTTCTGCCTGTCCTCGACGGCGCGATCGGCAGCATGGCCGGCTTTGGCGGCTACATTCCTGTTATCAATGGCGGCGGCAGAGTAGTCACCGTGCGGTACATTGGCAGGTATGGGCTTGCGATCATAGACGTTGGGATCACTGAAGCCGTGGGCTTGCTGTTGTGCTGGTGGTGCCACCCGTTGCTGCTGAGCGTGGACATTAGACACGTGCGTCGTGGGCTGATCCTGCGGCGAGCGGCCGTCACGAGCCTGTTTCCCGTGGCGGATGAAGTTCTTGAGGTTCTGTATTGTCGACATGGTTAGGGTATGCGAATTGGTGGTGGTGGTGGTGGGAAGCTAGTGCTCAGCCCTGGACGGGTCGGGCGGCAGCGAAGGTGAGGGAGGACGGCGGGAGGGAGAGTGGAAGAGGAGTCAGCGAGCAGGAGTGCTGGTGCCTGGTGGGCTGGGAGGGTGTGGTTCTCAATTCTGAAGAGAGCGCTGGGCTGGGGGAGAGGAGGTGGTGGTGGTGAAGGGCAGCAGGGCGAAAAGAGAGCGGATTGGTCGGTGGGAGGACACAGGCAAGAGGCATGCGTGGAGACTCCGGAGCATGGAGTAGGTAGGTGAGTGAGTGAGAGTGAGTACAGTAGCAGTAGGTAAGGTAGGTAGTAGCAGGAAATGTAGGTCAGGTCAGGTAATGCAGGTCAGGTAGTGAGGTGTCGACGCTCTCTCCCGCATCCATGGGTAGGCTATGACGCAGATTATGACGTTTTGGGGGAGTGCCCAGACAAAGCAGGTCAGGTCCAGCTCGTCGACGGGAGGGAAGGGAAGGGAAAAGAAGGGAAGGGCAGGGAAGAAGGACGGGCCATTCTCATTCTCTGCTGATGACCGCAGCGGGGAGGCGAGAGCTGAGCTGTCTGTCTGTCTGTTCTGTCCGTCCGCCTGTCTGCCTGACTGCCTGATGACGACGGACACGACAGTGATGCACACATCATAGGAATGGAATGGAGGTAGAGATGATGTAAGGTAGGAGGTACATGTAGGTATGTATAGGCACAGGTACTGACCTCAATTGTCCAGCCGAACATTTCCTGACAGCGTCAAGCGTCCACCTCACACAGTCTGGAGAAGAGACTCTCACAAGAAGCGCGCAGGCAGACTCCGAAACACCCACCCGTCCGCCTGGAATAGGGATAATGCCACCCGGGACGATCTCCGGACCACTTTTTTCTTTTCGCACGTGAAAATTTCGCAGAGGACCTGGATGCCTGAGGAATGCAGCCCCCCGGTGTGTGTCTTTTTAGCGACTTGGGTGTTGATGTGGGGACGGAACGACGGAGAGCACTAAGGTCCTGACAGGTATGTACCTGTATGTAGGAGGTAGTGTTCCAAGTCACCATTACCCACGTACGCAAGCCCGCCTTGGAAGATGGATTTCTCTCTCTGTAGTTGACTAGTTCGACTTCTACTAGCTAGGTCTCCTTCCTGGAAGCCCCAAGTCTGCGCAAGGATCTCGTTGCCGGCCGACTCCGACCCGTACTAATGAGGGCATCGCTATAATAACCTGGTACCTACCTGATGCTTGGAACGTCTGAGGCTTGACTGGTAGTAGGCAGGAGAGGTAGGAAGCACAAGAGCTGCTCGTATCCATCCTCAGGACATATCATAGAGTACATAGCAGCAGTATTAGGTCATCTGAAATCTAATGCTTTTTCCTTTCTTTTTTCCCTTTTTTTCTGTTTTAATTTAATTTATATCGGGGGAAAAAACAAAAAGCGTGGTTCTTGCGTCACGAACCGACCCATTCAACACACACACCTAGAGGAGAGGAGGCTCACATGAAAATACAATTCATGATGACGATGGTACCTACCTCCTAGTGCAAGCCACATCACGAACATGTTACACAGCTGACTTCATTCCTCCGCAATCCGCTTTTTTAACGACAATGGAACGCACAACGCACGCCAGGTCTGCGAGTCAGCAGTAGAGAAGTCTGGTTGAAAATGCGATTCAAGTACCTCCTTCGCTCCCTCCTCTGGTAGATGATGGAGACTGTTTATTGATTACCTAAAGGCTGCTGAAAGTCTAGTATCTACTCTACCTAGCTGGGGGAGTCATCATTCTCTACCTGGCATCATTCATTTATTACCTCACCTTACTTTAGGAGGTATGCCCACCTCAGCTACCATACACAGTAACCTCATTAATCCCCACCGTCCAATCCGCCTCATTCCCATTCACATTATTAATAATCCCATCCACATAAATTCTCACATATCGCACCTTCTCCGTCGACGTCGCAAAGGCAACACTGAACCCGACATCAACACTATCATGCATATCAGCGAGAAGCAGAGAAAAATATTTCCCGTCCGACGATCCCGTCACATTATAATGGTAAAACGTATCCGACCCGGGAACGATTTTCGTCGTGAGATCGATTTGGGAGATGTTGTAGGCCTGTTGTAAATCAATCTGATACCAAAACGGCACGCTGCTGGGTACAAATGTCGCGTCGACGTCGGTTTGGATGCCATCGTTTGCGAACGCAATGTCCTTTGCTCCTGCGCTGGAGCTGGCGGGTTTGCCGACGGAGAGGATCTGGCCGGATTGGATGCCGTAGACGTTTTGGCCCGCGGGTGCTTCCTCCGAGTACTTGGCTTTGTGGTAAAAGGAGCAGGATGCGAAGCCTCCTTGCGCAGACAGACCCATGGGCAACATGAGTTGTCGGTTGGGGCCGCCTTTGGTCGGCCAGTTGTTTGACCAGCGATCTGCATTCATGGCGAATTGTCCCATGCCGAATTCGTTGACGCCTCCAGACTGCGAACCGAATGTGGATGTCGAGCCAATCGTGGTCGGCGGTCCCCACGGTCCCGCCATGGCCTGGGCGGCAATGTACTGGGGCTGCGATGGCAGCCAGCCGGAAGCGCCACTGGTGAACAGATAGTACCATCCGTTTGATTTGATGACCGACGGCGCTTCTCGGTGACCGCCCGCGTTCACCTGTACGAGGAAGGAATCGACTTTGGTCCAGTCCGAGCTCAGACGGTAGATGTTGTTGTTGGTATTGACGTTGGTGCTAGTGACCAAGTACGCGTCAGTGCCATCGGCGAAGAATGCCATGTCGCGGGAATCATCTCCGTTGGGTGCGAATGCACCAGCAAATGTCATTGAACTCGCTCCCGGCTTGATGTGGGCAACAGCCACCCAGCCGAGTCCGTAATCTTGTGATCGCTCATAATGTGCCCTGCAAAGTATATATGTGAGCATCTCGTCCCGTGTGAGTTGGAGTCGCTCGCTCAGCTTACCACATGACGAACTCGCCACTGCTGGGATGCTGTCTGAACTGGACTCTCTCCAGCTTGCACGAGTAGTTTGCTGGAGCGCACAGAATTTCGCTGGTCAGGACGGTTTTGTCACCGCTGAAGTCGAGGCCGTCGCTTGACGTCTGTTCCACAAACCGACTGAAGGATCCATTCGTTTGCGTCTCGTACGTGTATTGATAGTACACTCCATTCACCAAGAGCTCCGACTTGCGCCGGAGGGTAGATGGACTGGTATTGTCATAGTCGAGGTATGAGTTTAGCGGAGTGTATGGAGTAAGTGGTACAGCAGTGGACTTATCCACTTCGGTTTCGCCATTGAGTGCTGTCACTCGAAAGGTATAAGCCGAGCCTACGGCGAGGTTGTAGCTGTCGAATGTGTTTCCTGGAACGGTCCCGAGTGTTTGCCATGATCCTCCTTCCCCTATTGTGCTCTCCACGCGATAGGCGTTGGCGCCATTCACTATCGCCCACGACAACTTGGCATTGTTGACAGAGGCGGTGTTCTGGAGCTGAAACAGGTCACCAGCAATACCAAATTCTGCCTGGACAAGACGTGCCAGTCCTGTCAAGGCAGCAGACCAAAGCAGTTGAGAAAACATTATGCCAGTAAGAGAAGTCGAACTCACAAAAATGAAACAGAGAAAGGATCATCCAGGAGGACGAAGCATTGTTTTTGAACATAGGTGCAGTGGCAATAGCAGCACCCATTACTGCATGGCTCTCCGTGGAATGACCATGCATCGTGTTACCTAACCGTGATGTTGACATATAAAAATATCGTGTGTCGTCGAACCTTGTTGCGATGCAATCAAACTGGGATCTAAAACAAGCTCCAGATTTAGACGTGTGGTGTGTGGTTCCGACACTCCGCCAGTGACCAGAGGAGGGATGGCGTCTTCTACTCCTCGTGTTTGATCCATGTCGGCTGGTCTCGCCGTCTCGGACCTCTCGGTAGCATGGCGGCATACTAGCATCTACTGTATACAGTTATTTCGGAGATCGGAGGCTGCTCCGTGTGATGCGAGCTGGAATCCGTGTTTCTGTTGATGAACTTGTGATGTGATCTTCTAGGCTGCTTCTTCACCTCGTTCTCGCCAGGCGCAGCGCCGGCGGAACGCTTTCCCATTGGCAGCAAAGTGAAAGCGGCCTGAGGGGGGGCATGATGATTCGAAGCGACGAGATGAATGCTTCCAGGGTGTCTGAAGGTAAATGGAAGAGCGACAAGTGGTCTACAACCTAGGAGCCTAGGAGGTACCTGAGTTTGGCAGGACGGTAGGAGAAACAGAGTTTTCCTCGGCGCGAATAGGAGGCAGCTGGTAGCATCACTATAATAGAACGACACTACTCCGCGCCTGCACAGACCATGAAGGGACTAAGGTGATGATCATGATTGGAAAGAAACAATCATCCCTACACTACCTATACCGTACGCTTGTGATGCAGAGGTTGTGGGAGCAGCAGCTTTGTCCTCGTCATTCGCATTCATTCATTCATTCATCCATCCATTCAGCCATCATTTCATCTATTCACCCATTCCTCCATTCATCCACCTAGAAACACCCCATCGTGAATCATCGTCCTCACGATCCAGAAAGAAGTATCTGCTGAATCTCGTCTCTCGCGCGCCTGCGTCTGGCACATAAGACCAAACTATTGTTCCTCGATCGCGAACCCGCCTTCGGTGGAGAGCTTCAAGATAAGTATCTCAGCAGCTGCCAACCACGCTGGTTCTCTCTCTCACACACACTCTCTCTCAGAGAAAGCAGTATCAGGTGTGTTGGCCCCATTCCTCCTCGTCCTCTTCCTCGTGCTGCTGACATACAATGAGGTCATCTACATGCTGTTGGGAGGTTAGCAATCGAATGCTGACACGCGGAGGATACCAATTGCAAAGTCCGACCTATGAGAGGGTATAGCGTCGAACACAGCGTCTTCTGTGAGGCGTGCAGCAGTGTTGTGTGACCTCCAACGCAAATTGTCGAGCTGTGATGAAGTAAGCAGTTAAACAATAGGTAAGCAGTGAACAGTGAGCAGTGAGCAGGTAGATGTAGGTGGTCATGTACATGTACCTGAGGAGGCTGATCAATCGCAGTATGCCAAGGTACAACTAGGAGGTACCTTAAGGTAGTAGATCTACACACTGATCCGGATTCATATCGGTACGAGCCCGAGGCGTTGGCTCTCCAGAGTCCGGGACGTTCTCTCCAGACAAAATGGAACAATCCAGCTGACAAACAACTCACTTACTTAGTTCTAGTGTCGGCCCCGAAGCGAAAGCACTCTTTCCATCGTTTGCTCTATAAGGTATGGTCCACTACGCGCCCCTCACTTTCCCACTCTCAACTCTCAACTCACGACACTCACCGACCGACATCAACCAACCCGACACCAACTCACCGCATCAATGTCTTCTCCCAAAGCCCTTCCCACAGGCTCGATGGTACTGGTAACAGGAGGTCAGTCAACCACTATCCAAACAGCTCATGGATCATTTCTAATCACTCATGCCGCACAAGTGAACGGATTCGTCGCCTCCCATGTTGCCGATCAACTCCTCGAACACGGCTATGGCGTACGAGGAACCGCTCGCGACGAAGTGAAACTCAACCTCGCACTCGATGCTTTACGAAAGCGCCACCCGGACAGTACAGTGGAAGGCGTAGTAGTACCGGACATGGTGGCAGACCATGCCTTTGACGAAGCCATGTCCGGTGTATCAGGAGTAGCTCATGTGGCTTCAGATGTCAGTAAAAGAATGAAATTATCCAACCGCTCTTTAAAAGACATTCTGAACTCAGCTCCATCTCATCGGAGAGAGGGAAAGAAAACGAGAAATACACATTGCTGACCCTCCATATTTCATATTATAGGTCAGCTTCTCTCCTGATCCCGCAGTCGTAGTCGGGAACGCCGTCGCAGGTGTAATCAATGCCTTGAAAGCAGCTGCGCAAACTCCCACCGTCAAGCGAGTAGTCTACACTTCATCTTCCATCGCCACTGCGCACCCGCGGCCCAATGTGGCATTCCACGTGAATACCGACTGTTGGAACGAAGAAGACATGAACTTGGTCAAAGACCCCCACGCCGACCGAGAAGACCTCAGCTGGCCCTTTCACGTCTACGGTGCATCCAAAGCCGAGTCCGAGCGCGCAGGTTGGAATTTCATGAAAGAAAACAATCCCCATTTCGTCTTCAATGCTGGTATGATGAATCCCATTCATTCTTCCCATTCAGACCTAAAAATTCAAAAAGACTTCCCCTCCCATCCATCCCGTAACTGACTTCAAAAAATAAAAATAGTAAACCCCAACCTCGTCCTCGGCCCCATCCTCTTCGGCTCCGGCTCCACAGCCGGCTGGATCAACGCCCTCTACAACGGCGACGCCGCCACGGCGCGATCTCTCCTAGCCCTGCCACCACAACACATGGTACACGCACGCGACGTAGCGCTTTTGCATCTCGCAGCCCTGCTCGAGCGGGACGTGACGGGAGAGAGAATTCTCGCATTCGCGGAGCCGTACAATTTCTCGTCGTTGGTGGATACGTTGCATCGGATTGATCCCGAGAGGAAGTATGCGGAGAAAGCGGCAGAGGGGCAGGAGTCGAGGGATTTGAGTGTGGTGGATACGAATAGGGGAAAGGAGTTGTTGAGGAGATATGGTCGGGTGGAGGGATTTGATGGGTTGGAGGCGACGTTGAGGGATCAGTTGGCTCATGTGAAGTGAGGGGGAGAGGGCGCACAGGGGCAAAATGAATATGAGCTTTGGGATGGGGTGGACTTGGTATGACAGAATTGAAAACTACCTACTCGAAACAAAACACGTCCAATACTCCCACACGGTGTGTTTATCTACAATTCCATCCTCTCATCTTTTCGTCCGACTCATGCTCAATCGCACTTAAGGTATCCATTCCACTACCCTATACCCTTCGAGGATGTGACGTGCCATCACTCAAAATCCCCAGACCGAAACACTTTCCCGTCCAACAGCATCCCCATATGACTTTTCGAAATATCATCTCCCCCACGTCGAATCTTGGAAAGAAACACTTTCAAGAAATTGACAGGACTCGAGCCAAGACCAACCTCATTGTTTCGAATAAATCCATCCATCGTAACCTCCTGGCCCTGCTCAGCCGGCTTCGAGAGCAAACCGAGAAAGCGGGTGGTAGCCACATACTCAGCGTAGGAATTCCAATAGAGTTGGCCAGCAAAAACGCCCAACTGAACGGACAAGCTCAGAGGTACGTGGACGGTGAGAGCTGGAGAGGAAATCTGGTAAAAGTCGAGTTTCTCCATTGGACGATAGCGGATGTTGTAGCGGGGACGATAGAGATGGAGAGCAGCGCGCGAGTGGAGAAGGGCGCCTCTCGCTACGAGATGCTGGGCTTCGTACGGAGAAATGATGATGATGTATTCGGCGGTGGAATCGCTCTTGCCCAGTCCGGTCAGAACCCACTGGACAGAGCGTTGATAGGAGTCGTGGAGGGCTCCTTTTCCGGAATCGAGAATGGTGCGAGAGAAATCCGTGGATACGAGCATGCGTTGATCTTGGAATTGCGTGACGTCGAAGTGCAAAGCAGGACTTGTGTTTGACAACGTATGAAACGCTGGACCGTAGGCCGAGGAGTGCTGCTTGGCTTCACCTGTCATGACAAATGACAAAATGTCTCGATGAAGGTGGTTTTGGGCTGCCTGTGCCGCCGGTGGCTTCTGGACCACACGCTCCGCATCCACGTCACATTCTGGCGAGAGCTCTCGCTCTTGCTCCTCCGTAAGCTTACGCGCATTGAAGGAGAGCATGCCATACAGCTCACATCGTGCAATGATGGCACGCGAGCGATGCTTGGTATCCTTCGCCAGAATCTCCAACGGTGCCTTTTTGCTCGGTTTGGGGCGATAGCGGAAGTCCAGAGTTCGAGCTTCTTCTTCGCGGAACTCCCGTGCGCTCGTCTCATTCAACTGGTAATGACCATCAACAGTGTTCTTGTCCCACAGCTCTTTTTGGATGTTGAATCGATGGTTTTGCGCAACCCACAGAGCCATTGAGTGTTTGATCTCCGTCCAAGTCTGCAAAATCACCCATCGGACCACAGAGGCGGTCGTGATCTCCACGTTGGTCTCGTTGTCTGCGCGATCGCGTAATATCGACTCTTTGATCTCGTTAGGCACACAGAAGACAATCGTCTGCCCCTTTCCGAGCTTCCTCATCCGCATGCAAGCCTGGACCAGCCGATCCTTGCTCAAGTTAGCTCCGAGCGTGCACGCAGCTCGCCAATGCACTGGCAGCTTGAGATCAATGCCACGAGTGTGCGCTTCGTCTAGGTAGACAATACACATGTCCATTCTCTCCTTGTACGAAGACGTCTGCAATAACTCTATTCGACCTGTGCGATCAATCACCGACAGTTCATCCTGGTCGTTGCAGAACACCGCAGCGCTCTTGTCGTTCGCATGATACTTTGCGAGCCAAGATGCAGCCACGCTTTTGTTGTCGAGCTCCAGCACGAAAGCACCCACATCAAGAATGACCTGGGGCACTGGTCTCAGATTCATGACCATATCCAGCAATTGCTCCGCATCTGTAGCCGAGGCGTCGGCAGTGCTGGGCATAAGCGCGACTGTGTTTTCAAATCGCAGGAGATATTCGAGGACAAGCGCATTGGTATGCATTTGCTCTGGTATGTCGATCTGACGCACGTCCAGCGGAAGCAGAGCGCGACTGTCGTTCGTTCCGGAAAAGCAAGTAGTGGGAAGCGTCTTTAGCCTTCCTAGATCGCAACCAGAGGCAGAGAGCTTGTGTGGATATTCTTTCATCTCTCTTGGGAAGACAACGTGGCTGAGCCAGTAGTCGATAGCACCCTTCGAGTAGCGAAGATGCGGGAAGACCTTCGTAATACAATGCACGCGATCCTTGATATTGATGCCGGCGAGATGTCGATACTCCACTGGTACGTCGACATCCCATAGCCATGTCAGGTACTCCGCATCGGCTTGATCGCACGTCATCAGGTGACCGAGTGCAGTGAATAAGTCCTCATCTGGTAGGCCACCGTAGTAGTATGACAGCGAGGTCAGCAGAATCACAACATCCGGATGACTGAACTCGGAACGCGGCGAGGGGCTGTCCTTTGCGCGGTAGGGCACTGCAAGCCTTGTTGCGGGACTTCGAGTGGTCAGACCGTAGGTCACTCGCCATCTCTTGAGACAGAAAATGAACTGCAAGATTCCACCAGCTAGTAAACCACGAGTGAGGAGAAGTGCCTGCTTCGTGTTCGCAGTCCAGAATGCCGATGTCTCGACCGCGGCTGTTTGTTCAGGGGTCAGATCGGGTGTCGTGATGTACTTGAACAAGCTGGCTCGAACTGTATCTGATTGTGACGAGGTAGGCAGCCCTAGCAAGCCGAATTCTGTCACATCCTTTGCAATGCGATACACGAGCTCCCGGGCAACCTCTTCCTGCAGTATGCGTATTCGCGGGAAGCCTCCTTCACCGCGAGTATTGAACTCCATGGTCTTTGCATCCTGCTCAGCCAATGCTTGAGCATGCACTTTGACCAGCGCTAGAAAGTGTTGGACAAAACCCCAACGGGCGGGAGCGAAGTCAACCTGTCTCCGAATGCCCAGCGTATAGACAAGTTCAAATTTGACATTGAAATTTTCGTCACTCTCATCCACGATGTCCCGGGAGAATTTATCGAAGAGTTCCTGCGTTCGAAGAAAACTCGCGCCGGCGTCTTTGTTGCCAGCTAGAACGCTCTCGGGGCCGGTCAGTTTGAAAGAAAGGATGTGCTCAGGTTGGAGAAGGAGAATACCGCCCATCTTCATGCACTCTCGGCATAGCTCATCGATGGCCTCAGCAGATGATCTTGTGAGTCTCAATGCGCGAGAGTATGGCATAAAGTAAATGCGCCGATTCACCAAACCGCCCAGCTTCGAAACGAGCATCTGTGCCATTTGCTTGGACTGTGGTTTCGCAACAATCACACGAACCAATTGCTTGCCATTCCCCAGAGCTGCAGCCACCATTGGAACGATGACAGATGATTTGCCCTCTCCCATATTCAGTTGGACGACCTGATTACCCCTGCTGCTGGGACTCCTCATCTCCCTGGCAATGTCCTCCTGAACATCTCGCACCATGATGGCTCCTTCAACCTCAAGCAGCAGAGTCTCTGGCTGGGCGAGGGGGTCCCAGTTGGTATGTCCAACCTCGGAGAGTTCGCGTTGCATATCGTCCAAGTTTTTCGAGGCTTCAGCGTTGAGAAGCCGTTCTGCTCGCTGCACGGCGGTAATCGCTATGCCATATTGGACAATCGGCTTCTTCCACTGGCTGGGGAGCGCCTGCCATCGATCACGGTTCAGCTGCGCAAGAAAGAGAGATGGAGATGGTCGAGGCCAGTGAAGATCTTCGCGGCCTCCAGATTGCTTCTCCAGCTGAGTTCGTGACGCAGTGACCAAATTCGCGAAAATGAGCTTCAAGAACTCCTCGCAACGTGAAAGGTGCTCATTGAGCTCAGCCAAGGTGGGTTGTACAATATCGTCGATACGACGCTTCAATTGTAGAGCGTTCATACTGCCACGAAGGCCCTCCACGTAGGTCTTCTTGAACAACTCCTGGTTGGCGGTCTCTTCCTCCAGAACATTTACTACAGCTCTCAGATTGGGACATGCATCTTCAGACGTGGCACCCGTCTTAGAAGTGTACGTCTGTGTTGCGAGCCTGGGGAACCTGTCGTCTCGCAATGCCTGCGGCACGAAGTCGGCAAAGACATGCTCAACAGTGGCGTGTCCTGGTATTGACGGTGCTCTAAGCCCGTGGGAAATAGCCATATTCGGCACTGAAATGGGTTGGCTCGATAGGCTGGACACGGCGACTTGCAAGTCATCAAGATATCGTTGCAGAGCTTGGTTGTTCCGGCGCATCTCGAGCATACCGTTCACACCTTCCATCATCTTCGCACAATCGATATAATCGTCGACAGGGGACTTGGTCGCTGCCTCCGGTAACGAGACATCTTTAGCACGATCAGAGACCCACTGCCTGTGGAAGCCCCGAGCAAGGTCCTTCGAAATAGACAGAACTTGACGATTGTACTTTGGTTCACATCGAGCGCGGTGTTCAGCGTTGGTCTCCAGACGATTTCCATATGGTGCCCGCAAAAATTGTGTTTTGGCGTCCGGACTATGCTTGTAGGAAACGGCTGCATCTGCAATATTTGACTGTAGTTCTTCCAACGTTATGTCCTGCCCTTCTGCAGGACAGAAAGACTTCGCTGCGGGCGGAACCACAGCTCGCAATGATTGCGCTGTGAGAAACATTGCCACCACCTGCAACAAAGCCATGTCTGCGTCTGGCGACAGTGCCATTGTTGAGAGCCACATCATTAGCGCAGGCCGATTGACATCAGTCTCTGGACTACCCAGTGTTCGATGTAGGGACAACAAAGATGGCGCGACTTCATTACTGTTCCCCTGCATCAAACGTGCATCGAACGCCATTCTGTCCACCTGCAAAGGTCGTGCGGCTCCGTAGAGGGTCTTCAGATCCATTACCTGTTTCCAGAGATGACCTTTTTCGGGTAATCTCCAATGAAGCTTGTCGGAGTTGGAGACAATAAGACGCGACATAACGCATGCCTTTGTGGCAGATGGGGAACCTTGGCCTCGATCTCGAGACTGGTATTTCACGTCTTCCACAGTAGTAAAGTGTTCCGCGCCATATTCGGCTACCCGGAAGACTGCGGTGCGAATCATGTCTCGATGATGCAAGTCTTTCTCGATGTGTGTCAGGGATGGTATACAGATATTCGAGCCTGGGTAAAAGATTCTAAGCGCGGCGGCTTGCCGTAGAATGGCTCCTACAGCGCTGTAGAAGTCGCCGTGCTGGGCCATGAAGCTGAGTTGGTCATCCCAACGGACAGACTGCATGACCTTGGCATCAGGAGGGTAGTAGAATCGAGCGGGGCTCAGTGCAGCAATTTTCATGAGCATATCAATGTTAGGGGCTGAAAGCTCCTCAAACGAACGCATTGCCGCGGATCGAAGGACTGACAAGGCTTGCTCAGTGCCAGTCCTTTTCGTCAGCGGGTCAGGCAGTGCAAAAGAGGTTACTGCGTGCAGAAAAGCGATGAACAGCTTGCTTTGCAGGCTGCCGTTGTCAACAAGGCGGCCGAGTCGCAGATCGATCTCAAAGGAATGAATGTCAACGACACCATCGGCTTCCTGTTGCTCTATGTTGACGTTGACGTGATTCGCACACCGCTTATACGACACATCTCCATCAGGTATCAAGATGAGCCGGTTCGCTTTCTTCAACGGACGAAGGAGCAGCTTGTTGGACAGCCCGATCAGTGTCCCAGCAGACTGATTCCGGTCAACAATCATGCCTCGGTACTCTTTGGAGCGTAGAGTATCCTGTCCTGACTGCAACGTGAAGCCAAGCCGAGCTGTCGGTATTTCAACCTCAAGCGATTTCTGGTCGGCCTGAAGAACGATTTCAATCCTGGAAGAATGTACAAGCGGAGACAATGCCTGGGCAATTTGTACGGAAGTTTGGCAACGGGAGCCCAGTAAGTAGGTCTCTCCCCGTTGCAAATGCCACCCTGTATCAACGTCGGACCTCACCAGCGTCCAATTAGAAGGGGACATGGCGTCCCACGGGGCTGTGATGGACCGAAACTGCAGCGAGCCACTCTGCGTATCGTACCAATGGACATGGCCGGTCACGAAGCGTTCTGGCAAACACTCGCGCAGGAGTCGACTCGGGACAATCTCGAACACTCTGGCGTCGCCTGTCCGTGTAGCTTCTTCCACGGCTATGACAACTAAATCGCGGCGGATCAGGGGATCCTTCTTGGTTATGCCGATATGAACACTGTACCCACCATACGTCCCTTTTGTCGCAAAGCTCGCAGGTTTGATTTTGGACGGCATGACTTCGACGGATGAATCACCAAACAGAGCCTTGTAAGTGCTGTGCCTCTCGTATACAAGGGGCGGTGTCTTGTGCTGGAGTCCATCGACCAATAGTTCTCCGGTGAGGAGATTGAACTGGACTGTCGCAGGCTCTGTGCTACACCTTGCGAATATAGTCGTCTGCAACCAGTAGTCCACTTCCAAGGCGCGCCATACGGAACCTTCAACTGGGTATCCTGACCAGACGTTCTTTACAGCTCGATCGAGGCCAGTATGGCTGATAGCGCCCCGGATGATGGGGTGACTGCGATAGAGAACGCGCTTGAAGCGTGCGGCTAAGATGCCGAGGAGCGACTGCTTCGCCTTTGCACGCTCGGCTATGGCCATGGCACACCGAAGCAGGATCCAGACATTGTCGTCTTCAGCTAAGACCCCGGTCAAATGAGTGCGATCAACGTCAAAAGTCATGCCGCAAATCAAGGCGATGTCGATGCCTTTCGACAGGAATTGAGTTCGGACAACATGATCCTCAGCTGCTTGGGCCCTCTCGTGCACATCTTGTAGCCAAAAGAATGCAGTCTCACGAACCTTCTGCAAGAAACTCAGGCAGTCAAGCTGCACTTCAGCGTTCATCGTCAGCAGCCGGCTGGCAATCGCGGTGAACACCACCAGCGCGTGCATGCTTTCCCAGTTTCTTTTGATCTTCTCAAGTGAGGCCTCAAGGCATTCAAGGAGTGTTCGTGCGAGGTCTGTGTGGTTGAGCACAGCGTGAGAAGCGCGAGACACCCCATTCGTCCCAGCACTGCCTTCATCCTGATTCGGGCCGGCTTGATAGATGCACTGCAGGAACACCAATACTGTCTCCTCCTTCTTGAGATCGACAGTCGGGGAAGCGAGTTGGAGGGCGATGTTGTACCACTGAACGGCGGTGCCCCCCGGAATACTACACATCTCTTTGAACTCATCGACCGTCATGCCATCGGATGGGCACAGCGATTGACTCGCAATGATCATATTTGGTGAAGGGCCATCAGGTGCATCCGCTGGTCGAAAAAGAAATGGTTGCAATTCTCGAGTGTGTTGTGGCAAAAGGTACGTGCATGCTACCTCCGCCTTCTTGTGCGACTCGTATCGTCCCACGAACTGCTTGGACTCAGTATCGAGGTATTGGTAAAAAGTGGCATTGTCCACACATACGTCCTTTTCGACCGCCGTCGAAACATATCGCGTTCTTCGATGAGTCTTGACATGCGTCTTGTTCTTTGTCCAGAGTATGATACGCTGTCCTTCAGAGTGATAGTTCTGCCCAACGTGTGGGTCCTTATCGAGAGCGTACTGATTCTTAGGGCGGTCGGCTCCTTTGTTGTTGAGCTGGAGAACGTCCTGTAGCAAATAAGCTGTGCAGTCCCGCCAATCTGCATACCATCGCGGTATGCAAAGCTCAAACACAACGGCCTTCGCCTGCTCTTGGCGCGATGGCAATGGCCACTCATGGACGCTAATTCTCATTGCGTCTCTGTCGTGAATTTTCGCGCACTTCTCGCACCTTCTATCGTCATGTCGGCGCAGTGATTGCACGCCAATCCGAGACGTTGCCTCGATCTCTACTGTAAAGAAGCTGCACTCCATGCCCGCGATCTCATTTTCTAGCTTCTCATACCGCTCGTAATTTGCGTAGAGCTCCTTGATTTTTGCTTCTCTGCCTTCTCTGCCACGGGCAGTGATGTCCTCGAAGAGCGCCTGCATAGCATCATCCTGCTCAAAGTAGCGCACAGCGAAACAGTCATTATCTTTAGCATCGCCGAACAGATCGCTCGACAATCTTTCTCGGGCACGAGTCTGCCGAGTGTGAAGGTACACTTCCAGGCGTTCCAGCCTTACCATTTGGTCACGCGTGGGCAAAAGCAGATTCTGAAACAATGCGACCGGTATCTGCGGATCGTACTCTGCAAGCAAGGAGCAGTTCTCCACCGCTTGCTTGTCCATGGCTTGCCACAGCTCCAGGATAATTAATATCATGCTCGATGATTCTTCTGGATTATTTGGACGAGGCGGCGCGCCTGAGGCGGCTTCATACTGTGATGTCGCGTGCTGATGGTACCTCACGATCAAGCTATAGACCTGGTGGCATACTGTATCAATATCGTGCGCTGTGACGGAAGCTCGCAGGCTCTGGGCGCACCAATCTTCAAAGGAGTGCAAATTCGCGATTCTGTATTCCTCCGAGAGCTTCTGCTGGAGACTGGGAAAACGCAGCTGCGCGTGCAAGTGCAGCTCAGAGGACAACTGGTTCGGAGAGCTCAAGTTTGTACTTTGTCGAAAGGGACGAGCGGCAAGCCAGTCATCGAGAAGAGGCAAGTCGATCACGCTGTCGTTGGAGAATTGCAATTGCGCCAGACTCGACAGCGTTCGACATGGATTGTATTCATGATACTGCAAGTCGACCCATGCTCTCGAAATGGCGGTGCTGCAGTCGTCCTGGACATCGTGGAGAAGTTTACGTACATGGTCCGGCATGCCTTTGCCAGAGTTAGTCTGCTTCTGCAATCTGCGAGCGACCTTGGCGCTCATTGCGTACTGGAGGTCTGTCGAAATGCCCAGGCGTTGTGCGTTTTGCAACAATTTTGCCATGAAGAAAGCCATGAATGCTTTGTACAATGTGTCGCTTCCTTTTAAGTGGCGGGTGAATAACAGGTGCAAGGAAACTCGGATCAACAAGTACGCCGGCGATCGCCTCCACGGCATCTCGCTCTCTTTGAACAAGACATCGTCGCGAGTGTTCTTGGTGACCGTGATGATGCTGTCAACGGCACGGCCATGGGCCATCAGAAACCCCATTAGAAATTCCGTGACCATGGCTGGATGTGTCGTGTCACGCTCCTCGTCAACAAATCTGCCAGCCTTGAGAATTTGAGGTTGAACACCGGGAGCAGACTGACCGCTCATAGTAGCGAGGGTCTGCGCCAGAGTTGCACGGAAATAGGCATCGTCGTAGGTCGTAGATGGAACATCAAGCGCAAACCCAGGAAACTGTCGGATAAGACGGCCTTTTGCGGCAATTACCTCCTGATTCTGAGGCGCCAGCTCGAACACCTCGAAACGAACGCACTGGGGCTGCCTGGTGAAGATCAGGCCAGCGTTCTGAGCGCGAATCTGCAGTATAATCGTTCCGCCGACTTCCAGGCGCTCCATCCGATCACGCAGCACAAACTCGCTAATGCCTCCATCGGTGGAGCTGTGACAATCGATCGCGGCCATGAGCGTAGTGCGAGCTCTGGAGACGGCCGGTCTCATAGAATCCTGCGTTTGAAGGCTCATTTCGAACTCGGCCAGGGCGGCGGAGGTGACGCGGAAGATCGCGGCGTCGATGCAAGCATGGCTCCTCTCTTGCGGTAGTTGTGGCGGCAGGAAGATGTGATGCACAATCTGCTCGAACACGTCTGGATCGCTCACGAGAAGGGCCATGTTGCCAAAATGGTTGTCTGCAGATATAGGTGTTGTTTTCCTGGTCGAGGTGTAGCAGTCGATGGAGAACAGCCGATGCAGGCAGCCGTCCCCAGGCAGCCAGGCCTGAAGTGTTTGTTGTGACGCTACCGCACGCTAGTGCCGCGCTACAAAGGTGACATGGGTGATGCCGCGAAGAGGTTCGCGACCGTCGGGCTCGATAGTCGTAATGGCAACCTGCGTCGATGGTAGATATTCGACGCGTCATAAAAGACGTGCCGTCGGGGTTGTTCAACTCGACATGGATCAGCGCAAACGTGCCCGTTTGCTGTATGACATGAACATCAGAGCGCGCGAGAGACCTCTCAGGCTATGCACGTTGTAGACCCGGAAGTGAAGCAGCCTGCTGTTGGGCCTTGGAGTGCCGTATCACGCTGGTTGATGTGCATTTGTACACACCAGCCGGGTATTCCAACGAATGCAGAATCCTACATTGACAACTCTGGACTGAAAGCATGTCACATTAACCATCAGTGAGGTTCTCATTCGTCAGGATGTAATTCAAGCTCACTGAAAGCAGGGCCCGTTCCTCCTGGGAGTGAACTCCAAATGCCAGTTGCCCCCACCACTGCAAGACGCTCGAGAGTCTAGCTGCCCTCGAGCCTGACACGTTTCCCATCGACCAGCAGGAGTATCTTATATCATCGACAGAGAAGCTCTGCACTCATTAGCACAACCGCATAGTGCAGGTTCCACGAGATTATGATTAAGCATATAGCATACTCGAGGAGTCTTGTCTCCTTGAAAATTACCTATGCAATCGTTGTAACATCCTTACGCTGCATATCGTCGTCTGTTCCGCTGCTATTATAGGACCGTACAAGCGGTGTCACCCCAATGAATGAGCCTATACCAAGGCTCATGGACCTCCTAGATTGCCACCGCACTGTCCTATCCGCCTCCATGAGACCTATTCCACTGCCATTGTAAGCACTTGTGATACTAAGAGGGGCCAACAGCGAGCACGTCTATCCTCCCATATCCAATGCCGTGCCCCAATCTATTTCACCTCCCACTCATTCCAGCGTGCGAGAGTCATCTCACGCTCCAGCTTCTTCCGCGCTCTACTCCCGACGTCTCCAGCTCTTGATCTGAACGTATATGCGAGTCCTGAGAGGACCTTCAAAGGCGCTCAGGGGAGAATCGAGGTACGCGTGAGGAGGAATGCATGTGATGCAATCGCAGACTTTGATGAAAGGGACGATGCCAATAAACCTACTAGAGATGGCTGGATTTAATCAACAACGAGCAAAGGGCGTGTCAAGACGTATATGATGACCTTGACCGTGTCAGGTGAAAGGAGTGGAGTGGAGAGAGGATGATACAGAAACGCCAAGCCCAAGCAGAGGGAAGAGCCGAGAATGTCCCGCTCTTCCCCATTCAAGATCCAATAGCATGCACTTCTTCACGACGGCTCCCGTCGTTACAGGCGGGAGCTCCCCTCACGACATTGCAGGTCTTGCGGATGATTGATTGATTGATTGATTGATTGATTGATTGATCGATTGGATAAGCCATTCGCGACCGTGTATATGAGCGGCTGAGAGAAGACATACATTCTTACCTCTTCTCAGGCACGCCTCGCGACCCTACTGAACTGCTGGACAGCCCTAGTAATTCATGCACAAGGTAAGTAGATTGCTTACTCTTTAGAGACCTTAGCATAGCGCGAACTCGTGTGGTGGAAGTAAAAAGAGAAAACGTGGCCAACGAAATGCAAAAGAGATTTCAGAATCACTCAATGTGTTATTAACATATAGTATACATCATATTATCCTCCTATCACCTCCAAATGCACTTCGCATTGATGCCGTAGCAGGCGCCCTCGGCGCGAGAAAGGGTATCATCGAATCCTCGCCGGTTGTAGAGATACAAAACAACTTTTAAAGCTAAACCAAAACTTTTTTTCCTCCCGGGCTATGGGATGCATACCATGGGAACTCCACAATGCTTCTTGTGCCGGAACCATGCATGTCGGGCAGCTGAAGAAGCCACGACCCAAAATGGTACGCCGACCATGTCTCATGTTGTGTGCTGCTGAGAGAAAGTTGCCCCAGCGCCTTCGCTTTTTAATCATGCGTATGATGTCGTAAGTTCGTAATAGAAGTGATTTCGAAACCAGGAGATGTTTCATCGCTCATCAATGGCACTTCTGCTCCAACCAGATCGGAATGGATCGAGATGAGGGAAACATAGCCGGAGGACAGCACTCTATGCTGAACGTCGGGTGAAGATGGATGAGAACATGCCACCAGACTCTCTCCTCAAGTTTGCGGGTCTCTCGCTGCCGCTCTCAGTCGACGAGGAAGAGTTCTTGCGAGAGGATGCCGATGCGGCCTTGACTTCCGGAAACATGTTGCCAGCTCCACCACGTCCGATGCGGTAGATTGGGGTGACCGGGGCCTCTCGGGTCTTGAGCATCTCCTCGTCGAATTGAAACATGGACTGCTCAGTCGCGGTGACCATGTTGCCAGCTCCACCACGGCCAGCGCCCACGGTTCTCTTGGTGTTGCTTGGGCGTGACAGAGAGATGAGCGAAGCTGGTCCAGTGGCAGATGCACCGGTGGTGAGCTCTCCGGCCTTGTATTTCTGGTAGTTGCCGGCTCCGCCTCGGCCACCTCCAATGTATCCCCCTGATCGAGGAACAGATGGGTGTGGCTCGGTGACGCTGAGTTGACGAGAGGGCATCTTGATGGTGTGGATGTGTGATTGGTAGTGTGTTGTCTGTGGTATGGGTTTGAAGACAATGGGTGTGAGAGTGTGGTGTGGTGTGGTAGTGTTGATGTTTGGTGGTTGTGTGTTGTGTGAGTGAAGAGAAAGGAGGTGAGCGAGTCGCACTTGCCTTCTATATGGTCTCATAATATAGGCAATAGTCAGCACAAAGGAAAATTCTTGCTCATCTCGCAGAATCTGTTTTTGCCAGTCATCGAAACAAAGGTCATCACGCGGTCAGCCATGTGCTTGGCCTCAAACGACGCTTTGCAGTTAACGACAACAATATGCGCTAGATTGCAAAATTCTCTGAGGAGTACCACCGCACGCTGACATGAGGTTCCTGCGCACCGACGTTAAGCGATCGTGTGGCGTCGATCGGCCTGGGAGCCGCTAGTGCGTCAATTGCTGTCATCCCCGTGAAGAAGTTTTTCAGAAATTGTTCGCCGCCGCTTGACATTTGCAATCGCCACGGTCTTTGCTGCAGACGTGCCATCCGATCCATTTCCAAGTGTTTGCACTGCGATAGCACCATCATGGGCTTGCTTTCGCTCGTCGACGACCACGGCGAAGAGTCTCGACGACTGCGACATGTCCGGGTCACGCAGTCAAAACAGTCTACGCCTCCCGCACGGGTCAAGTCATGTGTCCGCACAAGCGTCGGCTTGACTGAAAATCGGGAGTCTCGGCACACGGCCCGAAGATTCTATTACCCCCAGAAAATGTGCTACTGGTTTCGATCCATATTTATATTACCCCCAGAATTCTCACGATGTTTCCCGTTTGGGGCTCGCTTGACGACATTATTGTGACTGTACGCGCGCGCGTCGTAAGGCCGAGCACGATCGCGTGATTTGCTCTGGCCCAAGAACTTCCAAGTTTACAAGCCGCGAACACGTGGTATGTTCTTCAATTGTCCGGAGGCGTGGACAATTTACCAAGGTAGGGAATCACTCCTACAGGTTCACGCACCACGGCCATATGCCTACATGTCATGTACAGGTAGGTAGGTGTACTTCTCAAAGTTCTCGTGCCTTCGTCGTCTCTCCAAGCTGACTCCGCTGAGGAAACTCTCTCGATGGTCATTGCTGGTACCGTTTACTACGTTCAGCCATCCTTCTTGCCGCCTCCGCTCGCGTCCCCGCACTTCCAATCCTTAGCGTGTATGCGGTGAACGTCGACGATCTTCCACCACGGTACCTGAGACTAACCCGCAACGCTACCTAGTAGTACGTGACTACGTGATGGTTATTAAGTAAGAGATGACCTTTGCATAGTGATCTCGCGTCTGGACCATTGCATGCTCTTCGTAGTCTCCCTCCATCATCCAATATGACGAGCACGCTCTTCCACTGGTGCAAGAGACGGACTAATCGGAAACGGACACGAGGTACCCAAGCAGTGTCGCCACAGCTTGTGAAGCGAGTCGTCATCAGTAAGTAGAGCGGTGATGCTCGACGAGAAATGGTTTGGGGACCGTCGTCTGCCATTGTGATCGTGGAGAACAGGGTAGCGTTGCATTGAATAGAACATGTGAGGCTCTCGCCGGGGTATCATATGCAATTTCAAGCGAACTTTTGGTGGATAATGTCCGGGTCTGCAAGTCGTTAGCGAAAGTTTTCCAATGTCGATCTGAGTTGGGATAATTTGACTTACTCTCATGCCAATCATCAATCGTCACATACATCTTCCTGAACGTGCTCAATCCAGCTAGGATGCTACCTCCTATCCATGTGCTATACAGCCGCTCAGGTGGTGCGAAGATCTTGATTCGCATGTCCTTCACAGCCAGCCTCTGGACCTCGTGCAGCAGCCTGTCGCCGAAGCCTTTGATCATCGTCGAGCCCCCTGACAGGACAATGTTTCCGAATAGTGCCTTGCGAAGATCCATGTCTGTTCGATTGATGGAATCGACCACGATTTGATGCAAACCCGGCCACTCAAGGCCAATCAACTCTGGCTCAAACAGAATCTCTGCTGCTCGGAATCGCTCTGGGCCAATCTTGAGCTTCTTGCCATCTGGCAGCACGTATTCTACAGCTTTGCTCTCTCCGCCTCGACTGCTGGCGTTCATCCATTCCTTCTCCTCCTTCCTGGGGTCGAGCGCAACATATGACACCTTCTCCTTGATCGATTTGACAATCTCCTTCTCGGCGCTTGTGTGAAATACGTTGCCGCTCTTCCGCAGCAATCGTTGCAGCTCTTCAGTGACATCTCTCCCTGCCACGTCTATCCTTCGAATGCTGTTGGGAATCGCAAACCCCTCATAGACTGGTACAGCATGCGAGACACCATCTCCGGCATCCAGCACAATACCCGTGGTTCGGCCCGAGGCATACAAGGAGAGCACGGCCTGTATAGACGTGTACAAGGCAGGTACATTGAACGTCTCGAACAGTATCTGCGCTGCTGTATCTCGATTCGCGCGTGGATTGAGGGGTGCTTCAGTGAGCAGCACAGGGTGCTACGCGTAGAGTCAGCATGACGATCCGTGGGGAGGCCTTTGCGCCCACTGACCTCAGTGTCAACATACCTCTTCACTCAGCGTTTTCAGCTCGTCGGTGTATATGTGCTGCCAGATCTTCTCCATGTCGTCCCAGTCCGTGACGATGCCATGCTCCAGGGGATAGCGGATCTTGAGCAGTCCTCGCAACTCTTGTGCGCGATTCCCAATGAAGACGTCTCCTTCTAGTCCTCCCGCCAGCACTCGTAGATGCTTTGGTCTCCCTACAAAGGAAGGAAAGTAGCAGGCCGGCGCGTCGGCGCCCGCATAACCAGCGCGAATGGTGCCGCTACCATTGTCGATGACTATGGGCGTGTTGTGCAGGTCACCCATGATGGCAGATTCGTCCTGATGCCGTCGGGCACTGTGCTATCGTGAGCGTTGTGGCATCCAGTCGAGAGTCAACTATGTGAGGCATGCAATGTTCTGGCCTAATTTCCTAGGAGGTAGGAGGTACGTGACGCAGGTCGACGGAGCTTCTTACCGAAGTAAATCCGACACAGCTACCTCCCAGCATAAGGTACCTACCTACCTACATGAGGTACCGTAGACGTTTGTTTCTTACGCCCACACTTACTTGCAAGGCTACCTAATTAATCTGTTCTTTTCATGGTCTAACTAGTTTTTGGCCGCTTGGCTGTGAGACGCTTCCCTCTCATATGGTCATATGGGAGTGGCCAGGTCAAGGACGTCGCTTTTCGAGAGATCGCGGTGTGAGGTATACTGACGCTACATAAGGTACCATACCATCTTCTCAGATTCTTCTGTCAGGCCGTTCAAGATTGACACACATCCAACCAACATACAATCAGTGCTCAAGTTCAACCTGTGGCGGTGTGGTGCTCTTCTTCTTCTCGGCCTGAGTGTCAGATATTTCCTCTTCCGTCAAAACAGGTCGTCCATGATGAACGTGCGGTTTGCCTCGGCCAGTGATATCCCTGAAGATAGCTTTGGTAGTTCTCGCGCACGTCTTACGACCCTCCCAGAGAGGATAGAGGCCAACACAGAAAGAGCTGCAGAACAGCCACAGGATTCCAACAACAACCCAGCCTGTGAAGAACTTCTTCGAGAAAATGTACGCACTGCCGTACATGGGCATCGGCCAGAGTACCAGAAATGACAGAGTCATGAAGACAGTCAGCCATCGAGCAGTCTTGCTCGCTCGCATCAGTTTCGACTGTTCCGCTGCTTCGTCTTCGGCCCGCTTGCGTCGCTCGCCTGGAACCATCTCAAGATCAATATTTGCAGCGGCAGCTAGGTCATGGTCGTCGCCTTTCCTGATCTGCGACATACTGATCCAGTCATAGGCAGGTGTTCTGAAGACCAGTGACAGAATCGGGATGAAGATAGCTGGTGCCAGGAGAGACACGACGTTGCCCACCAGCATCGGGTAGTTGGATCCGGTGGAAGTGACACTCAAATCGCCGTATTGAACCTTCGACTGCACCAGCCATCCAGTCACAGAGCAGCAGAGGGCCAGTGGAGGTGAAAATGTGGCTGCCGCCCAACTCTGACCACTCCACAGGAGGGTCAAGGTGCTCGGCAGCACGGCACCACTGATGATGACTCCCATCAGGAGGTAGAGGTAACCCATCGATATGCCTGCATAATGTAATCCCGTGGAAAAAGCTGCCATGCATAGTGCGTAGACGACACAACTTGCGTGAGACATATAGATCAGCCTCTTCCCACTTGCGTTAGGGTTGATGTAAGTCTTGTAGATATCGTAGGTCCAGATTGAGCTGACTGCGATCAATTCCGCAGACATAGCTGACGTAACAGCCATGAAAATGAGCAAAAGCGTTCCTGCTGCGCCACCAGATCCGAGCAGGGCAACCGCTGCATTTGGAAGTACTAGACCAGCACTGACATCTGCTGCACTCATCCGATTGGGATAGGTCGGAAAAACTGGGTTGTTCTCGAGAGCGATAGCCGCTAGGCCCATTGTCGTGGCCGCTAGCCATGGAATTGCGAACCAGGAAAGACCGCCGGCAATATAACCTGGAAGGGCATGCACAGGAGAGGCTGCAATAGCTTTGTTGTAGTACCCATTATCCATGAACACGGTGCCTGGTACGAGTGTCAGCAAGAACACAGCAACCATTCAAAGTGCTGCTTACCAAAGTTTCCCACAATGTTGATCACGAAGAAAATGACTCCCTCCTTAGATCGCATGGTCAGATATGAGCCTCCAGCATTTCCCTCGACGGGATGACGCTCTGTTGCAGCAACCAGAAGATCGTATACAGCCCCCGGGCTGCCAAGATGGTCTCCAGTCGCGTAGGCAGTGAAGGCGAAGGTGAGAATAATGACCAGGATCACAACAGTATGCACCCAATCGGTCAGGAAGGTAGCTTTGATGCCACCGAACATGGTATATAGCACCACTCCGACAGGTAGCAGAAAGCATCCGGCAGCTGTGGGTACGCCGCAGAGGGAAGTCGCTACCGCGGACCCTCCTGTCAAGAGCATAGCTGTTACCAGGATATTGGTCATGACGCCAAACGTGATGTACACGCCGTGTGTGACCGGTCCATATCTGGCTCGGATGGCTTCCAGGAATGTATGAGCATTGGGAGCTTTCCGCTTCAGTTCAATGGCAATCGTTGCGAAAAGGATGATTTGCACAGTCGCACCAGACGCGTACCAAAAAGGTCCACTCACGCCATATTGATAGGCGATGGAGGAAGATTGGAGCAGAGTCGCAGCCCACGTCCAGGAGGAGACCACTGCAGAGGCGACCAGACCAGACTTGACGGATCGGCCTGCGGTGCTGAAGACTTCACTCGTCTGAAGTTCATTGTTATAGCGCTTCAAGACAAAGGTCGTAAGCATCATGCCGAAGCTATGGGGCGTGATCAGTATATGCCTGTTCCGCTCATGGATAGCCTTGTCATCTTACGCAAAGAGGAAACCAAGGCCAACAATGATTCCATAGCCCGTGGCCTGGCTAAGAGGTGGAGATGTCACCATGGCGGCTTAGTAGTGCTTGTCAACAATGTCGTTGCTGCTTCAGTAAGACCAGATACGAGCTTTATTATTATCGATTGTCTGGGGGAGTGGGGCGGCTCTGCAGAGTTGACAGAACCCGGTTTATGACGGTACGACAACAATCGCGTTGAACAACTGAGAGAGAGAAAAGTAGTGGACGAAGGCCGCAGCCTGCTTCTATACGGGTGTTATCTGGGGGTGTTTGGCGCTGGAGTTGTCCAATCTCTACATCCACATAACCTACCGATTTTGCAGCATGTGTATGCTCCACGCCTTGCGGACCGAGATGCGGCCAACGTATAGTGCGCTGGTCATTGGATCGTCCAGGAATGTTACTCGATGCGATTGCCACGCGATACCCTATAGCTTCAAGAGTATTCACTATCTCGTGCGTCCGGATCGTCCATAGGGAACCGACTGATAAGGAACTTCTTGGCAGACAATTGGGCGAATAAGGGAGATTGCTTTTGCTGACTGGGATACCCCATTATGGCTTGACTCGGAGGACTGCCGCAGATGGTACGAACTCGGAGGAGGATTCTAGTCGGAGATGCTGATGTGAAGATCTTGTTGACCTGGGGAAGATGTGATGTTGTTGTAGACTTGTAGTTGTCGACGCAGATGCCGGACCTGGTGACTAAAAGAATTGGCTCCGACTTGCAAGGCAGGGCAACCAGCCGGCTAAATACGGATCGTGGCTAAATAGAATTGGCCTCCCCGCAACAAAGATGTCCCGCCATGGCTCGTGAATGCGGTCACAGTGGGCTTGGGTAACATGAAGATACCTTACCTGACCTTGTATGCATCCGATGGGGACCATTCCACTACGGCTGAAGTGTCCAGCGTGGAGCTGTAAGTACATGTATTTGTTGCTGCCCATTCTTGTTTGATAGTACATGTCGTAGTCATCACTCCTCCAATTCCCTACCTTACCGTCCCAACGTGCAAATTCCATTGCAAGAATGGGTGCAGAGGTACGATCAACAGGCCATCACTGCCGACGGAAGCGGAGAAGGATCTCGGGCTAAGGATGCAACAGAATCTGTCGTTCGTCCTCGAAAAGGCTGGAAGTGTCAAGTTCGAAGACCGACCAGTGCCGCAGCTGAAGTCGCCCTACGATGTGATTGTCAACACGAAATTCACCGGAATCTGCGGTTCAGATGTTCACTACTGGGTCCACGGAGCCATTGGCCATTTCGTTGTCAAGTCGCCGATGGTTCTAGGGCACGAGTCGAGTGGAATCGTCACCAAAATAGGCGATGCAGTTAAGAGCTTGAAGGTGGGAGACCGCGTGGCGATGGAACCTGGCGTTCCATGCCGAAGATGTGTGCGATGTCGGGGTGGGTTCTACAATCTTTGTCCAGAAATGGCATTTGCTGCGACTCCTCCATTTGATGGTACCCTCGCAAAGTACTACACTTTGCCGGAGGACTTCTGCTACAAGTTGCCAGAAAATGTGTCGCTGGAAGAGGGCGCATTGATGGAGCCTCTGGCTGTGGGCGTGCACATCTCCAAGCAGGGCTCCATCAAGCCAGGCGATAGCGTAGTGGTCTTCGGCGCTGGCCCGGTAGGCTTGCTATGCATGGCAGTCGCCAGAGCGTTTGGTGCAACCAAGATCGTAGCAGTCGACATCAATCCCGAACGGCTTGAGTTTGCGAAGAAGTATGCGGCGACCCACGGTATCCTTTCGCAGCGAGAGTCTCCCGAAGACGCCGCACGGCGCATCATTTCGGACACCGACCTGGGACCAGGAGCAGATGTGGTGCTCGATGCAAGTGGCGCAGAGCCCGCGATACAGACATCCATACATACTTTGCGGGTAGGAGGCAATTATGTACAAGGCGGACTGGGCAAGAGCGACATAACTTTTCCCATCGGTGCGATGAGTGCTAAGGAGCTGAACGTCAGGGGAAGCTTCCGCTACTCGTCCGGAGACTATCAGCTTGCCCTGCAACTGATCGAAAGTGGTCGAGTTAATGTAAAGACGTTGATTACTGGGACAGTAAAGTTTGTTGATGCTGAGAAAGCCTTTGGAGACGTGAAGGCAGCCAAGGGGATCAAGACGTTGGTAAGAAGACACTGCTCCCATAATGTGCCTGAGACAGTCGCTAACTCTGTCCCTAACCCCCATTTAGATCGAGGGCGTTGAAGAGTGATGCGTGCAAACGCATACAGACTTATCTGCTGAGCCAGCTACCAGGAGGTAGTCCTGATGATGGTGATAGGAGAAACTTGTCAGGGCTAGGCGCAGGCCGACCTAGGCATAGAATAATACCATCTTGGAATTTTGGGCTTCAATGCGGTGCACATGTAGGCTGAAGTCCTATGAGGCTACGTACCTTTGTGTCAGCCATAGATGCTCTCGAATGGTATTGTTTCGCCTATGCCGCCATCCGCAGCGTACTACCTCCACAAGTACCAAGTCTGTATGTACTGTCGGCGGTATACTTCATCTTTAGCAGGCCACGCAGTCCTGATTGGTGGAGAGGCTCGCTCCAGCTCTTGGAACATGCAGCACTCTGTACACTTGGCGCCAGTCTTCCAGCTTTCCCCACCTCCAAACTCCTGCGACTCCCATCTGAAACATCACCACACATTGTTTCGACATGCTCTCACGAACGCAGCTGCAAACAAGCGCGAGCCGTTGCTGTTCCGCTATCGACGCGTCTCTGCCCATCTCATGAACGCCGACTTTCTCCTGGCGTAGCAAAGGTTAACATGGACGCCCTTGCGAAACTGCACTAACCTGGAAATTCGCTGTGCAACAATGTACATCTGGTGTGTCTGCTGATTGTGCTCGTCGACGAGAACGACTGGTTCTGCATTGCTGCACAACCTGGGAGCTGCAGTAAGGTGTCCCCTATTGTATTCGTGCTAGAGCTGCCAAGCTGGCTGTCGTTGGTGACTCTGTGGCGACAAAGGCACCGTGACGGCGTTCACGGGCATGGTGGGTGCAGATGATGGGAATGTATTGTTTACTTTCCTTTAGATGAGAGTTGATGCCTTGCAGGAGACGTGAGTTGCTGCTTCTTTTTATTGCTTCGACTGCTTCGACGTCCATTTTGCTCTTCATACAATCTCATACATCCTCTGTTGTCATTGAAGACTAGGCCAAAGGTCTCGCAAGAGAAGAAATCAGGATGCAACACTTTGGCACAGCCATGCCGGCCAGATCCCCATTGCCAGACTCGTCGGCCCTTGAGGCGGGCATCATAGAAGACGAACGCCCATCAAGACTATCACGCGTTCAGGACAACGTTCGCAATCTCCTTCGAACGTCAGTATTGGGATCAGTAGCAAACTCCCCCACAACACCTATCCATGATCGACGACAGGTGACAGCGACCGTCAACTCGCCCGCACTCCGGCCGGTTGAGCGAGACCAACCACTGCGTTCACACCCGCCGTCACCAACCCTAGGACTCAGATCTCCAAGACGACCTGCTCAAACGCGATTCCCAGTTACAGCACGACCAGAAACTATGCCTAGTCCAGCTGACTCCAGCACATCTGTGAGCACCTCCCATTCTGAGGATATGAGAAATTTCCCTTGTCCGCCCTCAAACCATCAGCGAAACATTCAACACACGGCTCATCGGTCTACACTGTTCAATACTCGAGCAGTGGCGGCATTGAATCATCCGGACCTGAGCGAATTTACTGTCTCGGACTTATCTCAGCAAAAGATCAGACACGGGCAGCAGCACCGAAGAGCCTGGGCCAGACATCGGGCCAGTTCTCATGGCTCGGGAAACTTGCGTGGGAGACACAAGCGTCGAACAAACCGGGCAGCAGGTTCGACTGGGCTGTTGTGCTTCTTGGCTGCTTTTCTGTTGGCTGCTTTGGTGGCAACCTGTAAGTACTCGCGTGGCAACAGCAGCGTGACAACTTTGCTGACAGGACCCAGACATCTCTCTCGCCATGAACGTGACCGGACTTAATACGACATTCCACGTGTTGTTCGTATTGGGCATATTACTGGCTACCATTATATTCTCGCACGCTCTCATTCGCGTCATACTGTACAGCAGGGGAAGGAACAGTGGCCGTCCGGCATTTGTGAGAGTGACTAGGGAAGGTCACCGACGAAGAAACCGCCATCATCACGACCACCTACATCCGCATGTTCGACGGATCCCCACTCTGGCCGGCGAGCATGAAGAACCTTTCGTACCGCCGATGCCAATCGAGGTGCACGTATCTAATGATGAAGTCCGAGCAGATCCCATTGTGGACAGTCTTGCCACTATCACACAGACACCTCAGGACTGGGACAAAGATGCTCCAAAGCTCGCCAATCCGCCGCCTGCGTATGGGCGCTGGAGAGATAGTGTTCGCGCCAATCCGGATCTGCTCCACTGGGTTCCCTCTCCAATAAGTCCAATCACGCCAGTGCTCCCGTCGCCCACATACGAAGAAGCTATGGCAGCTGGCGCTGATGACAGGCGAAGCAATCCACCAAGTTATGTTACCAGAGAAAGTCCGGCACGGCAGAGAGAAATGCAGGCAGCGCGAACCCGTGCCGAGAGCTTGGCAGTTGTGGAACCAGAGATGTTCGAAGTGCGAGGAAGTAATAGTCCAGGCGCTGGCGCCGGACGGAGAGGTGTTGGAGAGGCCTTTTAGAGCAGAGATACCCCCGGCATCCAACTCGTAAAGATGATGCATTGAGCTTTTGCGCTTGTAGTCGTACCGTATAGACAGACCGCGGCGCGGTGTCCCATACAGCTGCGCGTTCCTTTCCACCCCAGCACATCTTGTCTCTTTTCATCTCATCCTGATCTCTGCTTGAAGTCTTCTTCATCACCGCTTCGCATCTGGCTCGACATGTCTTCCCTTTTTATCTCTCCCTTCCGTAGACGGCAGACCCTTTGAATCTTTATCCCACCACTCTTTCCAAAACTTCTCGTCTTCTTTCCGCTTTGCCTCTTTTTGTTCTCGTTCTCTCCGCCTGTCGTCCAGTGTCGCGAACCATTCCTCTCGTGCAGCGTCCTGTTCAGCTTGCGTGGCATACAGCATCATACAGTTGTTCATGGCCTTTTGCTCTTTACGGCACATGATAGTGGCCGTGAAGGTGCGCGACGTGCAGCATGCTGCGAATTCTGATCATAGCGTTGTTACATCAGCGCGCGGTCTGAAGGATGATAGGGCTAAATGATATGTACCTCGCACTTCATCGGCGCATTTTTGGCGGACACGCTTGTGGTATAATTCGCGTACTTGCGACTCTTGTGAGGAGGAAAGGGGTAGAGGCGAGCGTGAGGGATTGGGAACGATAGGTGCACTCCTGGAAGTCGGTGAGGTGGAAGACATCATTGTAACCATAGCATGGTGGTGATCATCAGATGGGGAGTAGAAGTAATGTGCTCATCCAACCCGACTCAGCCAGAACGCGTCCGAGCTTCTTCACATTCGAGTTGGACGCTCTTCGGATTAACCTTTGATCCGCATTGAAAGCTTCTAGAAACCGCCAGACATGAACTGTGACCATCTACATATGAACCCGATCTGTTTTGATACAACCACTAGATCAACAGCTACCACCTTACCAAGCCTAGCTGAATAAACCTCTACGGCAAATAACGTCACAACAACTTCAACATGGCATCAGCAGACGCGCTGAAGGCCGAGGGCAACAAGCTCTTCGCGGCCAAGGATTTCACAGGCGCAGTCGAGAAGTTCTCTGCAGCAATCGAGGTCGATCCGTCCAACCATGTGCTCTATTCGAATCTTTCAGGCGCCTACGCATCCCTCAAGGATTGGGACAAGGCTCTCGAAGCGGCCGTCAAGACCACTGAGATCAAGCCAGACTGGTCGAAGGGCTGGGGACGTAAAGGTACAGCAGAACATGGAGTGGGCGATCTTATGGGTGCTGTGCAGTCGTATGAGGAGGCCCTCAAGCTTGACGCCAACAATGCGCAAGCCAAGTCTGGATTGGAGTCGGTGAAGCGAGCGATTGACGCAGAGGCGAGGGCAGACGGCGTCGACCCCAGCGGCGGACTCGGTAACATGTTCAACGATCCACAGCTGATTTCGAAGCTGGGCGCGAACCCAAAGACGGCACACTTGCTCGCAGACCATCAATTCATGGCCAAGCTTAACAACATGAAGAACAACCCACAAGGCATGCAGCAGGAAATGTTCTCCGATCCCCGATTCCTGCAGGTCATGAGCGTACTCTTGGGCATTGACATGTCTTTCAACCCCACCGACAACGCCGACCGCGATGCTGCCAAGTTCCAGGACCAGAGTGGTGGCGCTGAGGAGGATGTTGAGATGCCGGACTTGCAGCCAACAGCAGCAAAGAAGGAGGAACCGAAGAAAGCGCCAGAGCCGAAACCAGAGCCGGAACCAGAAGACGAGGAGGCAAAGGAGAAGAAAGCCAAGAAGGCTGAGGCGGACAAGGAGAAGGCAGCGGGCACAGAGGCCTATAAAAAGAGACAATTCGACGAGGCCATTGCGCACTACACAAAAGCATGGGAGACTTTCCAAGACATCACATACTTGACCAACCTTGGTGCTGCAAACTTTGAAAAGGGCGACTACGATGCGGCCATTGAGGTGTGCAAGAAGGCCGTTGAGTTTGGCCGTGAGGTCTACGCCGACTGGAAGATCATTGCCAAAGCGTTCGGACGCATCGGTTCATCTTACGAGAAGAAGGGCGATCTTGCAAATGCTATCGAATACTACCAGAAGTCTCTCACCGAGCACCGTACACCCGACATCCTGAACAAGCTGCGTGCGGCTGAGAAGGCCAAGAAGAAGGCCGACATTGAGTCCTACATCGACCCAGAGAAGGCCGAAGAGGCGCGAGAGCTCGGCAACCAGAAGTTCAAGGACAGTGACTGGCCAGCTGCAGTTGAGGCATACACGGAAATGACCAAACGCGCACCACACGATCCCCGAGGCTACTCAAATCGTGCAGCATGTCTCATCAAGCTCCTCACATTCCCATCTGCCGTCACCGACTGCGACGAAGCCATCAAGCGCGATCCAAAGTTCATCAGAGCCTACCTTCGCAAAGCACAAGCCCTTTTTGCTATGAAGGAGTACAACAAATGTATCGACGTCTGTGCCGAGGCTCTCGAGCACGACACTGACGGCAAGAATACTCGTGAGATTGAGCAACAGAGTCAGAAGGCTCTACAGGCACAATTCAGCGCTCGTGACGGCGAGACGGAGGAACAAGCACAGGCTCGTATTCAGCGCGATCCAGACATCATGGCCATTCTCCAGGACCCTGTCATGCAGAGCATTCTGCAGCAAGCAAAGAACGACCCAGCTGCTCTGCAGAACCACATGCAGAATGCGGACATTAGGATGAAGGTGCAGAAGTTAGTGGCTGCTGGCGTCATCAGAATGGGTGGCAGGTAGAAGGACAGTGGCCCAATACGAAGCATGAAAATGAGTGAATGATTCGTTCTTTTGAGTTCGAGAGTGTGCCATGTGTGTGTGTGTGTATGTATGTTTTAAAGGCATAGCGAAAAAGGTCAAAATGGTAATGCTATATAGGAGGTACTGCTGCAGATCCGCAGCTTCTCTGCTTCTGAACTCTCTCGTCGCCATATTATCTCAATATCCCAGTAGGTTGCGTTGCCCACTTCCACGGACATCAAACCACACTAAAGAGACCCTAACCATTTGCAGCCTAGGTACCTTAGTGTTTGTCCATATTCCAAATCACGTGAACATCACAAAAAGAAAAGTGGTATAGAGTAGAATCACTCAATTTCGATGGAGATTCTAGACTACTTCAACGCCAGCTCTAATATCAACTATAGTTGCCATATCAGCCATTCTTTGCACTCAACGCCATAGCTATTCGTTCAAAGTCTGCATGACATGATGCCTTCTTTTCCGTTTCCAAGTCCTTAGGTACTGCTGCTACCCAACTATTTTACTCTCGAGACCCGGGGTGCACATTGAGACTCGTCGAATCAATTCTAGGCTACATTACACTAGCTCTGATATCACCTCTATGGGCTATACTAGCTATCCTTTACACTCAGCGCTATAGCTGTTCGTCAAAAGTCTGCATAAGATGATGCCATTTTTTTCGGTTTCCAGGTCCTTACTGCTGCTGCCACCTATCTTACTCTCGAGACCCGGGGTGCACGGTGAGAATCGTCGCAACACGCCTGATATAGGTAGGTAAGGACGTTATCGCTCCTTCCTCCCCAGATATCGAACATATAGCTCATTTACAAAATAGTCGTGTTTAATGCCCGGAGGTCTCTTTTGCGCAAATTCATCCAAGGCATCCTGTAGTTTCCAATTGAGACGCTCTACAAGGTAGCAAACAATATTCGCGCCAGTCCGGTTGAAACCGTAGTGACAATGTACGCCGATGGTGGGGTGTATTTCATCTCCACTAGAAGATTTGAGCTTGATCGATTCTCGCAATGAATCAATCAGCGCGATAAATTGCTCCACTTCATCAGCACTGGGTGGCTGCTTGCTCACAATTGGCAGCTTGTAATACTCAATGCCAGCAGCCTCGAGCCCCTTCTTGTCATACACTGGCACATCGAGACTGATATCGACGACCGCCGCCACTCCATCGGGTATGACTTTCCAGCCGTACTTTTTCGCGAATTCAGGAGGACTGTGCACCTCATCGATCTCACGCATGGTCTTCATAGCTCGAAAAACACCACCAATCGGTTCTGAGCAGGGTGCAACGGCTTGCCACTTCTTGAGATTCTTGACGTCCCATTTTCCACTGGTTGTCATGTGCCGAAGCTGCCACCCGGGGGCGACCCGAGCGTCCGCATAGGTAGCGAGGAAGGTCTCGATTCGCCGAGACAGAATGCGCACATCGCTATTGGAATAAAGCAGTCCGTGAGATGTCGGAGACGGAAAAATTGTGGTTTTCAGATAGCTTCCATGTACGGTGGTCGTTTCTTCCTGCTGTATCTCTGCAGCGGAGGCGTGGCTAGGTGTGTGGGATATGTGACTCGTTTCGGTTTGTGTGGTAGGCTCTGTTGCCACGCTGACATCGCTCGCTTTCGCTAGTAAAGATGGAATTTCCAAGTCATCCCGTTGGGGCTCAGCTGCCTCGATAACACCAGAAGCAGGGTCTGTAGCCACAGAATCATGTCGATCAGGCTTGAGCCATTTCTTAATCCGTACAGCCTCCTCCACTGGCGCCAACTTATCATCTTCTGCCGCCACCAACATGAGAGGCACTTTGATTGCAGCCCAGGTCCTTTTGCCCAAGATGCTGTCTTCTCCGTCCTGTGTAGCTGTAGTCTCTTGCATTGCCGCAGCTGCGATGTACCTCTGAAAAACAGCCGACTTTGACTGCTGGTTGAAGCGCAGCTGTAGTTTCTTCGTCTCGGTATCGGCGCCCTTGCCAATCACACGTAGGACACTTGCACTCTCTTGGCCACCGATTCGATCATACATGCGCATTAAATCGAATACTACGGATGGCAGGTAGCCCAATCGCGCAATCCCACGCAGTTCATGCTCAGACATTGTCCGGGAGCGCGGACATATGGCAACCAGTGAAATTATTACATCGGAGCAGAGATGGTGCAAAGGCGAGCTCGACGAGGCAAGTAAGGCGGTGATGGAGCAGCCCATGCTGTGTCCAATCAAAATCACTTTCTGATTCGTCTCCTTGTTGCGATAGCGGTCTATGGCGACGTAAAGAAGCTCGGCAAAAGCAGTGGTAGTATAGGCTTCGATCTCATCTGGCCTGAAGTCGGACAAGCCGCACCCAGGAAGGTCGATGGCAAGGCATGGCGCAATTTGAGTGAGAGAATTGAGCAATGGAGCAAACTGCGCAACAGAGCCCCCAAGACCATGCTGAAGGACAATCAATGGTAAGTCAGCAGGTAGCTTCTCCGCGTTCGTGTGCTGGTTGTAGAAGGTCCTAATCCGAGGATAGACATGGCCAGATGGAGTTTCGTATCTCTCGAACTTGCTCCTGGCCCTGAGGAGTCCCGGGTCTGTTGAGGCAGCTGCAGTGGAAGTGAGCATTGTGGGATATGGCGAACAGTGGCGAGCAATGATAGAACTATACCGTCCGTGATGCGCTGGAACATGGGCAGCCTGCTTATAAGCCACGTGAAGGCGGCGGCCCCAGCGACGCCTGTGATAAGCAGCGCAGGCCCGTGCAGAGCGTTGACCACACTCGTCGCCATTGACCACGCTCAGCCGGTATTTGCTGAGTCAGTCAGTGGTGGAGGCGGGTTGGAGAAGACATGTATAGGAGAGAGGGGAGGAGTGGTGTGAGGTGCATGGAAGCAGAAGGTGACTGAGGTAAGGCTGGAGGTGTGGCTGTTGGCTTGGCAAGGCAAAAGCAAGGCAGTTGGCAGACCAGGGTTCCTGGAGGGCTTTGTGAGGGCCGAAGCCAATGAGCAAAGCGGTTCAACGCACCTGCTCTCAGCTCGAGAGCGTAGAAGAAGTTAAAGAAAGAAGGTATTAATCGGCGTAATGGCAGTTGCAAGTCGCGCGACGCGAGTGGTGCCTGGAGACACGGCGCGTGACCTCATCATCGTTGCGAAGTACAGCCATCACTGCATACCTGGTACCTGACCGTAGGTATGTACATGTACATGTAACATGTATTTGATGGGAGGCCGATAAAGATCAGCGAGGCAATGAAGCGGAAGTGAATAAAGGTAGAAATGGAAGCTGAAGTTCACTTCATATGTCGGCCTCGGGTGTGCAAGTAGGTCAGGTACCTGTAGCGAGTGCGAGGAGAGGTGAGAGGTCAATGGTGATCATGCACTCACGTGATCGAAAATAGAGCCAGGATTCGAAAATGGGGACTTGGCGCTGGTGCACTTCTGCGCCTTGAGAATTTCGGAGGCCATTTGCTTACACCACACTCCATCCACCCAGCGCACCCTCCTCGCCCACCTACATCCTCACCCAATACCGCAATCATGCCTGGAGTCTCCGTTCGCGATGTCCCTGCCGACAAGTTCATCGACGCCTACGCTGCCTTCTTGAAGCGTCAAGGAAAGCTGCCAATTCCAGGTATGGAATGATCTTCACTACCAGAGAAAAAGGAATTGAAAAGAAAAGAATAAGAGATGGAACGGCACAATCATATCAGAGAAACCTGAATCCCGTGAGGAACGGGGGACATGTGTCAGCAGCAAAACTGACACCGTCTACAGGTTGGTCCGACACTGTCAAGACCTCCCACGCAAAGGAGCTTCCACCACAGAGCCAGGACTGGTAAGTGGCTGTTGACTTCCTCCCTATTCCCCCCCTAGCAGCAACTAACTCTTGCAGGTTCTACATTCGCTCCGCTGCCGTCGCCCGCCACATTTATCTGCGCAAGACTGTCGGTATCGGCCGCCTGAGGAAGGTGCACGGTGGCACCAAGAACCGTGGCTCGCGCCCATCGCACCACGTCGATGCTTCTGGCTCCGTCGACCGCAAGGTCTGCCAGGCTCTCGAGAAGATCGGTGTCCTCGAGACCGATGAGGAGAAGGGTGGCCGTCGCATCACTCAGTCCGGTCAGCGTGATTTGGACCGTATCGCCCAGACTACTGTTGAGGCCGAGGAGGATGACGAGGATGACGAGTAAATGTTACTGCTCTCTTCATGACCAAAAGCTATCCCGTCCGAGGTGCAAGACAGGGGAATTCGATGCATTTGCATGGCGCGGCGTTGCGGATGGCCTGACAGCGGAATAGCTGCAGCGCGCAGGAGCCGGCTTTAGTGACTGAATGAACCAGCTTGATACCCAATTTCAGTCTTCTGCCGCTTCTTACTTGCTATCTCGCCTCTTGTTTATGAAACTTATCGCGCCAGTGAACACGGTACTTCCTGCAACACCTGGAGGCGCTGCACCCGACGTAATTACAAAGCCACGACATGCGACTGAACAGTGAACACTAGCAATACAGCTGAAGGACAAAAGTTTTGAGAAACTCCGCTGTATGAATTCTGCCAAAGGTACCTACGCAGGGGACAGATTTGAAGCCTGATCACCCTACTACGCATAGCAATATGACAAACATGCACCTTTCCCGCTGCGTCTGCCAGATTTGGGCATATAGGTATTTCTTGTTCGTTTCCCTAGTCAGAAATGCCATATACATTTCTATGCTCTCCCAGTCCACCCTCAATATTACAGCGTTGTGCTTCATATCCTTAAAGGCTACAGTACTTCCTCATACGTGACTCCCACTCCGCTCGCTATGGGCTGTGCACCCTAGCCCCCACTGATAGCCACAATCAACTCCCAAAATCGGTCCAGATACCCGGCCGGAGGCTCATCATCAATGTAAAAAGTTGCCAGTTGCAATCAACACCGAAATAAGGAGTTTGCAGAAGTCGCTTCCGTGCCAAGAGTGGAAGTTAGTGTCCATCTGGATTGGGGAAAGCTTCCCAAAATCCTCGCCTCCTGTGCATCCATGCCCGGCCGTACCTCCTAGGTACATGTACCTGAGTCCTTCCACCTCACCTGTCGTCCTGATCTGATAATACCATCGCATACTACCTTTGTATCGGTGCTCACGGACCATACGCTGCTGCCTCCTTCTAGTGGGCGCTTCTGGGTTCTTTGTGGCCTTCTCTTGTTGTCATTCTCTCACCCGTGCATGTCGCATCCACTTGTCCTCGCCCATCGCCGCCGACCACAGTCCTACGACGAGCGACAGATCAGCATCGCACTCGGCGATTGGTGCAAGAAGAGCATACCGGTCCCAATGTGCTTGCCCGGCACATCTGGTGACCGTGATCGTGACCGTGACCGCCACACTTGAAGCAGTGACGCGGATCTCGCTGAGGTATAATCGCTTGTGCCGTCACTCGCGTGGGCCACGACCAAGGTCTCGGTATAGTACGCTGCTACAGGTGGCGTAGGGAAAGAGTATTGGTGGTAGGCCGGCGAGGCAGCACAGGCTCATCACTGATGGAGCGGCAAGGATGTGCCCGTGCTCGGCCTGGTGCATGTACTGCCACGGGCCCTGAAGCATGACGGTGGGCTTGAGGAGTCGTTGTGGCTGTCACGCCGCGAGGGCTGGGGGATAAGATTGAGCCATGTGCCTTCCTGTGGTGGTGGCGCTGCTGCTCTTCCTGGCGGTGCTCGAGTATCTGGTTTGGTCGCACAGCAAGATCCTCGCAGCAACACTGCTGCCGCTCTACTCGGCGGCCTTCTCTGCGCTGCATGCGAGTTGATGGCGATCGCAATGTCGTCTGTCGATGTTGCGCTGCTGGCGCACAACGACGCCATTACAGCGATGCGCTGGAGAGCGCATGTGCGGTGCGATTCAGAAGCAGCATGAATGCTCGCGGAGGCCCTTCCATCCACTGTGATGGCGTCCCTTGGCTCTATTGCTGGAGGCGGGATGGAGCCCGAGAACGAGGAGCCAATCGCTGTGTTGCGGGAAGGGCCCGAACCACCAGTGAAGGTATATAAAGGGCGGAGGAGCAGACCGTTCGCCCCCCCACGGGGGGCAACGGTGAACAGTGGTGGTCTAGTGGAAATTGGCAACAGGTAAGTATCCCCGCCTCCCCACATTACTGTGAATACGTTAACTACTCTCGCAGAGTCGAGTCTCCCTTGATTCTCTAAATGGTCCTCCTTGGGTAGGACGCAGAGTAAAGAATCAAGGTGAGACTCACAACAATCATCAATTACTAACGGCAAACCACCATGATCACCGCCTCAATCTTGGTCAAGTTGGGGTTGTGGGAGTTGTTTCCAGGAGGCTTGCGAGCCTTCTCTTTTTGCTCTTTTGCTCGAACTTGTATAAAGCAGAGATAAAAGAGACCATCTTTCTTTTGCATATTTCTGGCTCTGCAGCTCTAAGGCTTTGCGCCAGCATCAAATGGGCACAGGGTGTACAGCTCGCGATCGGTTCGACTGGACATGAGCCATCTGTGCCACGTCCGAATTCAATAAGTTCTGTTCTCTCTCTCTGTTCAACGCGTCCTTCTGTCCAACGTATGACCTTCTCTAAGTACGAACGGAACACATAGTCAAACTGCTCACATAGCCGCGCGACAGGCAGTCGAACCACGCAAATGCCAAGATAGCGACTTTCTCGTGGTACTTCTGCATCGCACAACACGCTTGGTTCTGGAATGCTGAAGACATTTCTTCTGATCTCCATGGTCACGCGAGCAAGATGCGCAGTCTTCGGCCCTGACAGCAAGCTGCACGCTTTGAACAGTCTGTTCGGGTGCGAGACGCGGCAATTCCACGTTCCAAAACCCGCGACTCGAACCTTGACTTTCCGACGTTTGCTTCCCAAGCGCGAACCGGCTTGCGAGCAAGATGCACGCGTTGTATAGTCTGTTCGAGTCCGGGACGCGGCAATTTCACGTTTGGAAATTCGCGACTCTAATCAGGACTTTCCTACGTTTGGGTGCCTAGCGCGAACCAGCCTTACTGAAGTCAGCCTCACAGTCTGGACGCCTGAGGAGGCTTTGTTCATCCATCCCTTTGTCAATTGCAGAGCTCGCGAGAGGATGCAAAAGAACCATGGGCGTCTGTGAGAGCCAATCCATATCAGCTTGTGGCCAATGGTCCGCCACAACAACCTAGCAATGGTTGGATGCAGTTTTTCGCATCTATTTTTGTGATTGGATTCTATTGTCAAGCTCGCAGATCCCACGGTTCGCGAGGAACAAGTCGATGCTGTGTGGATGCTGTCATTACCTATGTAGCATCTGGCATCTGGCTATCTGGCATGACTAGGAGCGCTACTAGCTTGGCTGTCAGCGAGGTGGCATGAGAAGCCATGCACACCTCTCCGATACCGTGAGGACAGAGAGGATTGTCATCCTTGTAGTCACAACAGATCGGTCGAAGAAAGTCCTGTGTGTACAAGCCAGTCGCAGGTACCTAATCTAGTTGGGATCCTTCCTTCACCTTGGGCCCTGGACCCCTTTCGTCGGCTGTTTCCACGCCAAGCTTTCTGACCCGTTATCAGTTCAAAACTCTACACACCTATGGCAACCTCTCACAGACGACAACCTCCCAACACACCGCAAACAACCATGGCGCCCGGCAATCAGCCCCTGCCAGTCAAGCGCAGATCGAAGAAACAGAAGCATCGGCGTGATATACAGGCCAAGAAGGGAGATGCCTGGTTGGCCGACAAAGACTATGTGCCCAGAGCCACCCGCATGGAGGGGCAAGCGTGGGTGAAGCGATTGGAGAAAGCCATCAGATACTTCGACGACGTGCCTTCGGACAGCGTGCCGATGGATTGCCAGTGGGAGGCCTTGAGTCAGAACGACCCACAAATTCACAGAAAGATTCTCGATGGGGCTCCATTGCTGGTCAACAAGAAGGACGACCTGCAGCGCAACCGCATCATATGGTACAACGGCCTTGATGGCAGGCACACGTTCAACAGACGTAACAAGGTGAGCGCCACATGTTCATGACAAACCGGTACTGAGCTAACCGCCGATAGCACGCGTCGATGAACTGTGCGCTCGTGCGTCTCGCAATCTGCGACAACCCTCCCCGCCCGGTCTCGAAGGTCATGCTTCTCTACTTCAAGGCGTGTCAAGAGCAGGTGGACACTCCTAAGATCAGCGAAGACCGAGAGACTTTTCTACGAGAATGGATAAAGCCGGAGTCTGACGACATCTACATCTTCAGTTACACGGAGATGAAGAAGTTGTCTCAATCGTTTGGCCGCATCCATGCCAATGCGGTCAAAGAGGTCACCCAGAAGCAAGACATGGACGAGTTGGAGCGTGGACTTGCCAACATGGAGATGGAAAATCCCTACGAGAAGCTGGCCAAGCACTACGCGTCCTGGGGTGATGGCGAGGGGAGCGGAAAGACCACTGACTCTTCAGAGTATAGGGAGATGGGAGATTTGGTGAACGCCGCAATTGATTTCTGCGATAGGGTCTTGGCCGAGTACCCCCACGAAGGTAACGAGCACCTCGGAGTCGAGGCAGAACACGTTATGAGCATCCACGCTACCGTCGATATGATGAAGAAAGTGGATGACCTTTTGAGCGCCTTCGAGAAAGTCAGTATCTGATGGACGCACTTCTCCTGGGGGACGGTGAGAAACCGAAAACCTGATTCAGGTAGCCACTCAATACCATCTCGAGCTCCCTCGTATTGACAAAATCAACTTTCCTCACATAATGTAATTGACAAAGATGCATGTCCGTTATCATAAGTGCACTACAAAAAGAAAAGACTTTCACCTCCCTCGCCACTCTCCTTCCCTCATACCAGTCACGCAGTATTAGCCTAAGTACTTTACATACTGATCAAATCTTCTTTTTCTTCAAAACCACCTTCCACGCAGCAACCGGTCCCACATTCTCCCACTCGCTCGCCTCCACTTCCCAGCCAGGCGAACAACAACGATACTTCTCCGGAGCAAACGCCGAGCAGGAGAGTTCAATTCTTCTGAGATCTGGACATGTCGTTGCTTCCCTCGTGATGGCAGGGTGAAGAACCTGGTGATACACGGCAGTCGTGAGCGCGACGTCGGGGTCTTCGCGTGTCGGGCCGAGGATGTGGAGGGTTTGGAGGTGGGGTGGGAGGAGGAGGAGATGATTGTTGTTGTTGTTGTTATTGCTGTTGTTGTGGACGAGGGGGTTGTGTTGTTCCTGGGAAGGATTGTTGAAAAATCGATGGCTTCCGACGAGGGCGCGAGGAGTGACGGCGAGGTGGAGGAGGTTTGTCATGGGTTGTAAATTTCCGAGGGGTTCGTCGTATGCTTCGTGGATGCGGGTTCCTGTGGGCTCGGGATCTGCTTCGGGGAGGTTGCAGAAATTGTTACGGGTGTCAAGTCGTACGGATTCAAGGTGGGTGCCAAAAGTGTTGAGTGATGCGGCGATGCTTTGGAAATCGAGAGGGTATTCTTGGACGGCCCATTGTAGATCGATTTGGCGGAGATTGGGCGCTCGGCGTAAGAGGTATGCGAGCATTACGTTGTCCAGCTGGCATTGGCGCAATTCGATGCTCTTGAGTCCCGGCCAGAGCGTTTCTATTGGGAGGAGGGGGGTCAGTTTTTCTCGCTGTTACGTGTTTGGAGGCTGCCTCTGGGGATGTCTCAGAGTGTAGTGGTCACTTCCATAGTTTTTCGCACTTCACTCCAGGGGGAGCTCACCTGTGTCTGGAATGCCAATGGTCCGCGAAGTAAAAAGTCTACTACAGTTGACGCGCCAGCCACTGAAAGTCTCGACATTAGGCATGGAGAGAAGTCGGTTCGCAAAAGCACAGCCAAAGACACCCATATGCTTCTCGAGGCGGATTGCCAGATTTCGTATTTTACGGTAACGTTCTTCGGAGTGATCCTTACTATAGGCAAGCACATCAAGCATGAAGAACAACGGTGTTAGTCGGAGATGTGTTCCACGTTGTGCATCGAAACCAAGGCAGGGCACAGAGACTTCGAGAACCTCGATGTTATCACATAGCAGCATGAGCATAGTAAGGACAACATCGGCTCGCCCACGTTCTAGCTTTGCGCCCACAGCAGATCCAAGTCCCACGGGGTAGCATGAGCTCACTCTACGCATACTTTGGGCGTATTGGAGGCATGAGGTTTTCAGCGATTGAGACTCTAGGTCGACCGTATGCTGGTCATCTTGAGTAAGATGCTCCCATTTGTCTATGACAATCTCGTGGACGCTGCCTGCACACACTGGATCTTTGGCCAATGTCTCGATGAAAGTCCTGGCATTTGCCAGGGGGAAACCTGGGTATGTACGGTACAGGACTGGCTTGACGATCCGATTCAGCCGGAGTGATGTTCTCGCGAGACTTGCTAGAGTAAACAGTTGGAGCTTGATGGCCTGATCGGAGTCGCTGAGCTTGCCGGTGAAGTCTGGATTGCGGCGCTCTCCAATCTCGATAGCAGAAGGCAATTGTAAGTGCTCAACAATCAGGTTGAGGATCTCCTCCGGAAGATGCAGAGTCGACATTCCTGCTTGAGCGTGTGTCCTCGAGGACAAACGGCACCGCCGGTGCCTGTGGAGTCCAGCGGTGCTGCATACGCCTGTGTCGAAACTCGATTGATTCAAGAGCAGGATTTCTGTGGTTGAGTCAACGAGACTAGTAGTACTTTTAGAGTAAGATACGGAGGTAGGTGAGGTGGTCGCATTCAAGTGAGCCGGCGGTGCTCGAAACTCGCGGTGCCATGGAAGCACGTGACGGCGATGGGAGCTGTCACTAGCCGGGCGCCGGGCGGTGCTGCTCCGGTAGATCATATCTGTTGGCCCAGACTGCTCCTCTTCGTCCCTCCATCCTGTCACAAGTAACAAAGAACGATAGAACTATGGCCTCTGACTCCTCGGATCCGCGCAGTTCCAGCAGCATCATCGAGACGGCTCGAGGCATATTCTACCATGCCATGTATCATCAACTACCCGAGCTAGTCCGCACAGCGAGCCAACTGCCAGCGAAGACTATGCAAAGATACATGGAGCGTGATAGGCGATACGATGCGCGACAAGGAGCGATTGGGGACCCGTACAAAGGCTTCATTGATCCAGGTCTGGCAGACGAGATCGACGAAAGGCAACGTGAGCACGACGAGTACCTCCGAGCACAGCAGAAAGATGCGAAACGCGATGTGGATGATGTATAAGAGCTATGACTGCTGGCGTATGATGTGCAGGAAGATGTAAGGAATTGAGTGAGAAGGGTACAGTTCGATGAAAGCATCTGGACGACTCCTCGCATGAACGCCTGTCCTCCAAATTCCGCGAACGTCTCACCCCTCATCCTTTCACGATCTCAACTTGAGCTTCAATTCAAGTGCTGCTATGCCTGGCCTGAGCGTACGAGCGAATCTCTTCCGGGCTACCCATCAGCCCATACAGTAAGTGAGCGTATTGCTATTGTCCCCGGACCATCATGTGCCACGACCGTTGGAATCAGGACGTGGAGTCGATGTCGAAATCGGTTGCTACCTTATAGGAGACTCTCTCATCGGCAGCTTGCTTGGTCTTTCCACTAACGGATAGCTCCATCCACATCATTCGTGCCATTGACCGGCTCGCTCACAGCATTGCCCTTCCACGCTTTAGCAGAGATCCTCTCTCGAATCTGCTGACTCGCGAACGGATCCACATATTCACAACAATCAACAATCTTCTCCCCACTCTCATCACATCTCAGAAAGAATACAATATCATTCTGAACTTTGTCTCCTCCATCACCCGGCAACATCCAAAAGTCCGCCCGCACAACCACGGTCCTCTGCTTCACATCCACCAACACATCCTGCACCAGAATCGCCCAGACCGAGAGGTTCGCGGACATGTCTTTGATGTGATTACAGAAGCCATCGATATCTTTGGGTGCGCCGAGCACAGGACTATTCCGCGCGAAGAGCTTCGGCGCCCACGAGATACGGAAGTGAGGCGCGCAGAAAGATCTCAGGAGATCGTAGTCGGGATTGTTATCTCGAGGTGTGGCGGAATTGGTAGCTTCGATGAAAGCCCTAGCCGTGGTAGAGAGTTTGGAATAGATGATGTCTTCTGCCTCTGAAGGCGGTAGTAGTGGTGTCGTGGTGGCAGGCATTGTATTTTTGCGAAAGGAAGAAAAAAGTGCTCTCTTATCTCTTTCTCTCTTTCTCTCTCTCTGAAGATCTCTCCTCGCAGCAACAACAGAGAAAGAAGGACAGGAAAAATTCCCCCTTTCGCTTCGAACGGATGAGCCCAATATAAGGTATCATACATTTTTCTACATCTCTTGACCGCCAGCTGCCAGCATACCGTAGTTTGTAAATAGCGAGCTGACGGCTTTAGAGTTTAGTAGTTCCGTCTTATACAGACAGCCCAAGGAGCCCTCATCAGCTTCGTTGATTCCACGCTACCTAGAGGCTAGGTTATGGAACCCTCGACTCCTTATTGCCGCTTGGAGCATTCCTTTACTAGGAAGTGGTCACAATCGTGTTCCCTACAACACCACACACATGTGCACACATGTTCACACACATGATCCGCCGCGAACCTAAGTTGCGGGGGAACTGGGAATGGGCCTGTTCGTACTTCGGGACCGATTCGTTGCCGGCGTGCGATGTCATCCTCTTTCTTTTGCAAATGCAGATCTGGCATGTGGACGTAATAATGGGGAATGTTGTCGTGGAATATACAATGCATTAATGTTAGGTACCTATCTTCAAAGATACTCGATGCAACCCTGAATTGGTCACAAGTAATCATGAACGCCACACCAAGTGGCCAGAAACGCTGCCGAAGCTGCTGTTCCGCACTGGCAGCCAGCTTTTCAAGCAAACTCGCGAAGTTGTATCTCTGATAGCAATCAAACAACAAGTCCGTACCGTAAGATTCCCATAAGCAGGTCCCCTCCCGCAAACACGCTTCATATTACTCGTCACTGAGGTGCAATTCTCCATCCGGTTGGTTAACCACCTCTTTGCATGCTTCGAAAGCCCATATTCTGATACCTCAACTGCGACTCGAACTCTAGTGGAGTATTCGTCTCGAGCTCTGGGGAGTCATGTTTCCATGACGTCTCGATCACTTTTGGCTATAGCCCTTCCTGCCGAGCCTCGCGCACCAAGTATATATCAAGGCAACCAAGCGGCGACAAGTTGATTGCTGATGGCGATCGCGGCTAGGAGCTTGCCAAGGATCATGTCGTCGGCAGCGAAGATGTGAGAGTTAACCATGGCTGATGATGATAGAGTGGAAGGAAAGGCCCAATCCATCCTCCTAGTCTATCTCAATGATCTCCACTGCCTTTACCGGCGCAGAAGGAGCGGCGGCCGATGCACTTCGCCCAGCCTCCTCACGCTCCAAGCTTGCAGACCGTACTCCGGTCCGCTCGTCTTTCTTGGGCTTCCAGCTGCCATTAGACTCTACCACGATTGCTTTCGTGTCCGTCAGGCCCCTTTTTTGAAGCTCGTCACGCACGTGGACCAAAAACTCATCGACAATCAGAGTTTGCGGTCGTACGTCACCTCGGCACAGGGGACAGCGCCAGCAATCCACAACCGTGGGCCATTCCGGTTTGATACGCTTGCACACAGAGAGGAACACTTCTAGATCGAAGGCGTCCTTGTGAAGACAATTAGCACCACGAACAGGAACATCGACCAGTCTCGCCTGCGACAATGGTTCCACAACGCTGATAGTCATGTTGCTCGAAGTCACTGCAATCTCGTCCTCGTTGTCAACGGTGCCTCCTTCGGACAGTGCTTTTTTGATCGTCGCCAAAGAGTCTTGGGCGGAGACGCGACCCAGTCCGTCTTTGATGATATTGTGGCTCGTGACACCAATAGTTTCCACGGCGAGTGCGAAATCAAACCTCCGTTTGTCGCTCAAGGGTCGGTTGAGAAAGACCTTGAGCTTGTTGATTCCACGATTGACGTACTCCGTGACATCAATAGGCAGATAGCGACCATGATGCAATTTTCGTCTGGTGTATAACTGTACACCGTTGAGCTCGAACGACAGCGACTCGGGCCAGAAGCTATCGGCAACAACCCAGCTGCTCTCGTCAGTGAAACCGGTTGCCGGTACAGCACAACATCGTAGGCGATACATCAAAGAGTCCTCGCTAACGACTCTCGTATTAGGTTTCCCTGAATCAGCAGGGGCTGGGATAGTCTTTGCAATTTTGTCAAACGAATCGTCCGAGATCTCGAAATGAGCAAGTTGTACTGGAGTTCTCTTCTTGATGGTAGCTGGTGCCATTGCATAACCTGTAACAAAGCGATACAGCCTAGGCGCATCCTGCTTGGGCTCAGCTAGTACCAGGTTCGGACTGCGGAGATGTGCTTGGTGTAGCCCGCAGCGACTAGGTTCTGGGTGCGTTAGCTGAGCCCGTGGGATTTCAGCTTGTGTTGGGAAGACAAGCCGTCTCATAGCTGTAGGCTGTGTGCGCAAAGCTGCGCTATGCGGCGTTGTGTGAGGCGAGGCCAAAGTAGGCGTTCGTCCGGGCGGTACAGGTGGTTGCAGCTGTTGCATGTGGGGTGAACTAAAAGCCTGCGCGTCAGGAGACGAGGGAATACGGCCGATGTTCTGTGGGCGACCCGCTGCCTGCAAATACCGCTGCTGCTGTTGTAGTTGGTGTCCTGGGGACTGTGGCTGCCACTGATTTAGTGTCTGCTGTGGCAACATCTGAGAGTGGAGCATCTGTTGTGGTACTGGGGACATCATGCTCCGCGGCATTGTCCGAAAGAGTGTATAGACGTCCTGCGACACAGCGAATGGTGCTATGGGTTGAGAGGCGATCCCGAGGCGGTTTTCCTCTTGACGTTGTTCGTGAGTCTTCCAGAGCCTGTATACGAGATTCAGTGCCCCATAAGCTTGCTGTTTCTCCTGTGCAGTGCGCCGCCATCGATTATGGACGCAGTTGTGTTGATCCAATTCATGCAGAGACTCCAAAGCTTTAATCCCATCCGACTCTGTTACGCCCCAAAACAAACGCGCAATGGCTCGAAAGCATGTGTTTTGCAGCACGACGCTATGAAGATGCAGGATTGTTTCCATATCCTCTACGAGTGGAGGAGCCTCCAGCTCGCGACATCGCTGCGCAAGACCATCCCAGTGCTGAGGCAGCTTCATCAAAAAGACCTTTATCGATTGCACACGCGCCTCGTATACCTCCCTTGCGTTGTGCGGATCAGAATATAGATCCATGATAGGCTCCGGGAACTCAGAAAAGAACGTGAGCAGCTCATTGTTGACGGCCGTGTTCTGACACAAGAGACTGCCAAGCTGGTCCCAGCTGATGTCAGGCACGTCTTTGAGCGACTTGGGCAGCAGACTCGGCATCACAGTACGCAGACAAAACACCTGACTGAGTACTTGGTAGAACCAGTCCTCTTTCTCAACAGCGTAGCGCAGCAAAGTGAGACGACCGTGGTCGACATCTTGCAAATGAGGTTGCATCGCCTGCTCCACGTCGTGTATCCGCTTGAGTAGAATATGCTTGGGTATTCTGGAGGCCACAGGACGATGCCTCGGCTCACGTGATTGGCCCTGGGGATGGCCATGATTGGAAGGCAGCATAGGGGGCGTTTGGACAGGCTGGACGTTTGACTGCTGAACGGGGCCATGGAATTGTGTTCTCTGAATATTACTTTGTGTGTTCCGATGCTGCTGTTGATGCTGCACTGTTCCAACCTGTTAGAGCTACAAGTACTGAGGTGGTTCACACTTTGGCGCGTGATCGAACTTACGTTGTGTAGGATGCTGCGACTGAAGATTCGGCAGGTACTGTTGCGGCTGCGGAAGGAACTGCGTTTGTGGTGATAGCCCATTTGCTTGGACCGCCATCGAATTGAGAGGCATTCCAGAGACCTGCCAATGTTGTCGTTGCTGTTGCTGTTGCTGTTGCTGGGTTTGCGCCTGTTGTGCCTGTTGTGCCTGAAGGGGCGACTGCATGACCAATGGAGAGCCTGGCCTCGACATTGCGGTCAATCCCGTATAACTCATGTCGAGGGCCATGCGTTGACCGCCGCGGTTCCGGAGTGCCTTGATCTGATGTTCTGGGAATGTCGGCGATTGTGTATTCTCGTCGCTTGGTGCTGGAGAAGGCAGCGATGGCTGCACCAGACCTGTGGCCTCCATGGAAGTTCTGCTGCCGAAATTGATATTCGTGACTTGGGGACTGCGTTGTCCTAGTGCTGCGGTTGTCGCATAGTGCGCCAAATGGGGCCCGGAGTGAAATATATTGCCAGGCTGAGAAGACGACTGCGTGCCTGCCGAATTCGAATTCATGTCCCGTACAGTTCCTTCCTCTTCTCCGTATATACTGCTAGCCGCCACCGTGCCTCTCGGTTGCTGTATCCGTCTCGCATGTTCGCCGGGGGTTGCAGCATTCAAGCTGCTGTTTGCACTCTGGACATCACCGGCGACGTCGACAGTAGCGTCCCCTGTCACGTCTTCCATCTACCTGATCTCTTTGGTCTGTATCCACCCAAGTCCTGCGTGTTTGCGATTGCGTCTCTTGTCGTGTGTACTGCTGCTGCCCTGCTCTCCTCGCCTCTTCTTCGTTGGCACCTCGTCAGCTACGACCATCAGCGCGTTATCTACGCAGGCATGAGACCGCAAAGGCTGCGACGAGGTGACTCTGCGCATGAGAGCCGCTGTGTGTCACTTCATTCAGCGGTGACTTCTCGCTCGCCAGAAGTTCGGGGTGCTGTCGTTGCACAACAGTAGTGGCTGCAAACACTATATAGGACGCGCTTAGGCATGCGTGGAGGTACATCCACAGACGCGCTGTTCGTCTGTGAATGGCGGCGGTTGAGGTCAGCGGAGGTCAACTTGGAGGAGGTATAGTATTTTGAATGTCAGACGAAATTCCAGTCGCGTGCGATGGAGCACGAGGCGGCGTGGGAGGTAGCGCGAAGAAAGATGATCGATAGTTCGGCTTATTAGAGACGGTTGACGGGAATGCACCGATCGCATGCTCGATTTACCTCTCTTGGAGCTGCTATCACAGGAGAGCAGCCCAATGCGTTCATGTCCATGCCATCCCTCCACATCTGACATGTACCTTACCTGACAGGCTGATAGTAGGGTCCTGGATGAGGCGGCTCCCCGCGTCACCCCCTGCGCTGCGCTGCCCTGTCACCAGAAAAGCTGGAGGAGACGACGCTTAGAGAGGTCAGGCCGTTTGTCCTTCGAGAAGGACGTGAGAAGCGGCGCTTCTGGGTTAGCCGGGTGGACGGCGATCAATCGCAAGCACCAAGGCGGACTAAGGTGGTCTAGCGATCTTGCCACACGCATGCATGGGCATCTGTTCTACGTGGAAGTCTGAGTGCACATCACATGCTGTGCATGCATGTTATGAGGTAGCCTACCTATACCTGCCTACAGTACAGTATCTGCACCATCCCATCCTCTGTCTGATGAAGTGGGAACAAGCCGTTTCATTCCAGTCTCGACCGACCTAGTCCAGTACCTTCTGCGCCGAGCTTACTCATGAGTCGGAGTTGGTTCAACAAGCTGTCCAGAAGCACTCGAATTGCCGGTTCCTGAGTGAACACCGATCCAATAGCACACAACCGTGACGACGGCGCACGTCCGACCGTGAACGAGTAACCGACCATCATCATCACCATAAACACCATCACCACGCTTCCTCCCCAACACCTACGACCGACCTCGTCCTCGCCTGCACGCCGATGCGGCGACATCCCGGAGTGCAACAGACAGGCGGTGGTGATGAAGCTGTGATCATTGCGATCTTGGAACTTGCTCCACCCGCCCCGCAGCCGTCCTAGACAGCAGACGGACACTGGTCACTACAGTACTACACTATATACAGCGAGCAACTGGTGCGCGACAACCTCGCGCGTAGCTGTTCGCCGGACGTGGCAAGCACACCTCACCGGGCCCCAAGATGGCAAAGAATGGGGCAGGCAACGCGCAGGCTGGTTCGATCCTGCTCGTGGTGCATGATTTCCAGGCGAGAAGCCCCGACGAACTCAGCCTGGCCAAGGGTGATCGTATCGAACTGATAGAAAGGTGCGTCTACGTCTGCATTCTGATGGTTACCACTGCACCTGAACATGTCTTGGACACGCGGATTCTAATGCGGTGGCAGGGACGACGATTTCGGCGACGGATGGTAAGTCTGCCTTCCACTGCCTTCCGGTTTGCGCCTCGCGGTCGAGGGTCGTCTGACAGCACATAGGTTCCTAGGAAAGCATCTCACCAACGGCACCAGCGGCCTCTTTCCTGAAGGTAGGTGACATGACCCTTCCAACCCCCAAGTTGTGCTGTTGCCGTGCTTCACCATCAGTATCGAGGCTAGGGTGGTGCTGACTACTATGGCAGTATATACCACTCCGGCCCCCAAGGGCACTCTAAGCAACAGCACCCACAAGCGGGGCATCAGTGATGCAGCTTCAGTCCTTACCGCGCAATCTGCGACCGGGAGTGGCACTATGCCTGCGACTGTTTCCGGAAAGCGAGATGCCTCAGCAACGCAATCTCTCGGGCCTCCAGCCAGCAGTGCGCAGACTCCGTCGCTGTCAACGGCTCTCCGAACATCTTTACCATCCAGTAGCAGCGCAACCGGCGGCCGAAGCTTCACCATAACCTCTGATTCGCCCGTTATGAGCGAGACCTTGTCTGTAATTGACGAGCACATTACACATATGAAATCGCCGCGCGCGTCATATGCTAATGGCAACAAACGGGACACTTTGGGCAGTGTCTACTCGGCGCAACAACAATACCGGCGATCATACATTGCTGGCACAGAGACTGATGAAGAGGAGCACCAACTGCACACGGAGGAGGAGGTCATGTCCTGGGGGCCAGACCGTGTGGCAGAGTATCTTGAGGATAATGGCGTGGAGAAGTCGCACTGCAATGTCTTTCGAGACCAAGAAATCAGTGGCGAGGTCTTGCTCGCAATGGACCAAAACAGCTTGTTCATCAAGGAGTTTGAATTGGGGGCTATTGGTCGGAGGTTGCGTACATGGCATAAGATCAAAGCGTTGCAAGACGAAACGAAGCGGAGTGTGATGCCAGAGATTGAGCGAGATCGAAGCAATTCTGAGTACTCTTTCGGTGCAGACGCCGGAGAGGGCGCCACCGATGCCTCAACTGTGGCCAGGAACCGCGGCTCGACAATCAGCGGACCGGCTCTACCTCGAGGTCTTAGTACATCCAAGCGGAACAGCGGTGACGAACCGGCGACTCGCAGTACGACTCTGCCCGAGCAACAGATGCCATATGTGCCGGGCGGCACCAGACGTGTGAGCGCTGGCATGTCGCCTCTGCAGGCCATCACATCTGCGCCGAGAGAGACTACCCAGCGCCCATCAGCGCAAGGCATTCGCAACTTGAACCATTCTAGGCGGCACTCAAGTATCGACTCCACCGTCACGGACGGCGCAACTCGCACTGGCCATCGGAAGAAGCCCTCACTCGACCAAAGATGGGAACCTGGGCAGCATGCCAACGGACACAAGCACAATGCCAGCACTGATTCGCATTTTCCGGACGCCAAATCGAGCGTCCTGTCACCTGCTTCGCCCGAGGACCTCGATCGTGGCTACTTCTCGTCGAATGAAGCTGACACGAGGTCACGTATATCAACGGTCTCAAAGCGAAACTCGACCTCCATCAGTCATTCTAGTGCAATCGGCCCCATTCAAGAGTGGCCCAGTAGCTCCCAATACATGGGTCCGGAAGTGCTTAGCTCGCCTGGACCATCCTATTACCACTCCAATGCGATGAACGCAATCAACAGCAAGTTTGGGAGTCATCGATCAGCCACCGCGCCCGCGAGCAAACTCGGCCCCATGCATCCCATCGTGACGAAACTAGATCATGAAAGCGGCCAGTCGCTGGATGCGATTGCTGCGAGCCCTACGAAGGTCGATGATAATGGCAGCACAGCCTCGAGTGACAAAGTTGCTTCTGACAAACCAAGTCCACGGGTCAACTTGAGCATGTTTTCTTCTGCGAAAGCCAAGATGACAGGACTGCGATCGATTAGTGATGCTGTCACCAAGGATGAAAAGAGATCACCGACGAAGACCGATCCTTCGTTGAAGTCGCCCACCAGAACAGGCTCTTCGACGCCAAGCACCGAAGGGAAGAGTTTCGATCTCACCAAGTCGGACGTCTATTCACGCGCATCAACAGGATCAGCTGGCAACTTGATGCCTCCTCCCCCCGTGAAAAGACCGCGCGCAAGAACGAAGACCAAGAAAGCTACATCTGCTTACACCAACGGGCTGACGCAGATAACGCCAACAGAGGCCATGATTTCATGCGACTATTCCGGCTGGATGAAGAAGAAAAGCGGCTCCCTAATGACGACCTGGAAGACCCGCTTATTTGTTCTGAAGGGCTGCCGATTGGCCTATTACTACTCGGACGAGGACACGGAAGAGAAAGGACTGATAGATATAGCATTTCACAGAGTGCTTCCTGCTCACAATGAGACGCTTACCGGCTTGCACGCGACTATGACAGGGGCGAGTAATGGCCCTACCAGTCCTATGCACGGCTCAACTCCGACACTGGCGCAGCAGGATCTGCGAGACCACCCGCCTCAGAAAGGCGAGGAAGGGGAGGGCATGTTTATCTTCAAGCTCGTTCCGCCCAAGGCTGGACTGTCGAAAGGTGTCAATTTCACGAAACCTGCGGTGCACTACTTCGCTGTGAATTCTCGGCAAGAAGGCCGACTATGGATGGCCGCACTCATGAAAGCCACTATCGATCGGGACGATACTGGCGTTGTCACGACCACCTACAACCAGAAGACTATTTCATTGCAGAAAGCACGAGCGCGCCGCGAACGGCCGCCGGCGCTGAAAGAAGACACCGATATCATTGACATCAGTGTGGGAGGCATAGCTGGTCCAAATGCAGCTGATGACGCCAACGAGAGTGGACTCGGTATAGGTGGTCTGGCCGATGGAGACTCCACTACGGGCGGAGTCCAAGAAGAAGGCAGCATGCTTGATGCGAACTCCATCGCACCTAGCACGATAGCTGCTACTGAGAGCGAGTACAATGAATCTGTACTGGAACCTGTTACACTGCATGCTTAGGCTGACACACCATGCAAGACCTGTATGGCAAGTTATTGTTAACCTTGTTCAGCGAAGCGAAGGCGTTCCGACATGGCGCGCCGGGGCATACTTTGCACGACTTCAATGTTTTGGATGGGGGTATACTGGGAATTGTTGATACCCTTGCTGCACAAATCTCGAAATGTCTCCACATTCATTACTTATAAGCGGTAGCGCCGAATCACGATTCCAGAATCCCTTCTCATGCATCCTCCCTGATAGAAAGATGGCCCTGCTTGATACTGGTCAGTCTACTCCTGCAACACATGCGGGCAATTGGACATACAAAAAGTCAAGAGCACATCTCAGACAGGCTCATTGTGAAGTCGCTGTGATCGCAGTGCTTGGCGGACCCGATGAAGTCGATGCCGCTGATGTGTTGGTTGCCGATGAGTGTGTTGTAGGCTGTTGAGGTGTGAAGAGCGGAGGAAGTGTTGCACCAGATAGATGCGTGGGCAACCGATGAATGTACGGCATCTCGATTGTAGTTTTCCTCTTTCGAATGATTTGTGGCCTGAGCAGTTTGACTGATCTAGTACACTAGGTGTATATGTATATATATATATATATATATATATATATGCATCAAGCATGAATCTTCAGCAGAGTATTGATTGCTACCTAGAAATGTACTATCACCTCCCCGACTCCGGCTGACATTGTGTGCTCGTTTTCGGCATACAACACATTTGCTTACTCTGAAAGCAGTCTGATCGAGAAGCCCTGCGTGATGAAGCCCTTGGATAGATGTACTAGGAGGGTAAGGTAGCTTGCAGTAGTGTTGTAAGGATCGAGAATGGAACCATTGGCCAGGCATTGAATGCAGTTGCCTGATGACTCAGGCAGTCCTGATCGCTGTTTGTGTACAATTGAGTTGCATTGATTGTCTGCCTACAGAGTAGCTTTCGTTGGGACAAACAGATTTTTCCCATGCTCGTGAAAAAGTGCTGGTATCGATCCATTGAAATGGACTGGGTGATGGGCATGTTGTTGACTGAAGTCACCGCCTAGCGGCTTGGCGAGGAAGAGGGGAAAGTGAAGCTTTACATCCTCATCTGTTCTCTCCCATTTTGTCTAACCGACTCTCTATCTATTGCACATCGCGAGCCTGGCCGTATCATCGACCATCACAGTCGGCCAACTACATAGCTTCACGGCGGCTGACGCATGCTCAGCCACCTGCACCGCGCGTGGGGAAGATCTTCAGACATCCGCAGACGCTCGCCTACGATGATCCGCCTCGTCAAAGGAATCTAACCAGTTTTTTCAAAGATCAGGTCTAGACACATCACTGTCAGACGAGTTCCTGTAGCGAGAATTTACCATATCAAGATGTTTCTACAATGCTGGGCGTGGTCGTTGGAGGGTCTATTTCAGCTACGCGCCTACTAGCCGCCGGCCTTCATTGGCTGAGACGTCCTGGTTGCAGAGTGCCACGAAACCACTCTATACCAAGTCTAGGCCCTGAGCAAGACAAGAAACAAGTGCAAGATTGTCAATGCGTCCTGTATGTTGATTTTAGAGCAGGTTGATGTATAAGTACAATCAAGGTCGGCCTAGAGAACTGGGCCATTCCATCACAACAACGCTTCCAACGACTCTCCTTTGTGCTTTCTCCTTGTATTTCACCTGCATTGCTTCTTATTGCTGCTACCTTACTCAAGCTTCATCACAACAATAACGATCACCCGCTGGCAGGGATCACTACGACGACGACGACGACGACGACGACGACGACAACCACGCATACTATACAGAAACGTCGATCGCGAAAAGCACTGCATATTGTCATTATCCATCCCGCATCAACACCCCCCAAGCCAACCAACATGCCTGTCCCAGAATACGGAGCTGCGCCGTTGGCGAAGACCTTCGTCCTCGTACGCGGCCTATCTCTCATCTGCATGATTGCCATCGTCGGCATGACAGCCAACTTCGTAGCAGAAATTATCGGCTCGAGTGTCGAGCCGCCCAAAGAAATCGTCGGAACACTCGTCGTCGTACGTGGCACTCTCTCCCCCTCCCCCTCCCCCTCGCATACACACAGACGATTTCGCTTCAACTCATCACCACTGACCTTCCAACTTCCAGACATGCCTAGCCGCACTCTACTGCCTTATCAGCATCCCCTTCTTCTACGCCCAAGCCAACCTCGGTCTCCTAATCATGACCGCCACGGATTTCTTCCTCCTCCTCGCCTTCATCGTCGTCGCGGTCGTCATGGGTAAACCTCTCTCGTTCCTAAACTGTTCCGCTGCAGCAGACTTGAACGCTGCGGGGAACGCTCATTCCACCGTGGTTTTCACTCAAGCTCTCACGGAAAATTTTGGAAAATCCGGCAGTACTTTGGCTCTGGGAGGTTGGGCTGGTCTTACCAAGGCGAATTGCTATGAGACGAAATCTATTTGGGGGTTTTGTATTAGTTTGACGATTCTGTTGACTTGTTCGAGTTGCATTTTGCCGACGCTGTGGTTTAAGGCGAGGAAGGCTGGTGGTGGTGGTGGTGGTGGAGGTGCGAAGTCGGATGTGTAGACTGGTGACTTGGCGACATTTCTTGCATAAGGGCTGCGGTTGAGATGGCGTACGGGGACTTTAGAGGTTGGCGTTGGGGAAAAGTCAGGCGGTGCCTACTGGTAATATTTGAAGATTTTCGGGTGATCATATTCATGGGGGCCAGAAAGCATATAGACCGGGAAAAATTGCATGGCATTACAAGACATTGCGCTGTTTTTGCCAATACGCTATTCTTGCCAATGATAAAAACTTTCAACACATGTTGCTAATGATTGATATGAAGGTCTGTTTGTTGAGTTCTGAGAGCTCGAGGTAGGATTGTAGGGTGAGTGGATTGGAAAATTATGTCCTGCCCGTATCTGTACCACAGCCAATGATCTCAACGGCTGCAGCTTTTTCAAGGCGCCTTGTCGTTCTAGGCTAGCAAAGTCAAGCAGAAGAATGAAGGCGAGTTCCAAAGATCCCAGCCAACCACCTGCAAGACTTCACGCCTTTCCTCCTTCTTTCATGGCCAACTCACCTTAATGAGGAGGGAAAGAGAAGGCCGTAAACAGCCATGTGTTGCTATCAGCACTTTTCATACGAAAAAAAGGAGACGAGATATCGAGAAAATGAGATAAGAAATGGCCCGGAATACGTCGTAGGTCGTTGGGGAATCTGTTTTCTTTTGGCATTCTGCGCCGCAGCGCACTCATTGTGTCGCTAGGCCTTGAGCTAATTAAAGCAAGGCCACTCCATGCCTCTCTATATCCTCGCATGGTCGATCCCGAGTACACCATACGCCAAGCATGAAGCCGTCAGCAGTAATGTCCTGACGCATCACCCGTTAGACGACATTGATATATGTTCCCTCTTTGCTTTTTGAGCTGATGTGCGTCCTCACCTTGCGCCTTCTATGTTCCCTGTCTCTTCACCTTCCGCCCACAATCTATCGGGAAGCGCTCCACACGTTCTTCAAGAAACCATCTTTTTGTGTAAGTCGGTTCATCGCATCGTCGCTCTCGCCCATGGCACGGACGAAGCCGCAAAGGGCGTAGACCTGGTTCTCGCCAGTGGCACGGCCGTTCTCGTCGACCTTTGCGACGGAAAGCTGGACGGAGGCGTGGTCCTTGGCCTTGATGATGCGGTTGGTGGCAGAGCACTTGCGTGGGACGTAACTGGAGGAAATTATGTTAGTGAGCCGTTCTCGGACGAGGTCCATAGATTTGGGCAGTCGCGTACAGGTCGACGAGCTCTCCGCGTTCGTTCTCCATTTTGACGGTGGTTTGGGGGGTTGACGGAAGAGTGTTTGAGAGAGTGTGTGCGGCGGATGTGGTTGTGTCTGCGGCTTTGGTGTGCTCAGGATGGAATATCGGGATGTCGGCGTGGGAGGCGCCAAGGCCATGCTTGATTGGCTGCTTCACCACCGTCACCAGCAGACCATTTTCAATGATCAAGACAGATGCTCTCAATCACGGAGAGAATTTGCCAGTAATAACCGCTCGCTCTCGTTGCGAAGAGATAGTTCGATTACCCAAAATACATTTTTACCATTTTAGATGGCATCAATGTGGTTATACTGAGTGTCTTGATCGTGCGTTAGCATTCAGCAAAGAGACAACAAGTAACAGCCAGAGCATATATGTGCTATATATTGTACCGGCTGCGTTGTGATACCAAAGTAAGCTCCTTCAAGAGCGAGCAGCACACGACGACTATCTCCATGCCACTATGTCACGGTCTTCGTCTTCATGCCCTCCCTCACTACACCGTCGACCATCTCAGCGAATTCCCGCGGCCTGGTGACAAAGGGACAGTGTCCGGTATCCATCTGCACAATCCTCATCCCATACTCCTCTGCCAACTTGAAACGCCACTCCAACGGAACCACCTTATCCTTCAAACAAACGACAGACGTCAAATCGCAAGCTCTCCAAGCCTCCGAACTAAGATTCAAGGTTGCACCAATCATCTTCTGAAATGTCAGCGCCTCTACATAAGGCTGAGCTTCAGCTTCGGTCATATCGTCTCGATAGAACGCTTCGTAGCCTGTATCGCACCAAAAGCTTTCAAACTTATCATCAATTCGGAGGTGTCCTGCTGAAGCAAGGTGAGTTACAATGGGGCCGTACTCGAATATCGCAGCTAGGTAGATGATGCGAATGCGTTCAGCCGCGGACGGCTGGGAGGCTAGGATGCGGTTGATGGCCTCTGTGCCTATCAGTCCTGCTGCGGATTGCAAGATGATTGCGATTTGTTGACCAGGCTTGTTGAGCTCGGAAGCAATGGTTGAGGAGATTGCCGAGAGGTTTTCTTCTAGTGTGCTCGTCTTGCCACCAGCTGCGGGTAGTGGTAATGGGATGTAGTTGTAGCCGGCATCTTTGAAATAGGGTGTGGGCGGCTCGCAGTGGAACCTGACGTGCCAGGCGCCTGAGACAAGTATAACAGTCCAGTTCTCGGGTCTTTGCGCCTTGTGGACTGCAGTGATGTCCGCTGCAATCTTTTCCGTGTTTTCGGAGTGCGATCTGGAGCTGTAAAGGGTGGCCATCGTCAAGGACGTTTCTTGGTGAGAGCAGAATCGGTGTTGTCCTGGGTTTAGCTCCAATACTCCTAAGATCAGCTATGGAGGGAAGATCGTTCAAATATGCCTTTAGCGGGTATAGCGCTTAGGACCGTCTGACATTTTTTTCCCGATTCAGCCATCTCAATCGCGACAATGCCCTTGAGATGCTTCTCTGCTGTCGACTAGCTATTGGCCTATCGGGCTCCGCGCGCCCTGGGCACCTGAATGCATCTTGCGTTTGAGGGAGCCTCTAGCACCGATTCAGAAGAGGACGAATTGGAAATCGCATTTTAGGGTCCGCTTTTTCATCGCTGTTCTTGGGTTGCAAGCAACTGGGCTGTGTCCTGCATCTTGTAGCCGAGTGTGTCTCACTTGAATGACCAGCATCTCAAGCCAAGCCAAGAGAGGATGTCTTGCAGTCAGTTGAGTTGAGCATTCTCGAGCATTGGCAACCAAGGCTGCTGGCGGACGGTCGGGACGGATCATGCTATACGGACGAGGAACTGTGAATCGAAGATTTCTGTGAGAAGGAGTGAATATATGCAGCGTGCACCGGAGTCCGGCTGACGTGATGCATGTATGCAAAGAGAGTCGCTTGCTCGGTATAGCTGCGTTCGGTGCTGCCTGCTGTGGTGTGACATATTCAACAGGTCGACTAGAACAGCCATTGAGACAACGCTCAGACCATGACCAAAACGGGTTGGCGGTAATACTGCAGTGTATACCAACAGTACATGTAGGTACCTAGACAGTCTTGGACGCCAACATTGTTGATCGCCAGTGGTTGAGAATGTACCTCTGTAGATATTTGGATATACCTCCTATGCAAATGTGGGGATTCGACGTGGCCTGAGCTATTATTATTCATCCGAATCACCCTGCTGGCGCAAACTCAAAGGTTGACCGTTGAACATGCCATGCACTGGCATGCGGTGCACGGCATGACAGGGAAAGGGACCACCGGGTCCTGGGTGAGGTCCGAGGTGGCACCTCTCATCAAGGAACGCTGGTCATAGGATGTTGTAGAGAATAGGGAGAGAATAAGGTAGGGATGGAGGACGAGAGTTTGATGAAGCTCACGCGCAATCACATGCTCTCGCGACATTAGGATTCAAGGGGTACAGCGCACTAGCAGTTGAGGGGACGGCGCTAGCACCTCAGGTCCCATCCGAAAGTGTTTCACGTCCACCTCTACTCACAGGTCTTGCCGTGCAAAGCGCAGTAGTAGCTCTGGCAGTCTGCACTCATTTGGCTGCGAGACGACTGTTCGTTCATTCATTCGTTGATCGATTCTTTGTTCTACTCAATAATAAACGGCGAGCGTGAGAGAGGGGGGCCTAGGGAAGAGGAGCAGCATTGACCGTGCACTTCTTAATGATAGGCACCGCTATTTCACCGCATATCCTTGCACCGACGCTAGGGGCTCAGGCTGGTCCAGAGCTCACAACAGTCGAAAGACCGACGGGTGCAGCAGAGACGATGGCAAACGACGCGCTGGCGACAATGGAGACGCTCCAGACGCGCCTAGACCTCGTCGACCACGACGAGCAATCAGCAGCGTCGGTCATGGCGAAGAAGACTGACGAGATGAGGCAAGCAGACGACCAGGAGGAGGAGAAGGAGAAGGAGGAGGAGAAGGAAGAGGAAGACGAGGACGAAGAGGAGCATTTCAGACCTAGCACTCCACAGCACAGCACCACCAGCGACAGCGATACGTCCTCGACGCCCACGCAAGAGGCGGCCAAGCCTACCTTCGTTGAGACCATCACGCTTCATGGCGAGCCCCTGGACGACCGCGCCTTGTCCTCCTCGTCGTCATCCTCCCCAAGGCCGGAGACACCGACGGACCCTCAAACGCCGTCAACTCCACACGACCTGACGCGTGACTCGATGGCCAGTTTTGCCCTCTCCGACACGTCTATGGACTGGAATAACCTCAGCAGTGAGGCCATAGAGGACGTACTTGCCACTCCACGCGTGAGCAATACCCGGAGACATCTGCGGAAAGTGAGTAGTCTGGACATCTTGCAGAACAAGTTTGCTGCTCCCGATAAACCCACTACTCTTTTCGACTCCGATGAAAATAGCAGAGATCCTCCCATGTCCGCTGTGGAGCTGAGTAGGGAAAATAACGACTTGGACGCCTGGAGGCGGAACACCGACCTTCTTCCACACGATTACACTCTTTCACATCGCCAGAGTGTTGCTACCATGGACAGTATCGAAATCTTGGAGGACTCTCCTCTCACCCCTCCCAGCAGGAGTATGAGCAGGAGCAGTAGTGCGGACCCCCACAATCGCACCAGCGATAGTTCCGGAGAGGATATGCAAGTGGACTGGCAGGCATTAGACAAGACTGAAGAGCAAGAGAAAGAGGACAAGGCTGCGCAGGAGGGCGCTGAAGATGATGCTACAGCATTCCTGCTGGCGAGGCTGGAGCAAGAGAATGCCAAGTTCGCAGCAGATCCCAAGGCTTCTGCGAGTAAGCCTCTACGTCGCAAAACGCGAGCGTATAGTCGACCACCAAGCATGGCCCAGCTTAAGAGGCTCGTGGCCACCAGCGAGATGCCTTCGATCCGCTACAGCCTAGCCTCAGATACCCGTTTTCCGCCTTCGCCGAACGAGACACCGCCCATGACCGAGCTCGAGTTTTGGGTTGCACTTGTTCAGGACTACTCCAGCACAGCATTGCGTCTGCCTACCCTGACGACCACCAAGATAAGATCCGGAGTGCCGCCTCCGCTGAGAGGCGTGGTTTGGACATCCATGTCAGGCGCGCGGGACAGAGATCTAGAAGACTCATACGAGAGGCTCATCCACGAGAAGAGTTCGTATGAGGGCATCATCAACAAGGACGTTGGCCGCAGCTTCCCTGGCGTGGAGCTATTCCGAGATGCAGACGGCGACGGCCAGAAGATGCTGGGGAGAGTGCTGAAGTGTTTCTCGCTGCACGACAAAGACATTGGCTACTGTCAAGGACTGGGCTTCTTGGTTGGACCGCTCCTTATGAACATGGGTGAGCGGGATGCCTTCTGTGTGCTTGTTCGGTGAGTCTTGCCAGCACTACAGGATGAGTTGAGCATTGCATTACTGACCCTTGCCAGATTGATGGACCACTTCTCGTTGCGAGCCTCATTCCTGCCGTCACTTTCTGGTCTCCATATGCGAATCTACCAATTCTCAGCACTTCTCAAGCAGCATCACCCGAAACTGCAGGAACATCTCGCGAAACACGGTATCGAACCAGCATATCTCTCACAATGGTTCTTATCGTGCTTTGCAGTCACCTGTCCTCTGAATCTGCTGTTCCGCATTTACGACGTGATCTTCGCTGAGGGTGCCAATGAGACGGTTATGCGAGTCGCGCTTGCCTTGATGAGGCGGCACGAGGAGAGAATGCTGGCAACGGATGAGTTCGAAGAAGTTATGAGCCTACTTCTTGGTCGCGAGATGTGGAACTGCTATGCTGGCGATGCAGACGAGCTAGTTGACGACTTCACATCGCTGGGCGACATCGTTACCTTCGCCAGACTAGCTGAACTGGAAAAGGAGTTCGAGAAACAGTCTTCAGAGGCGGTGGGACAAAGCGCGGGCTTTCTGCCCACCGTACAGGCTGCGGCTTCTGGTTTCCTTGGACGAATATGGGCGCCTGGTCACGCTGCAACACCGAGCAAGACGGTCACGAACCACGCGCACAACGCAAGCACAACGACACTGTCGCCCGAGACGGCTGATAAGACGCGCGGCGGCTTCTTTGGTAGACCGTCAACTTTCCTCAGGCGTAGTCCCAGCAGAACCGAACTTCACGATGCCCACGACAGCTCGAGCAGCGGTGATAGTGGATCTACAAACGGGTCAAGTGCAGTGAGCCTGACGTCGACTATTATGACAGATCCTGACACTCCCCTCGCTCATGGTCAAGGAATGCGTGAGAGTATAGCCGACAGCATCAGCACAAAGTCGAAAGCAGACTCGATGTACCCTCAATCCACAAGTCTCCTCATCTCGCAACAACGAGACCTGCAAGCTCAAATCGAGGACTTGCTCACAGCTATGGGCGAAATGCAACGGGAACAAGCACAGCTCGCCGTAATGTTACAAAAGGAACGCGAAGAGAGAAGTGAAGATCACAAAATCATGAGGCAAATGGTCGCCAAGCTGCGCAAAGACAAAACCGACCGCAGGAAGACAATGCCGCCCCCACCCCGAAATCAGTCGCCACTCGAGGTGCCACTGCCCACAAGCCGACCTCTGAGTGTGGGCGACTTCACTCAGCTCAACATTGACGGCACAGATAAAGAGCCCCCGGAAAGGGACGAAATGGAAGAGCTCGTTGAGAAAGCGCAGGAACGATTGCAGACAAGTGTCCGGTTCTCAATGAGCCTGGAAACGAAAGCAAACTTGCGAAGCACTCTGGCGCGGGCACGAGAAGAGCTAGCTGTGGCTGAAGCACAATCACGAGATCTAGCCATCCGACTGGAGGCGTCACAATCCGCCGTCATCGCGTTTCAGGAGGAAGGGGACGACCTGCGCTCGGAAGTCAAAGAACTGAGACAGAGAGTAGCTGATGAATTCAAGGCGCGACAAAGGCTAGAACATAAAATTGGCGAGCTCAATGCCCAGACCCGGAGCATCGAGCGCAAGGAGCGTCAATACAGGTCAGAGAGCTTGCAGCAAGTACCGACATTGAGCAAGAGCGGTGATGCTTCGAATCCGCAGGGCAGGAAGGGCAGCACTTCTAGTATGCCTGGTGGCCTACGAGAATTGAGGCTTGGTCGTCGCGACTCAAGCTCGTCTGTGCATAACACGAGGTCTCAATCTTTGCGGAACACATCTCCACCTGCGACCGATGTGCCGCTGCCTACGTTACGAACAGAGCCTGCGTCGGCAGATGGCACTCCTGCTACATCGCCTTCACAGTCAGACATAGCATCGCCATCATCTGTCCCACCCGCCGGCGAGCAGCTCGCTGCGCCTGTCGGACGACGAGGATTCTCGAAGCGTACATCGTCGCTCGCCACACAGGACGTTTTCGCCACAACACAACACGAAGTGGTCCCTGAAGAGGCTCTGTTACTTGAACTTGTCAATGCAAAAACAGCAGAAGCACAAGCGCTGCAAGAACTCGACGAGGTCAAGAAAGCGTTGTCCGTCTCGAAGCGCAGACAAGAAGAGACCATGACTCGCATGCGAGCCGAGATTGAGGCTGCGAAGACTGAAGCCAAGCTCGCAGTTGAGAAAGTGGAGGCTGCGAAGGTGCCTTCAGAGCCAGCCATCGCAAGTCCAATGTTCTCACAGCCTTCAACGCCATTCGCGGAAGGTTCGAATCCATTGGCGCCTGCTGGAAAGGTGTCGTCCGGCACAGGGACTCCTGCAGATGACAGACCAGAGTCCGAGCTCAATGTGGCCAAGAAGGGCGAAGATAAGTCTGCAGTCGCACCTGTAGGGTGGTTCTGGCAACGACGAACAGCATCGAAAAGCACCAATGTCAGTCCTGCGGAGGACTAAGATAGATTGTACAACCACGCGAGGGATTTCACTTTCAGCTTCAATGGGTGATGATATGTTAATGTCTGATGTTGAATCTCTCGGGACGGATCTTTGGGAGCATCGGGGAAGAGAATGTTACATGTATTATGTCCTCGAGGACGATTGTGCGCATAGCAAGCCGCTTGCTGAACCAAGTACAGCTCCGGTGGTATAGTGTGCAGTTACGAATAAGAGATGTACGTACCCCATGTATGTTTCGGAGCTACTCGGCCACTCAGCCATCTTTCCACGTCACATAGGTAGGTACATGTACGGCGATTGTACCGTTTGGGGCGACGCGTATTCATTCTCGAGATACTTTAATGTAGAACATGGATTCCATGTCCCTGCACACTTGCGACAGACAGCAATGTACTCAACACGCTGCTGAAACCAATGACCGACTACACCTTAGCTCATCTATTTTCTTTCCAAGGCTTCAAAATATATCGACCCAAGCTCTTCGCCACGATGCCTGCTAGAAAGAAACTTTCAAGTGAAGCTACCTACTTGTATGTCCAAGGTTACGTCCAGAAGACTGAGCTGAATCTAATCAACCTCAAAGCCCCCACTCCCGTTTCACAGGTAAGTCATTAGAAGACTTCTTCTTCTTCTCGTTGGTATCTACCTTAACCTCTTTTGGACAGGTGGTTAGGTCACTAGTGATATCAGCGATAGCTTGAACGAGCCTGTCGAGGACGATAGGTTGAATGGAAGTGATCATGTGACGATATCTTGCTGTACACGATAGGTAAGAAAAGTGCCATCATGAGAATGGTAATCTGATGATATAGTCGATAAGTGTAGTGCTTGAAGGCTATTATCTATAGAAATGTAGCGAGGCACGCACACAGGTCTTGGAGAGTTGGGGTCTCATTTGAATCTTTCCACAATTCGAGGTAGTGAGTGAGTGTGTGAGAGAGAGAGAGAGGATTGAATAAATCAAAACGCCAGCTCGTGCTACTTCGGGAAATATGAGAGTCGTGGTGGCCATGAAGAAAAAAGTCGCTCACATCCACTGTACATCTTCTGCTCTCATTTGGTCCATATCTTGTAAAACGGCTTCCCAATCCAGCCACGATGTGTCGTTGGGCAGTGAAGCTTGAATGTCGGGGGGCAAGTCGAACATCGAGTCGAGTACAGCGGTGTCCGGTAGATCGGGGAGAGTCATGTTCACGGGCATCTGTTGCGCGTTGGACATGCCAGAGAAGTCGAGCTGGGCGGCTGTAGGCAGTGGTAACTTTGTCGATACAGTCTGAGAATCCAAGCCATCCCTGAAGGCTTCAGCTTTGATGCGGAGCTTCTCCAAGGGCCTCCAGAGCATGCCATCCTTGGTGTCAGCTACGTCCGGTGCATAGCGTGCCATGCACTTATCGACGAGCGACCACGCTTCGTCCGCCAACGCGTTGCCCCGGACCGAGCATAGACCCGCGAGTGTGACGGCAAGGGCCTGCCACGGGACCCAGGGCATCTTCCGCCAAAGTCCAGATGTGCTCACCCACAACTGATCTGAATGTCGCAGAATGTTCAGGGCAAGATTCATCACCCAGGGACTATCTACTCGAGGGGGCACGCTCGAGGGGTGATGCTGCATTGGTCGCACAGCTCGCAGAATGAGTGCGTGACACGAAGCGGCGCCTATGTCTGCGATCATCCGGTGCGCGGGTATTGCCAGATTGCAATGTCGCAGATAATGTTGGGCGACTTTCTTCTGATACGCATATGCAATCTCGAGACGTTGCTGCCAGCCTTGACCGGAGCCGGACTCTTCGATTGCTGAAATTTGCAGTGTCACCGAAGAGGCCTCCATCACCACGAGAGCAAGCGACATGTCTGTGATTTGATTCTGACGTGGCGTGAGTGATGCACTGTCCGGTCCAAAGTCGACATCATTGACATCGCTTGGCAGGATTCGAGTGAAGGTGTCTGGATGTATTGCAGAACCCGAGCCGCGATCGATCGATGCGTAGGAATCTATGAACACAATGTTGTACCACAATCGGCGGCGAAGCTCTGCGAGATATATAGACTCTCCAGGGATTTCCCGATGTATGCTCGTTGCGCGAGCAATTCGGACCAGCAGGCCAACCATAGACCAAGCTCTGCGGCTCGGATCAACAATGCGAATGGAGGACTTGCAATCATCAGCACAGTTCTAGCCCAGGACTTCTACCCCATACTTACCACGTAGACTACCAATGCCTGTATCGTAGCTATCTCCGTCGTGTTGAGAGGGTCGCATTGATAGAGTGCGATATCAACCATATTGCGGTACTCATCCACGAGGCGAGACTGGGCCTTGCCAAAGTAGGACTCGGATTCTTCGTCAGTAATAGCATTGGCGGCCGCAAAGTAGATTGCCGCGCGCAAAGCACGATTGCACAGAGCATCCGGCGCGCGACCAAGATAGGCTTCGCCATCGTGCACGAGAGCCGTGAGGGTGGGGACATGGAAGAGCTTCGCTTGGGGTTCAACGTAGAGGAGGTAAAGAGAGAGGAGCCGCCTGCTAATAGAGGGTGGTGGTTCCGTCGTCGCTCCCGGCATTACATAGAGAGCTCCAGGTGGACAAAATATCAGCTCGTACTGCCGTTCCGAGTTGTGGGTCGAGTCAGGAGCATGAGGTCCAGCCGGATGCATTGCTTCTGGCGAACAGACATCTTCATCGCTGTGGATGTCTTCTTCAAACGCATCCGCTAAAGCCTTGACCTCCGCAGTAAGTGATGACCAGAAGTTCCCGGCAACGTATCTACTCGTGTCTGGCGAGGGCGCTTCTCGCGGACTCGTCGGAGAGGCAGCATCTGCGGCGCGAGTGGGTGTGAACTGTGTTGTTGGAGAGGTGCCGAACAAGGCATGTTGCTCCTGACTGATGCTGGCGGCGCCCGCACTGCTGTAATCCGGCATGGGCAGTTTGCCGTCCTCGTCAGCAAAACTCTCGACCAGCTTCTCCAGCTTCGCGATTCTGTTGCGCAGCTCTGCATCCACGGCACGATTGCCGAGTTTGGCGCGTGGTTTTCTTGTGGAAGCGTGACATGCTATACCGGCCTTCTCGCACTGCCCACACAATGGGTGCGTCCGGTCACACTTGATCTTCTATTGTACAGTGCGTGTCGTCAGTAGTGGCCAGCTGCGAGCACGTTCTGTGGTTAGTGATCATTACCTTGCGTTGGCACTCTCGACATGCCAGTTGCTGCCCATTAGCTGCCTTGGCTGCCTTGGCGGCGGCGGTGCTGCTGGGTGAGTAGTCGCTCTCTTTCATCGCGCCCGGGTGTTGGGAAATGATGACGCTGCTGCTGCTGCTGCTGCTGCTGCTGCTTCATGAGGCCATGAATATTGCGGATTAGGAGATGTTCGTCGACGCAAGCGAGTCGCGCACGATAACGTATGTTATGTTTTCACCACGACGGCGATGCGTTGTGGTAAAGTACATGTATTTACGGTGTGATACGTCGCAAATGGCGACTCGTGAGGCGGACCCATGCAAAGAAGGTTTCGTTCTTTTCCCAAAGAATTCATTCGGCTTCGAAGAGAAAAAACCCTTTACGTCCCTTTGCCAATCAATGCTCGCGGCTGCGTCGGAGATAGCGTCATCAACGACTTAAGTGAGCTCAATACACAACACATAACCTGAAAGTTGAAAGCTATCCATAGTCTATAGATGTATTGCACGTTATCATCATATTCGCCTCGGACTTGGCTTGGCACTGCCTGCTGACATTATACATATGAAGAGTGAATCACTCAAGCCATGGGATCTCGCTGCAGAATGGAAGTACGTCTCCTGAGTACGCAGAAGAAAGTTGAACGGGTCCATATTTAAGCTATATCTAGTATATTGTCTGTCTCACGTGCGCCCAGTCGTTGATCAGTCGAGAAGCAACCCTCGCAATCGTCGCATTTGTATAGTCACCCCTCAGTAGCGTGTCTTGTTTAAGGTACCATCGGTTTCGGGGGACAAGAAAGGTCAGATACCTACTCATGTATGTTCAGGGGAATTAGTGAAATTGTGATTTCCAGTAGTGGCCTGATACATGAAGTTGTGTGTAGTAGGAGGTAGTGACGTGGTTGAGCAGGGAAGCTGGAGCGCTCGAGATGTGGAGCCTGCTAGCCGCAGAAGAGGCAGCAGTTCACTCGGCGCTTGGTCTATGTACGCATATCTTACCTACTACTTTCTTCATGCTACAAGGCGGTCAGTAACACATTACTGCCGCTCGGTGTGGTCCTAGAGAGTCCTACTGAACGATACGCAACATACCAACCGCCCTCATACGAACCGTCACGACGATACGAGCGCACACCCCCTTATATCCGCCTACCATGACACGCAGAATAGTATACGGGATCTCGCTCTGGGTCTTCCTGGGCTCAGTAGGCTGCACGATCGCCTCAATCGCCCTGCCCAACTGGATCAGCTACTACTCGCCGGTGGAAGGCAGTGAACCGATTCGTATCACGCTTGGCCTCCACAAAAGATGCAGCTCGATTACAGGCCGATGCAGTCCCTTTCCACAATATGACGACTGCCGCGGCGACGACAGGTCGTTCTGCTCGATATGGCGCAGTACGGGATTTTTCATGAACTTCTCGGTCGTCCTGCTGCTGGCGTGTGTCGTGGCATACATTACCATCTTGGTGGGAGGACGAGGCACGAGAGAAGTGGGCTGGAGATTGTTGTGCCCTTTACTGGCTGTGGTCGCTTTGACGCAGCTGATTGCAATGTCGCTTGTGGTAGGTGGTTACCACGTTTCTGTGAGGTGAAGACAACATGCTGATATGGGCATGCTCAGGCAGGAGTTTACGAGCACGATGCCCGCTTCTTTGTCGGCTGGGTGTTGGACAAATCCTTTATTCTGTGCACCGTGAGCTGGGTTGCTCTGCTCATTAATGCTGCGAGCGTGCTTGGGGCCTCCTTCTGCTTGGTTCCTGAAGACGACTATGAAGAGATTCGGTAGTGCAGCTTTGGAGAGAATTGGCGACAGAGAACACCAGAACAGTGGATTGCAGGAGGACAAAGAGATAATCACGACCAGCGACGTAGGATTCAGCGAGAGCGGTACTGCTGCGAGCACTGCAACAGTGAGGAAGGCTACAGTCGCGCCCACGACGCGTCTACAGCAGCAGAAGAATTTTTGACTGATACCCGGGCATAACAGCATACTACAGCATGAAATCTCATGACACATCGAAATCATCCCGAATCAATATACGCTCGGTAAGATCCACACTTCCAAGGTTCTACCTATCATATGTCTGCTCCTGCCATGGAAGGAAACGAATAGAGGCCGCCATGCCCGCCTCGTCGATCTCTCACTGTGCTCAGACGATGACATCGAGGACCTCGTCCTTTTCTCGTATCATGACCAAGAAGCTCTTGTTAGGGCGCACCTGATGTTCAATGTAAAACATGCACCAGAAATGAGAGACGTGATGTCTATCGTCAACCACTACATGTTCTACGGGACCAGGAATCCTACGAGAAAACTCACACTTTTGCTTTCCTCTAGTACTCGCTGTCTAGGCGGAGGTAGGCCGCATCTGGGACGAGTAATATCGCGATTTGCCGAGACGAAAACAATACATTTTGCTACAACGCTCACTTCGCCTTGGGCCACACTTCGGAGACAAAATCCTCCATGTCCTTGACGAACAGTGCTGGTTTCTCCATAGCTGCGAAATGGCCGCCTTCGTTATGTGCGCGGAACCAGACCAGGTTGCCAGTCTCGGCGACCCAATCTCGGGGAGCAGGTGCGAGCTCTTCTGGATGCCATGTGTAGCCCATTGGCTTCTTGATATAGTACGCAGGGTTGTTGTGGAAGAAGGTTGGCTTTTCGCCGAAGAATTGTCGGTATGGATAGATGGCTCGTGGAAACGACTCTGTGAACCAGTACAATGTGACGCTGTCGAGAATCTCGTCTACTGGCGGCGTCTCATCACTCCATTGTTGGAATTTCTCGCCAATCCATGCTAGCAGCGACAGCGGACTGGCAGACAAGACCAAGCCGATGGTCGCAGGTCGTGTACCATGCTATTCATTGTCAGCGAGTTCGGCAGCACACCATCAGAATGCAGCTTAACTTACTTCGCGGGCGTACGCATTGCCCATTGTGGAAAAGTCCGTCATTCTTTTCACTCCCTTCTTCTCAGCATCACTCAGGTGGTCCACTTCGCCCTGTGTGCCTATCACAAGATGCAGGTGCACAGCTTTACAGGATTCGGAGGTGACACCTAGAACCCTGGACACGAAGCTTCCAATATCACCCCCTTGTGCAATGTAGCCATTGCCGAAGCCAAGTCCCACCATCAATTTGTCCAGAACAGCTGCCATCTTCTCCGTGGTCCAATTTCTATCAAGTGGTGGTCCAGAGGAATAGCCATAACCTGGCAATGAAGGAACAATAACATTGAACGGCAAATCCTCAGGCTTGTACTTCGTCCTCAGCATGTCCAAGGCACCCAGAAACTCCAGAAAGGAACCAGGCCAGCCGTGTGATAGAAGCAATGGCGCCGCATCTGGCTTTTGCGAAAACAGTGCAACAAAGTGGACATCGAAGGTGAAGCCGTCCTCCTCGATCGGGACTGTGAAATTGGGGAAGCTGTTGATTCGAGCTTCAGTCTTACGCCAGTCATATCTGGTCTCCCAATGTTCCTTAGCATCACTCAGCCACTGGCGACTGATGCCGAAGTGCGTGTAGTCTTTCACATTGGCAACCTGATTCTCGTAGGTCTTGGGTCCAAGTTTGGAAAGCTTAAGCAGCTGCTTGAAGTGTTCGAGGTCTTCTTCGCTGACCTCGGCCTTGAAAGGCTTGGGCTTGAGCGAAGCATGGCTGGGTATAGTGTCAAAAGACATCTTGTGCAAAGAAAATCAAGTGAATTGACGTTGGCGGTATGAGGTAGGAAATGTCAAGCGCTGGGCCATATTGCGGAGCTCTTTCTTGCAGAAGTGGGGTTTGTCAGACTGACGGATGCTATACCTTACAGTACCTTACCTTAGCTGTCATCCATTTTGCCGAGGGCAACAAGAAAAATACAGTAGGCCCCTCGTTTCACGCCTACATGTAGTCACGGTGATGAGCAGCTGTGGTAAGGTAGGATTCTTGATGTCGTTGTACTTTCACTCTAGTAGATGGAAGTCTTTCGTGGTAGGTATCGCAGCAATTGAGCCGAAATGGCAGCATACGGACTCTGTGCGCTCGTACAGGCTAAAGAGAGTCCTTGAGCCTGTTCACGATGGTGATTATCGACAAGAGACGCGATTGCTCACGAAAACGACGCTGGAGAAGTGGTAGACTGTAGTACCTGAGTAAGGTAGCTGTAGCCTGTAAAGGAAGGACAGTGACGCCGGATATATCGGGATCATGGGATGTCTGCCCGCCCCCAGTGGCTTGGCTTGACATACCTAGTTCTACCACCTACATAGAATCACCTCCTAGTCAGAACTAATGTACCTACCTTAGCCCTTTGCTCTCGTCTCTCGCTTGGTCATGGGATGTGTATTCATTTCCCCTAAGTACAACCATCGTTTACCCCCATGCATGATACAATATGTACATCTGTTGATTTCATGGAACGCACAATCTACACACGGCAGGCGAAATCTACGGCTCTCCGTACAACTCTCAAGTCGCACTCGGGGGCCTGATATCCCCAGCTTGTACTTCATTGGCTCAATAAAGGTCGCGGAGACAGACCGAATGGACCGTGAATGCCCCCTCGAAGTCATGGCCTACTCCGACCAGAATATCGAGCGCGATGTGCGGCTGGCTTATGTCTAGTACTCCGGTACATGTGAATCACATCAGCGCGAAGGAATCGAGACTGTCGAGGGGACACGCTCGCACTCTGCAGGGTGCGATGCGAACTGGTTGATGAGCCTGTTGCTGGTTTGCCCTCAAGTAGCGAAATGTGCCCTCTCCACAAAACTCACTTTGCACAAGAGATGCTGGTCAAATTCGACATGTGGCCCAGCTGTCATTACTTTGCCGACGGCGTGCCGGCTGGGATGCTCTTGAACCCTTGATTGAAGTATGGAGGATAGCCTGGGCCTCCTGGCTTGCCGTCTTGCAGATGACTTGAAATTACTGAAAGAGGTTCCCTGTGTGGACAAAGTTAAATGTTTCCTCAGGGCCTCCAGCACGACCCTCTGACACAGGACAGGCACTACCTACCTAGTACAGTAGTGTCTCTGATAACGGACCGGTGGCGTGGCTAGCGGGCTCACAGGCTCGTTCTTGTGATTACCCGTAATCACATCACACTGATCACAGTAGGAGGTACCAAGTACCGTAAGGTACTGTACACAATGCACGATTGCACGATAACAATACCTCCTAGTGAAGGCTGGAAATGTGCTAGTCAACTAGCGCATTGCGACGCCCATCGCTTAGCACTATGTAACCTACCTGGTAGCCACTTAGGTAGATCGTGGTGCGCACCAGCGGACGATCCGTGCTAACGTCGAAGCATCTTTCGTTTGTCTATTTGAACAATCCTCCGAAGCCGTTCTCGGTCAGTATGTACATCACCATCACATGCATGGAATACGTGGTCTCACTACTTGCTTGAGCGACATCCATACCGGCGGGCAGGACCTGCCTGATACAGTACTGGATATCTAAGGTACCTGGTAGGTAAGGTATGGTACCTCAGGTATAAGTACATTGTCGTCGACACTGGTCGATGCATCGATTGCTGTGGCCGAATCATTATGCATTCCCACAATCCCAGGTCGCTGTCCCCGGCTGTTCTTCATCAACTTCTCAAAGCTTCGAGAACGACTCGGTCACAATCGCACTCCTGAGTCGGAAACTTTAAGAATCATTTTAAAGAAGACTACCACCAACAAAACAAATTGACAATGGCTTGCTTGCTTGCACTCTACTAGCTGCTTCTCGGCAGTCTCGAAGCCACCTCCCAGATAGTGCAGTCCCCTGTGAGCTAGTACAGAAGTGATCTACAGACGCGCGCAAGCACCTGAATCATGTCGAGTGTCCTTTCGTTCTCGCCGTACTTTTAGCAAAATGTACCTGCGTCTCCCCTCGTCTGCCTTATGTACTCATGTGTGAGACACTTGGCTGCTGATGTGAAGCAATGCGACATACCGACCTCATTTGAACATTGCAGTAGTACCTTACTGGTTCTGGCTGTGCTGGATCGACCCATACCCTCCTCCCGCTCGCGCTCCATGGTCCCAGGCTAGGAAGCGGCCTGCAAAAGCCACGACTACTAGGTAGTTCTAAATCTTTGGCTCTGGAGTCCCGGGGACGGGATAATGGCAGACGACTTTCCGCCTCGTGCGGAGACTCCAGTGAGCCCATTGTACTCAGCCTTCCCTCTTCCAGCTTCGCGAGTGTCCAGTCTTCAAACACAACGACTATCGAATCGCAGCGATGGACTCGCCATGACAACCATGACTTCGCAGAGCTCGCGGCGTCAAGCGATGTCTCCCAGCCCTAGTAGCATCTCCATCTCCAGCTTCTCCACCTCTTCGGCAGTGCACCAACCCGCGACACCTACGAATGTCTACCCTCCGCCCGCGTATGTCGCCTCCTTTGGCGCAACGCAGGCGGTCAGCGAGAGAAAGCGCCGCTTCAGCGATGACGAGGATGATTACGATAGTACCGCCGCAAAGCCAGCGCGCGAAGATGTGCACTTTTCCGTGGCTTCGCTTGCGCTCCTGAATGGGTTTCTGGATCAATTGCTGTACAGCATCTTGCTCCACGCGCGTTCCACGACTCTCACAGCGCTACGACCGGCCGTGACTGAAGTGCTCAGATCTCGGCTAGCCAGCGAGGCCATTGAAAGTGCCGAGGAGGAGCTTTCCGAACTGCTAGCTGGTGGCGCAGAAGAGGAGGAGGAAATGAATCAAAGGCAGAGCTCCTCGGAGCGTACGCGGAACTGGGACACTGAGCTTGTGTGGAAGCGTACGCGTCTGAGAGTCATGGTGTACACTCGTCTGGGAGAAATGGAGGACGATAACGAAGAGCGCTATGTACGCGAAGACGAGCTCTTTCAGACTGGCGATCATCGTTTTTCATCCTCTGCAGGTCTGGTGCCCTGGGCTGCTGCCATATTCCTGACCTCCGTACTAGAGTATGTGGCCGAACAGCTGCTTCAGGTCGCTGCACAGGCTGCTGACACCCGCGCACGACGTCTCGGTCGTCATCCGCATCTGACGAGATCAGCTTCCGACTTGGTGACACCCGAGGACGGCGATTATCTGATAGTGGAGGAGCATGACATGGACCGTCTAGCACTGCATAAATCCGCCGGCCGATTGTGGCGCACGTGGAAAAAGACTCTACGCAGCACTGCCGTCGTATCCCCCTTGTCTCCAGACCACACGAACGGCTTCGCCTCTCGCGGTGCGAGCAAATATCACATCAATGGTACTGCGATGAGCCCTCCCGAGTCAGTGGATGGGTCGCAACCTGCTTTCAGACTCCCGGAAGACGATCGGGACGTCTCTGAAGGGACTGACGAAGACGAAATTCGTTATCCGGAGTATATTCTGGCAGCGAATATTCCTTTGCCGATGGAGGACGAGCAGCGAGACATTGACGAGATTCAGTACGCTGAAGATGTTCTGGCGGCCAACATTCCACTTCCAATGGAAGCCGGAAGACGAGATATCGAGGAAATCCAGTACCCGGAAGATATTCTTGCAGCCACCATTGCACTGCCGATGAAATCCGAAAAGCAGGATATTGACGAGATCGAGGTACCTGGTTTGGCTGGGGACCCCGAGGCAGCTGACAAGCTCCAGCTTCCAGAAGTGCCACTACATCGAAGAAGAAGTAGCTGGGCAGGCTTGGTGCCCCTCACAACTAACACCAGCAACGGTAAGACCGTACCGACGTCCAGAGAGGCTGGCATGGCATCTGCCCACACGCCTATTCCCGAGCAGGTCCCAGAGCCTAGACGAATGTCATTGCGAAGAGCTCGCTCGTCTTCTTTGCCCATGCTGCTGTGTGCGACGAATGCACATACCCGCGACGAACCGCAAGAGGTGACGGGAGCTGCAACTCGGCAGGTCCAGCCTGAGCGGAAAGTCAATGCTACGGAAGGAGCTGGAGGCGCACCGAATCGTGCGGCTGTACCAAAGAACGACGATGTGGTGGCCGATGCCCATCATAGTGCCGACAGCGCCGAGAAGACGCTACAGAACAGCGTATCCAAAGCTGAGTCCGGGTCAGTGGCTCCTTATGCAGCCGGTGTCGCGTCCGCCGCTACTGGTTTAGCACACAGGATGCCGAGTGGGGAGCGTACCGAGGGCAAAGAGCAGCATATTGAGAATAGCGAGGGGATAGTGAAGAGCAGCGAGTCCGAAGCAACGGTGGAGCAGCCCAACACGCCGCTAGGCGATGGGAGGGAGAGCCAGAAAGCCCTGAAGGATCTGATGTGTGGGAGCGTCCCCACTGGGCAGATGCTCAAGCGCAGGTCAATGGGGACGCTGCAGCTGCAGCTGGGGAGCGAGGATGTCCCTCGAATGGCGAAGCGAATGTCGTTAACACAGGCCGTTCTGGTTCGTCGAGCGTCGTCGAAGGACCTCACGACGAGGCCTTGGGCCGGAGACAACACTGGCAGAGGCGACATGCCGGCAGTCGACGCACCGCAAGGCAGTTTCTCAGAACCATATCAATCACAAGGGAGCACAGAGGAGCGGATTGCGAGAATCGGTGTTGCGCGGGCATCAGGCACGGTCGTGTCAACGCCTACGGAAGGAGAGCCTGCGGAGGGATTATATCATGCAAGGGATGGCTTCACGCCTCGTCGGCATTCTCGCGTCTTGCTCAGCGATTCACCTGTGTCGTCGACGTCTTCGAACAAATCCAGTCCGCCAATGCAGCAAGAGGACGACGATGCTACACCAACACTTAGTCCGGAGTCATTCTTGCAAGGCCGATCGCTTTCTGCGAAGAACATGAGCCGGGTTCAGAAGCTCGGCCTCGACGTCTCACACTCTGCTCATAATCAAGCACGATCTCCCGCACCAATGTCGCCCATCCGCGCCAGCGCGGCTGACAGTCTTGCGACTGTGCAAACACCAGTCAGTCCAGTCTCGGACAGGACACCTTCACCATGGCGACAATTGTCCACAGCAGCCATCAAAGATCCCATGCAATTGGCTCCGGTGTTGAAGAAGCCATCGTCGTCGTCGGAGTCGATGGGACCAGTGCAAGAACATCCCGCTCTGCAGAAGATGGCCACGAGGAGCCAGGCTTCACTCAAGGAGCCAGAAAGCTCACAACCACTAACCAGTGCAAGCATTCGAGGGCCTGAGGACTTCGAGATGTTTGTGCAAGGCGGCGACACAGTCAAGTACACACTCACACCTGAGAGCGTGAGGGGTGATCCGGTAAGTCTACATTGTACTAAATCGCGACTAGGGCTAATTTTTCACAGTCACCCACCGAGGCCGTACCTTACCTGAAGACTACTCGTAGCGCCGAAAGGGTCGCTCCGTCTTCCACCAAACAGCCCTCAACTGAGGACACTCGACCAGGAAGAACCCAAACTGCGAAACAGGTCACTGCAGCGGATGCAGAGGCAGGTGCTGCTCGTTCATCGACCAGCAGCAAAGACAAAAGGAGGTCGGTCAGCCGACCTCCAATAAGGAATACCAGTACGCATAGGAAGAGTGGTTTGATGGCCCGTGAGCCACAAGTTCAGACAGAATCTATCAGAGACTTTGCAGACTTCATCCGGTCGACTGGCCCAGACAAGGAACCAGAGATCCGACCACTGCTTAGCCATCGCTCGACCACATCGCTAAAGGCTCTTCGAGACGCACACAGTAGTGGCGGCGGCTCACGTGCGCAAGCTCCTGGTCCGTCGCGTGCGAGAAGCATGAGCAGATCACATATCGAAGCTGAAGACCTTCCCCCTGTGCCGGCGGTGCCTCCAGTGCCCGGATACAATCGAATCAGAAGCAACATGCAGCCCCGAGTCCCCGTCCAGACTAGAGAGGATGGGACTTCTGAGCTCATCGACTTCATCAGAACTGGGCCAACTTACTCAGACGCTGCTGGTGACGACAGACAGCACCGCATCTCTCGATCTGTAGCACCCTTCAGGACTACTATGGACTCGGAGCATATGATGGATTGGGGCGAGAGATACACAACGCAACCAGACCTCAGGATCAACACCAACGTCGCAGACATCAACCAGGAGCCGAGCGTGCGCAGTGCTCAGTCTTCCCATAATTCATACCGGACTTCTGCGAACTCCCGTTCTGCGCTACTGAACCACAGTGCCAGTGGAGGCCAAGAAAATGCACAGCCTGTATACACGGAGCACCCAGTACGACTGACTTCGGTGATGCCGAGATCAGTACCGCAAGGCTATTCATCCCCGAGTGATTCGATGAAAAAGACCCGCGTACGAAACAAAGATCCGTATGCCATCGACTTTGATGACGACGACGACGACGATGATCTACTGACGGCCTTGCCCAGAAGTAGGCAACGTGAGCAGGAGAGTTTGATGGACTTTCTGCGTAACAGCGAGCCCCCCAAGAGTGCAAATACCTCCTCTCCCATGTCTCCCGATTCTCTGCGACAAGGCAACGGACCGGGATCCTCTGGGCTCAAGACGTTTGGTCCCAACGGAGGCAGCCTTGGGCGGACAGGCCCGATGCAAAGCGGAAATGGTCCACAGTCGGCTGGGTTTGCCCGAAGCACTCGCCCTATCGGCATTACCACCACTGCTTCTGGCCCGATCTCGAAACCTCCCTCCAACTTCTCAGCCCGAGATCGCGACGCTAATTATACCGGGCCGGGTGGCACGAGAGACCTCGCTGACTTCTTCCGAGGTCCTGGACCGGCTCCGGGATCTACTGAGTCCGACCCTCGGCATGTACAGAGACGAGGCAGCAAAACGTCGTCAATGGCCACGAGCAAAGCAAGCATGACGAGCTCGTTGAAGAGGAGTAAATTGAGCTTTCTCGGTGGCGGCATGAGCAGCATATTTGGAAGAAATGGAAGCCGAAAAGCCATGATTGACGCGTGAGGCATCACATTGAAATATTGAATATACGACGCGAAGGGACAAATGTACGGCTTTGGCGTTCCAGTCCCGGATGAGCATGCGCGAAGCATCAAACGCAAAGGCGCTTGGGGGGGGAGGAGGAGGATACCTGTCTATGAATGAATACCGGGCACCAGAACCAACAATGATACCATCTAATTTTTATATGTCTGCAGATAGGAGAACGAGCGCGTTGCGACACAGGCACGGCCAGATCATTGTATATAGTTGTGTAATCCGATCAAGGTGTAATAATCCCATCAACATGGACGTCTTTCTTCTCCGGGCCCCGGCTTATTGCGATATGTCGGGCGACGCGCCAATAACCGGACGGCGCCTACCTTGCCTGTGATAAACCGGGCCCCGGCAAAGCAGATGCATGCCTCTAGGAACAGACCCGTATGTATTTGGCATGAGATGAGCAAGTCCTTAGTCAGTATGATGTGAGCAAATATCATTCAGCGAAATCAGGTAGGTATAGGTGGCTTACAGGTACTTAAGTCTTAATGGAATAAATTATTGGTTCGACTCCATTAACGTGGATCCCCACAAGACCCACTACCACCAGGTACGAACTAGGGGACCCTCGAATTACCCTCCTGCCGGGCAGCTCTTACCAATTCCCAAAACACCACAACACCCTCATACTCAGTACATCATACCGGGAACGGAAAGAAGCAATATTGACCCAATATGCCTCGCCGGCTATCCACCACAGCGGCAAGCCGGGCAAGGCAGCCCTATATACTGGACGCGGGGCCACTCGGCTGGCTGGAAGGCACGACCATCACTACTACTACTACTGGAGCCGAGGCCGCACCTGCCCTTCACTACTTCGGCGGACTCCCCTACGCACTCCCTCCCGTCGAGGAATACCGGTTCCGACAGGCACGGAAACTGCCTGAGCATTACCGATACGGCACGCAAGCCAGTCCCGGACGCTTCACTGGCCACGCTGCCGTGTGTCCACAACCCGGTTGGCTTCGCGCATCCGATCCCGCCCTGTGGGACGAGAACTGTCTCCAGTTGAACATCTACATTCCTGCCGGGCAGCCACCAGATGCGGGCTGGCCCGTCTTCTTCTACATCCACGGCGGCTTCCTCCAGTTCGGGAACCCGAATTTCGGACCAGAGTATCTGGCTCCACTGCTCAGCGAGAGCGCTTTCAAGGCCATCATCGTTGCCCCCGCATATCGCACCAACGTGTTTGGCTTCATTGCCAGCTCCGAGCTCCGAGCCGAAGCACAAGAACTTGGCGAAAGCAGCGGCAATCAGGGCTTCTGGGACCAGCGCCTAGCCCTAGAGTGGACTGCACAGCACATTGGAAGATTCCATGGTGATAGAGACAACATCACCATCGGTGGGTATAGCGCAGGGTCGTACAGCGTGTTCCATCAATTGGCACATGAGCTCTACTATGTCCCAGAGAATGAAGCGATTATCAAACGTGCCATTATGTGGTCAAACAGCCCAGGTGTACAACCCAAGAGTGTAAGCGAGCAGCAAGCCCAGTTTGACGAGCTACTCGCAGAACTCGGCGTATCCGCATCTTTGTCTGCTAAAGCGAAGCTTCGTCAACTGAGGATGAAGACGCCATTAGAGCTCGTTCAAGCAAACGGCAGGATGAAGCTCTCCGAATTCAGAGCTACCTCAGACGACGACTTTGTGTCAACGAAGCTGATTGCGAGCATCAACCAGGGCGACTTTGGCAGACGCATGAAAGCTAGAGGAATCAAACTAATGAATGGCGAATGTCGTGATGAACACCACCTCTATGGCGCCTGGAGGACCCCTCCTTCTTCTTTCAAAGCCGTATACGAACGCCTTTGTGCTGACTATCCCGAGCGGGCTGTGAAGAGCTTGATGCACTTTGCTTGTGGTGAGCAGAAGGTCGTGCCAGAAGGTTGCAAAGACTGGAATGAGGCCTTTGGCAAGCTGTATGCCAATATGCAAGTGCATGGCCTAGAACGCGGATTTCACTGTGCACTCGAGAAGTCAGGCCTTGTTCCTGGCCAGGATATATTGAGATACAGGATCGAATGGAGAGCAAAGTGCATGGATGGCGCTTTCCCGCTCGCTTGGGGGGTAAGCCATGCCACGGACATGGCTATCTGGTTCTGGGGGCTTGACTATGGCGACGGACTCACAGATGATGAGAAGAAGGTACTCCGACCTTGGAACGCGGCATTCGCGGCATTCGTGAGAGGTGACGCCGTGACCTGGGATACCAGCAAGATCACGGAGATGCTAAGGTTGCGCGGTGATGGTGTAACCGATGTCTGGGACGACAACAGATGGGAGGAGGGCATCAAAGCATGGGATGTAGTCAATTGTGACACACCATCTAGCCTGCTTGACTGGCTCAAATCCAAGTTGTAAATTGCATCTACAAAAGGTGGCCGCCACGTGTCGGTGCACGACGTTAAAAGCAGACCATGCGTGACAGTGAGGAACATTGACAACTGCGGGTCTCACGCAGGATCAGCGGCAGCAAGTCAGACCATGCGGCGGACTGGACTTAACGACGGCGAGTACACAGACCGGGGTGGGCCATACGAAATCTGTCAAAGCAGATCGCTCACGAACGGCTCGTTGCGCCCTTTTCCATGTAGGAAGCCGCATTTACGCTCACTCCCGACGGAAAGCTGCAAGGTGAGCATTATGTCTCAGTCACTCTACAGCAGCTTCAAAGAACGGCCGCTATTTGCACCTTTGATGCGCGGGTCCGTTCGAGACCTTGTTGTCCAAGGCTGTTCTCCCGGATAGAGAACTAGACGTTTCCCTACGCCCTAGCGCTTTGCTAATTACACAATTGAGCTAGTGTGTCTAGTCAAACTGCGTGTGAAAGAAAGGCAAAGCAAAGCAGCAAACGGCGGTGTCTCATTTGAAGGTGAGAAGATCAGATATCAACCTTGCCAGGTGCTCATGGTCACTTCTCCACTCAACACTTCGCTGAGCAATCCTTTCGTATATCACAACGTCACCGACTAACTTTGTACTTCAACTGTTAACTACTGCGTATCAATCAAGAGACGTGTTTGCCAGGACGAACGAGAATATGACCACACACGCCTTCACTCGGGTGCCAGGTGTCCTCCCTGGCGCTGGCTACCAGCCACGAAGCGATCCTACAGCAGAGCAAGCCAGTCCTCGCCTCGCCTACTTCATCACGCGCAACAATGGCCTACCAGTTCCACTCATTCCAGCTGATGAACTGCCGTTCGCGGTGAAGCTGCAGGGTGTTTCCCGCGTGCTCAACCCTCAAGACACCTATGGCCTGCAGTACATCGGCACTTCTCCCTATACTGGTGCGACGTTCCATCTGGAATCTGGTAGCCCATCTGCCGCTCTGCAACGAAGCAACAAACAGCCTCCGAACGACCCGTTTCAAGCTTACAATCAAGGTGGCACCGGAATGAGACAATTCCTCCCGCCAGATGCTCTAGCTCGTCAAACCTCTGCCAACAATTCCCCAGTCATCGGGAACAGCCCGGCCGTTGCCTCCAAGCGGCCACTCTCTGCTTCGGAAACCGCCAAGTCATGGCGTCGTAGTGATCCTGTGGATAGCTCCGATGCGGCGACGCAAAATGTCATTGCTGCTATTCTACGATCTGAGGCTGGCGCTGAGACTGCAGAGCGCATTGGCTACCGCAGTAGGGACCTGACTCCTCCTCCATCTGGCATCACACCAGATCAGGACAAGAAAGTCTTTTGTACGCATTGGATCATGACTGGCGACTGCAAGTTCGTTCAGCAGGGCTGTCGCTACAAGCACGAGATGCCTACTGAAGCGAAGCTGAAGGAGCTCGGCATCAGACACAAACCTAGATGGTGGCAGGAGCAGAATGCAGCTATCAAGCTCGGAGGGGCCAGAAATGTGCTCGGACCGGCTCTGAAGCCCATGGAGATGCTGAGTATGGGCAATGATGAGGAGGCTGATGATGAGAGCTCATCAGATGATTCGTCTGATGAAGACAGTGAAAATGAGGTACCTGTCGTTGGAAAGAAATCCCTCTCTCCAGTGAAGAAGGAAACTGGCAATGGCTCCAAGCAGACTTTCCAGCAGGAGATTAAGTCTCCAGTCATGCCTTCCACTGGCCGCTTGTGCCCAACCATGGACAAAGTCAAGGACATTCGCAAGCCCTCTGCTGCTGCAAGCGACCTTATCGACTTGTTATCAACGTCCTCAGTCTCTACCATGCCTTCGAAACCTTCATTGTCCAACAACACATCCCGTACAAGCATCTCCCCCAACACCGGCAGCGTTCCTGGTACTCCACCATCGTCGCAGCAAACCGCCAAAGTCTTCGTCCCCGCCGGCGAGTCACCAGAAATCCACATTGCCGAGATGAAGAAGCGTGAGCGGTCCACTCGCCACAAACAGCAGCACGACTCGTCGTCGCATGTATCTCCTTCTCAGACCTGCAGCAGTGTCAAAGCAGTCGTCAATGGTCTTCACGCTTCCAGACATGCTCTATCTTCATCTGCCGACAGCTCTCCCAAGCGCAACAAAATCAGCTGCCGTCTTCGTCGTCCTGCTACGATGAGCTCCCCTGCTCGATTTGGAGCAGGTGTAGCAGCAATTGTCAACTCTCCTTCTTCTGGAGCAGAGAAGAAAGGATAATAAAAGATTGGGGAGCAGGCAGATATGGGGAGAAGAGTATACAGAGGAGAAGGATGAGATGTGTGAGAGAAAGGAAAAAGGGAAGAGCTTCTATAGGTAGCTAAAATCAAATGCAATGTGTACACAATTGGTTTCTTAGATCTGTCTTTTTCTTCGAGCTTGTTCATGAATGATAATAGAGAGATTGAGAATTGATTGATCAGGTGCACGTTAGCTGGGCAAATGGGGTTGAGTTTAGCATATTTATAACAGAAAAGAAATACCAAGTACACAAAGAGAAATTTACCAGATATGTTATCCTACCTGATTCCTGGTAGACAAGATAGGACAGAGGACAGATATACATACACGTGACAGAGAGAGAGAGAGAGAGAGAGAGAGAGGAGGGAGGAGAGACGACGAACGAACTACGTACGAACCAACCGACGTCGTAGTAG